CGACCCGACAGCTCTCCTTGCAGCATTCCTCCCGTCTCTGTTCACTTACACCGAAGGAGTTGTCAGAGTGCAGACGAAGGGCATAACGAGGGGACTCACGTTACTATACAACAAGCAGAAGAGGTTCAATTCTCTTACAGTGTTTTTCTTCCGGCACGAGATTGTGGTCGTTTGGTGAGTGAATGTTTTGGTTTGATGGTGAAACAGGTTTGCTGAAGTGACCGAGTGGTCGGATAAAGCGTCTGTGAAGGTGGCTGTCACTGTGGATGCACCCTCTGTTCTGAAACTCGTAATGGAGAGGCTTATGGATTCTTGATTCTATCAAAATCTGCAGATATTTTAAAGCTTTTTTTTAATTGATTTTTCTCTGTTGATGTTTAAATAAAGGTTGTTAACCTAATTTCATTGCATGAATGAACGAGATTTTCTTTAATGAAGTGTCAATTCATTCTTTGATGGATCCAAGTTTGGGTGGACTAGTGATACAAAATATATTCTCACTCTGGTTTCAAATCCAAGTGTGGGGAAGGACATTCACCTGGGCTTTCCCGGTATGTAGTCGGGTCATCCAAAAAAAAAATTCATTCTTTGATGGTCTCTGACGTGATCACCATGCATGCATGCGCACGATCTCCGAGTTGGTAGAAACTATTGGGGCTAAAATCAAAATTTAGAAACTTGTGGGGGTCGAAACGTAATTAAAAAATTGATGTAATGAGAACGTGGTGGAGTTTCTTGACTTCGTCAACGTTCTTCTTCTTCTCTCTGGGGCTGCAACAGCAGACACAACTCAGAAGACACAAAGATCCTCCTGTCCGTACACTTGTCACTATGCTTCTCTCTCGACGTGCATTCCTCTCCTTCGCTCTCTCCCACTACCTCTCTCCTTCCCATTCTACCTTCGATCCGAAATTCCTCCGTTGTCGTGTTCTTCTGATCCTCGTCCATGGATTCTCCCATCGAAGACGACGAAAAGGAGGCATTGGCAGCGCTCGACCCTGTCCCGCCGCCGCGTAAGACCCATTCCTACAGCCAACAGTTTGATCACCAGAAGCCGCACCACCACCACCAGACCCGCAAGCACAGTCTCGACGAATCCGGCGCCGTCTATTTCGACTCCTCCGATGAAGAATTCTCCGCTGAAGGAGTCGTCATCGTAGACGGCACAGCCGCCGGAGAGGATTACGTCGTCGTCACGCCTCCGTCTTCGTCCTCGCAGCCCAGCGAGAATGGCGGCAGCGTCGCGGAGGACGGCTTCGAGCCTTTGCCGGAATTCGTCGGAGCCGGCGGAGGCGCCGGGATATTCAAGGTGCCAGTGCGCGCCGCGGTGCATCCCGGACGGCCTACGTGCCTGGAGCTCCGGCCGCATCCGTTGAGGGAGACGCAGACTGGGAAGTTCCTGAGGAACATCGCTTGTACGGACACGCAGCTTTGGTCGGGATCGGAGAATGGCATGAGGTTCTGGAATCTGGAGGACGCGTACGAGGTCGGCTGTGGAATCGGTGGTCAGGTCCGGCGAGGGGATGAGGATACGGCGCCGTTTCATGAGTCGACGACAACTTCGCCCACCATGTGTTTGATGATTGACCACTGTAATAGATTGGTTTGGAGCGGTCACAAGGACGGAAAAATCCGATCTTGGAAGATTGATCAGCCTGTGGATGATTCCAATCCTCTCAAGGAGGGGCTCTCCTGGCAAGCTCATCGCGGTCCTGTCAATTCTATTGTCATGAGCTCCTATGGTGAGTTATGTTCCATTGTCTGATTCATGGCTGTGATTCTGAGCTTGTGGAAGCTAATTTCTGGGTTATGTTATATATATTGTGCATCAATCAATAGTTTCATACATTGTGGCTTGTGATTAATCTATGGCTGCCAAACCGAGTTGTGAGTTCTGTTCCATTGTCTGATTCATGGCTATGATTCTGAGGTTGTGAAACAGAGACCAGAGACTTGTTTCTGCGTATGTTTTCCCCTCTCGAGCGAAATGTGTGATCATAGTGGAGGCCACTTCTATGTTAAGATACATATATTTGCTGTGCATCCATAGTTTGATACATTCTCTCTTGTAATCAATCTATGGCTTCCAAACCGAGTTGTATCTTGCAATATAGTCAGTCTATTTTCAGAGTAAAAATTATTTTATAATGAGGTATATGCGGATTCTTGAACCTATCCTTGTTAATATTTTTGGGGGGATGCAGGCGATATGTGGTCATGTTCTGAAGGGGGTGTGATCAAAATATGGCCTTGGGAATCCTTAGAGAAGTCTCTTGTGCTTAAACCCGAAGAAAAACACATGGCTGCGTTATTAGTGGAGAGGTCTGCTATTGATTTGAGGAGCCAAGTTACTGTCAACGGTACATGCAACATATCTTCTTCGGACGTCAAGTGTTTGTTAGCTGATGCAGTTCGAGCTAAAGTGTGGGCTGTGCAGTCCCTGTCTTTCTCAATCTGGTAAGCTTTCTTCTTTTGGAATGCTGCAACTTGTTAAATGTGATGGGTTTGCTTTTTTGATTGGGGGTCAGAAAGAAAGATAAGTTTCCATTAGACTTTCGAAATTTTTTTAATAGGAGATTTATTTTGGTCTTGGTTTCATCGTGATCTCTCTCTATTTGTGCAGGGATGCTCGGAGCAAGGACCTTCTGAAAGTTTTTAATGTTGATGGTCAAGTTGAAAACCGGGTGGAGTTGCCACCGGCACAAGATCAACAAGTCGAAGATGAAATGAAGGTGAAGTTTGTTTCGAGCTCGAAAAAGGAGAAACAGGGATTTTTGCAACGATCACGTAATGCCATAATGGGAGCAGCGGGAGCTGTCCGTCGAGTTGCCACAAGAAGTGCAGGAGCATTTACAGAAGATACTAGGAAAACTGAAGCAATTGTGTTGGCTGGAGATGGTGCAATCTGGACTGGATGCCTGAGCGGATTGCTTATTCAGTGGGATGGAAATGGAACCCGCTTGCGAGAAGTGAATCATCATCAACGGCCCGTGTTGTGCTTTTGTGCTTTCGGGGATCGGATATATGTGGGTTATGCAAGTGGTTACATTCAAGTTTTGGATCTCGAGGGGAAGCTGATCGCGAGCTGGGTTGCACATAGTGACCCTGTGATAAAGCTAGCCACTGGGGGTGGTTTCGTTTTTAGCTTGGCTAGTCATGGTGGTTTACGAGGATGGTATGTGGCATCTCCGGGACCTTTGGACAGCATAATCCGATCAGAATTGTCTGAAAAGGAACCTGTTTATGCCAGACTAGGCAATACTAGAATTTTAATTGGCACCTGGAATGTTGGTCAAGGGCGGGCATCTCATGGTGCGCTTATGTCGTGGCTTGGTTCTGCCACATCAGATGTTGGCATCGTCGTGGTTGGGTTGCAGGAGGTAGAGATGGGTGCAGGTTTCCTTGCCATGTCTGCTGCCAAAGAAACGGTAAAACTCCTTTTGTTACAGTTATTTCATTCATGTAATCATTATGGTTACAGAATATTGGTCATTCAGATAAACTGCTTTCTTTAGCATGCATAAAACTTCTCACAAAAACGCGTACATCAAGTCGGGATTAACCTTGTCTTCTACTTATTTGTATTCATATCAATAGTCTTTGATTTTGGACTGTAGGTAGGGCTTGAAGGAAGTGCTGTCGGGCAATGGTGGATTGATGCCATTGGAAGGGCCTTGGATGACAAGAAAACTTTTGAACGTATGGGTTCAAGGCAGTTGGCAGGACTGCTCATTGCTATTTGGTAAGTGTAAAGTTCAGTTAAACACTGAACATGTTTCAGGATTACTTCCTTTCACAACATCACATGTTGTAATTTTCTCATGTAGGGTGAGGAAGGATGCCAGAACACACATCGGGGACCTTGATGTTGCAGCTGTTCCATGTGGTTTTGGACGTGCCATTGGAAATAAGGTATGTCTTCACTGTCAATTTTGACCGATGCAATGATGAGGTTCTTTGTAATAAATCATCTGTCTCAAAGTCTCCAACCCGCTGAATTGAGGAGGGAACTGAAAATGGAACCTAGGTTTTCCGTAGAGCGCATGATTAGTTGCCTATCTCATATGACTTGGAGTCAGTCCTTTGTCATGGGACTTTCTTATGCGGTTAACTTGTGCTTGTTTCAAACCAGGGAGGTGTGGGTTTGAGAATTAGAGTCTATGACCGGATTATGTGCTTTGTGAACTGTCATCTGGCTGCTCATTTGGAGGCTGTTAATCGGAGAAATGCAGATTTCAATCACATATACCGGTCAATGGTCTTTACCCGAGGGCCGAGTCTACATAATGCGGTAGCTGGTATGGTGCCATACCTGTTTTTGTCTTGCTCACTTGGCTTCTCCACATATTTATTTTGGCTCCTTTACTCTTCTGGCTTGCCATGGTCCCTCTCTCTTGCAGCTGGTGTCTCAGCAGCATCTCATGTCCTAAAGAGTAACACTGTATGTTCTTATCTGTTCTTACAAAACTCCACGCTTTAACTATGTTGTTGTTTTTTTGTCCCTTCTATTTTTTAAAGTTTTTGTCTTCTTTGTGCATAGAATTCAAGCGCCGGCAGCACAGAAGAAGCGAGGCTTGATTTAGCAACAGCCGATATGATCGCTTTTTGCGGTGATTTTAATTATAGGTTGTTTGGTATAACCTATGACGAAGCAAGGGACTTCATCTCGCAACGTTCTTTCGATTGGCTGAGAGAGAAAGATCAGCTTCGAGCAGAGATGAAGGCCGGAAAAGTCTTCCAAGGAATGCGCGAGGCTTTAGTCACCTTCCCACCCACTTACAAATTCGAGAGGAACCGTCCTGGTCTAGGAGGTAACGACGGATCGGGAATTTATTACAAGTATCTGCTAATCAGAATAAATTTTGATTTTTTCGGTGGTGTTCTCTCCAGGATATGATTCTGGGGAGAAGAAGCGAATTCCTGCATGGTGTGATCGAGTAATATTTAGGGACAACCAATCAAGCCCACCGTCCGAATGCAATTTACGATGCCCGGTAGTTTCATCGGTCCTAATGTACGTTTCATGGCGAACTCTCGATATTCGTCCTCCTCCCTTATCTCTTTGGTTTCCTCATCCTAACATTCACTCTGCATTTTCTGCAGGTATGAAGCTTGCATGGATGTGACGGAGAGCGATCATAAGCCCGTGCGTTGCAAATTACATGCTAACATTGCTCACGTTGATAGATCCGTGCGGAGACAGGAGATGGGGAAAATAATTAGGTCTAATGAGAGAATCCGAACCATTTTCGAGGAGTTGAGTTTGGTTCCAGAGACAACCGTGAGCACTGACAAGATTCTTCTCCAGAGTCAGGACACTGCAGTCATTACAATCACAAACAGTTCAACCTCGGATAGAGCGATCTTCAGTATTGTTTGCTCGGGTCAGACGTTCGTCCGGGATGATGGAGAGGAACCAGATTATCATCCAAGAGGCTCCTTTGGTTTCCCTCGCTGGCTTGAGGTATTGTTTCGCATCGATGTTAATCAATGTTTCGCCCCATTCACGATTTCGCTATTTCGGATTCATAATTTAGTCCATAAAACCTGACTCTAGGAGGTTTACAGACACAATGATACTAGAAAATCATAACTTTTGCAAAACAGAGGCCATATCAAACTCTTTTTCACATTTCATGTTCATATGACCTATCTATAGGTCTTTCCAGCAGCCGGGATGATAAATCCCGAGGGCACTGTCGAAATTAAGGTTCATCACGAAGATTTCCACACATTGGAGGAGTTTGTGGATGGAATCCCGCAGAACTGGTGGTGCGAAGACACTCGGGACAAAGAGGTGATCTTGATGGTTTACATTCGGGGCAGCTGCTCGACCAAAACCACAACCCACTCTGTAAAAGTCCGTCACTGCTTCTCGGCTAAACCCTTCAACCCGACGATTGTGACCAAGAACCTAGGCGGCTCCCGTCATTATCAGTCGGAAGCTAGCCTCCGAAGTGGCAGTACTCGACGGGGTATTCGCTGAATGATCATTTCCTTCGACATGACAACAACTTTAACTAGATCTTAGACAGGTATGTATCTACTACTACAACCTCGGTTACTGTCTCGTCTAACGGTTAGAATATTTGGGCTTTACCCGATTCTTTGATTCCTTGGAAACATCCATTTTTTTTTTTATCAGAACCATAGATTTTTGTTCAGACTGTTCTACATTTGAATACATCTGATTTTTCTGTTCCTTTCCTAGTACTGTTTATTACACTGAAATCACTCTTGTCTTGACGCTTCTGAGAACATCGAATCACATCGGTTTTTAGAAGTACAAGATTACATTTATACGGTAGCTCTTAACATAATGTTGTCGGCCATATACGATATACAAAACATCATCACCATGACTCATCCTTTGTCTCAGAGAGCATACATTCTCTTGTTGTATTCTCCGTTCAGAATCTCTGAATCGGAAGCCATGCGAGACACAGAGAAGGAACGTGACTTGCTCCTCTCTTTCCTAATGCTCCTGAGCTTAGACTCCTCCATCCGGTGCATGACCACGCAATAACACATGGCACCAATCGTCGTCAGCATGATCGTGCCACCGATCACTGTGGCACAGACGGCCAGCCACATCTCGTCCTTGCCCACCACGATATACGTGAGAGAGACGAAAGCGATGGATATGAACAAACAAGCCAACCACATGAGTTTGTTGATCACGAACACAAGCCTCTTCTTAGCCTTCTGTTCGATCACCACGACCGAAGTCTGCACCACAACGACAGCCAACGAGATGAACAGCGCCAGGCTGTCAAAGACGAAGAATACGAGGAACGGGGCTTTGTCTGCTATATGAGCTTGTCCTAACAACGGCCCTTTCGACGGGTCCTCCTCATATTGCCCGGGAATGGTGAATATGGCAGCGAATGCAACCGTCGCGATCAGGACAGCCACGACGGTTGCTGAGTTTATGGCGTTGTTCAGACCGCTGATATGAAGCTTCTTCAGTCTCTTGGCGATCTTCTGAACCCTGACGCCCGTCTGCTGAGACTGCTGGAGCTGAGACTTGACCTCGTGCTTTATGTCGCTGACCGTCTGCTTAAGTTGCTTAGCCGGGTTCTGTGGCCTCCCGAGATCTTTCGCCGTCGCAGCTCCTGCTTCCTTCAGAACCGACACCAGTTCCGGGTTTCCGATCCTTTCAGCGATATCGAGAACCGTCTCTCCAGCCTTGTTTATAGCATTGAGGCTGATGCTATCGAACGAAACCAGACATCGAACTATCTGCAGTAAGAAACGAGCAGGCTTATGAGCTCTGCAATGCCCCCAAAAGATCATGAACTGGAAACCTAGATGATGTAGAGTCTAACGGTAGTTACGATACAGATAGTAACATGCAGATTTCTCTACATTTACAGCAGATTCACAAGAGATATCGTCATAAAACTAGAACTAAATCGATGAGAAATCACCACCTTAGTACGGCCCTTGTTTGTGGCGATATGCAACGGTGTATTGCCCTTATTATCCTCCAAGATCAAGACAGCGGGATCGGGTTTCACCAACTCGAGAACGATATCTTCGTTTTGACCTTTAACAGCCATGTGAAGAGGTGTTTGCCCCTTTTTATCGGTTCTAAAACCCGTGGTCGGATCCTTACTTACCAAAGACTTAACCACTTCCAAATGCCCCATCCGAGCCGCAGAATGAAGCGCCGTTTTACCATTGTTCTTAGCTATCTTTGCCAAGTTAGAGTCCGTATCGAGAAGAAGATTCACGATATCGATGTGGCCTTGTGTTGCAGCCGTGTGCAAGGCAGTCGTGCACGATAAATCCGTCGTCATTGCCAAGTTTGGAAATGTCTCCAACAGTTTCTTCAACACCTCTGCAAGTGATCAAGCAAGGTTTTTAGCAGTTAAAAAACGTAAGGAGGATTCAAAGGGTAGCCATGGAAGGGAGGCCCTTACCGAGATGGCCATGCTTAGCCGCGACATGGAAAGGATCAAACCCATTTCTTGCGGGAATCGAAGCTGTGTCAAGATCTATATGCTTCAGCATCTCCTCAACCACAACCGAAAACCCGTTTTCCGCTGCTGCATAGAGAGGAGTCTCCCCCTCTAGATTCTGCTTCGACATTAACTCTTTCAGTTCTTCTCTGCTGTCACAGCTCCGGAAAATCTCGTTAACTTTGCTCAAGTTCCCTGTCCGAGCTGCGGTATGAAGTGGTGAGTCTCCTCTTTTACCGGGTGACTCGTTCTTCTTCTTCCTCTCACCGCCACCACCAATGAAACTCAGCTGTCTCTCCATGGCTGTACGGAAGCTTTTCTGCCTCTCCATGAACATTGCCCTGCCGAAACTCGGGAGTTTCTCCATAACTCCACGCTTGCTCGGCTGATTCTGGTTATTATCCATTGTTACACCCAGAAAGCTCTGTTGTCTCTCCAGTGATCTTCCCTTGCTTGGCTGAATCTCCACGTTCACGCTGGCGAAACTCAGCTGCTTCTTTAAGGCTCTCCCTTTACTTGGCTGATTCTCTGCAGCCACACCTCTGAAACTCTGTTGTTTCGCCATGGATTTTCCTTTGCTCTGCTGATCCTCTTGGGTTACACCGCGGAAACTCTGTTGCTTCTCCATCACTGGTCTCGTTGAACCATTCTCCTCCTCCATAACAACCCCCTACTCTTTTCGTCGTTATCAACAAATCTCTAACGAAATTCGATTCCCCAATCTGAAAACCCTAATCTAGTTGCCCACAAATCTCGAAAATCAACGCCTCCCCAAATCTAAAGACACCAACTTTTCAATCACCTCGAGCAACCCATGAAAAAATTTCCCCAGAAAACGGACACTGATTCAGGAAAATATACCAGACCAGCTTCAAATCAACAGAACAACCTTATTTCCACAACAACCGGAAGAGAAAACCAGCTTCCCCTGAAATGAAAACGCAGAGGCTGCCGATTGTTTTAAAGACGGAAAATTGATGCAGAAACCCGACCGAGATGATCGTAGAAGAAGAAGAAGAAGAAGAAAAAATCAGGTTGCGGTTGTTTCAGTCACTCTAAATCTGAGAACCCATCAGCTAGATTTTCAAAAAGGGTTTGAAAATCTTTAGCCTTTCTGCTCTCTCACATGTAAGAACTTTCGTCCCAAGCCATTGATGAAGCCGAGGAAGATGCTCAGAGAGAGAGAGAGAGAGAATCTGAGTACAAAAGATGATCCATCAGCAGCTCAACAGTATAGCAGCCACCCCTTTTTTTTTTTGAAGTAATATTATTTTTACACGCGTTCATTCCACCAGTGCTATACACAGATTTTTTTTTTACAAATTAAGAAGGTTTTTTTTTTAAGAAGATTTAATTCGCAAGAGATGACATTATTAATTAACCGTTCGATTTCCTAATATATACAATATACTCCTCTAGATTTATCTGAAACCAAAAAAAGAAAAAAGCGGAGGGAAAAATACCAGTTCTTGTCTTTTATATCTATAAACACGATCCGTAAGTGAAAACATTACATTGCGCTCGTTGTATGTAAGAACGATAGTGGAAAAATGGTCAATTCTTTCCACTGTCTTAGTTACCGATGAAGCAAGATATCAAGAAACCTCAAAATTATTTGAATTTATTAAAAAATAATAAAGGAAGTCTCAAAGTTGTATGAAGATTCTTCAGATTATTTAGAAATTTTTAGTTTTTCTTAAACTCCAAAATCTTTATTTTTTGTGATTTTCCGAAAAAAAAAATTAATCGGATGGGTTCGAATATATATATATATATATATATATAATAAGACCTTCTATTTAACATTATGGGCCGACATTTCGAGTCGTCATATAATTATTATCGAATTGAACTTATTTTAAAAACTAATGATTATATTTCAAATGATAAAAAACGAATAAGTTTTAAAAAATATTTTTTTTAAAAATATAATTGAATTCGAAACCAATATAAATAGAAAGTAAAATAAAAATAAAATCAATACAACATTGAATAGAAATATTTTTAAATTTTTAAAAACACACTAGTAAAAAAAAATAATCAAATGGAAATGTAATAAAACTAAAAAGTATTTATCCCACAACTAATATCTCAAACCTCTACTTAAAAATTGATATTATGTTGCAACTCGTAATTTATATTATAAAGTCTTTTATGAAGAAAATGTTAAGTAACAAATTTTCTTTGGCCCGTTGCATGAAACAAATAACAAACAATCGGATATTTTGGCAATGTGTCAGCAACCTTTCAAACAAACAATAGCAAAAGGTATTGTTTTGGGGGCGACAAACTTAGTCAAAGTTTTGATATCTAACCTTTTATTGAAGAATTAGTTTAATAAAATCTCTTAGTAAAACATTGTGAAGAATATTAGAATTGGCTATTAAATTAATTAGAAAAAAATATAGAATATAATAACATTCGGTAATTTTAATGAAGAAAGTCAACTTTGGCGTAGAAATATAATTTCAAAAAAAATAAAATAAATAACTAAGATAGAAGAAAATTCAATTAAAATATAATTACACATGATCCATGATTGGTGGACTATAATTTTAACGAATAATGAGACAAATAAAATAAGGAGTAAGCGCAAAAAAGCAAGTGGTCGGCTTATTATTATTCAACTTCTACTATACTTAAGTTTTGTTGTGGCTCTGGTTCTTTGACATTCATACATATATATATATATATGTATGTATTCAATTGAGAGCCAAAACCATATGTTGTCATTACCGATGGATGGATTAATTTCAATTTTAAACGATTGGCGTAATCAAAATTATATTGCTTGTACATGTCACATCAATCATTAAACCACATACATATACTGTGTAATTAATTCTTTGACAATTTTGTTGGATAACTCTATTGCATACAGAAAATATTCACAAGTAAAATTCTAAAAAAATTTATATTTTGCAGGAAAAAAAATCCTGACATGCTAAATTATCAAAGCTTGTCTCATAGGGATGGCAACCAACTAAGCCTGGTGAAAAGAAAAGGTTTGTGTATTATTTTATTAAATAATTAAATTAATTATCCAAAGAGATTATAATATATAACAATCTACAAGGGAAAGGAGTAACCACGGAGATACTTGGAGTCGACCCCCGACTCGCCCAGTTCTCGCGACCTGCATCTTGTTCCGACCACATCGTACGATACCGTAAACAAGACAGAACACATCGGGTGCTTTCTATGAAAACTACGACGCAAAAAAAGGGCATTTTCGGGGGGAGTCCCCCAGCCTAGTGGTTAATGACAACCCCCTCTACCATGAGGTTGTGGGTTCGAATCCCAGGTATGGTACTCCCCTTGAGCCGGTCAGCTTTACGAAGCTGGTTTACCTGCTCTGCGTGGTTTGCCGGCTACTGCGTAGGGCGGTGGGTTTTCTCAGGTCCGCGATGCTGTCCTGATGCCGTTCTCGTCCGGCCTATGGGCTGATAGGCGTTGCGGTGTCCGGTGTCCGACCCGAAGGGTTGTAGGATAGGGGTTTCCCATCGTACCAAAAAAAAAAAAAAAAAAAAGGGCATTTTCCGTTTGAGTTTCTGAAGTAAGGACAAAGGTTGATTCTTAGAACACTGCTTCCTACTTGAACCAGATCGATATCGGCTCTTTTGTGCAAGAGCTTTACTGTGGACTGTTAGAGTCCCACATCGGAAATATGTGGAAACAATTGAGTCAAAATAATACCATGGACACCCTCTCCCAACAAACTATGAGTTCTAACCATGAGCTTTGAAACTTTGTTGGGACCCATTATTAATGAGTGGATTGCATCAAATTGGTATCAAATTACATAGACTATGACACCTGGATGAACAAAAACTAGGACTCCAGTTATGCAGGTTCAGATTCTAATGCATGGATGTTGCATCATATTTACCAACACCATATGTCAGTATCTCTAAAAAGAAATATAAGCAGGAAAAACTCTCTTACATCTTCTTCACTGAGAAGTCCCCAATGGGCGTCAAGAACATTATTTACCATGAGGTCAGAAGTCAGCTCGAGTGGATAAACATCTCCCTGCATACCACAGAAAAGCTTAACACTGAGGTAAAGTTCACCCATTTTATGACTTACAGGCAAGAAGACTTGATGGCATGCCATGTGAGGAGCTCAGGTTTGAGACGTGAAAGCAAGACAAGAAAGACGCCAGAATTGTAACTTGCAAGCTTCAAGTTTTTTCCCTTCAAAAGACTAGTCCGATATAAGACCTGTAGACAATCAAAGATTCTGCAACTACTATTGGCAGGACAAAATTATTATTCAAACCAGATGTCATATCGGATGAAGCACATATAAGATACAAAACAGTAAAGGAATCTAAACATAGCCAATTGATAAAAACCACACAGCCAGACATGAAAAGGAAGGGGGAGGGGGGAGAACCATTTGTTCATAATCCTGTATATTGTTTACTTTTAACTTCAGAAAATTGACAAGTTTCGGTGTCAGTTTTGTAACATAATTGGAAAAATAAGTCTTGTAGGCAACCCAAACATAGTACGGAAGTAGAATAAATGTAAAGTTATGTCAAACAAAAAAGGAAGCTGACATAAAGAAGAGAAACGCACACCCCTGAAGTAGTATCGATTTCAGTGACCACGGCACCCTTTTTGGAACCCCCAAGAGCACGAGTAACAGGTGCTTGCTCCTGGAGATCTGGATAGGATGCTGCTGAAAATCGCCAAAATGGAGCAGATTCCCCCATCTTCTCCCTTCTCAATGCAATCTAATTAAAGAGAATTTGCCAATGGCATTTTTCTTAGATAAGCGAGAGATTGGAACATATTCCTTTATGTTTAAGATCTGAAACGTGTAGCTATTACATCCGCCATGACTGATTATTAAAAAGGAAGAATTGGATGATAAATCTTGAGGAATAGTAAAAAACATTATTGCAGTTCTTCAAAGAACTCAATACCTTTCCTGTCCGGGCAATTTCTCTGATTCCAAACTTCCTCAAATTTCTTTCAACAGCATTCATCTTTCCAGGATCTCCTGTCACCTGCATGGGTAGCTTAAATAATAACTACAGGAACTAAAATAGGTGAATTAAGGAAACAGAAAATTAGCTATTCAACTTCTACTATACTTAAGTTTTGTTGTGGCTCTGGTTCTTTGACATTCATACGCACTACTCAAGTACTCAGTGCCCCAGTAAAGACTAAAGCAAGGGAAACATAGTATTCAGAAAGCAGAATATCAGCACAAGATAATTGAGCAAACAAAGTTTTTTCAACTGAAGCTCGTAATGCCTTCTTATCACTAGTCATAACATTAAGACAGAGAACAAAACCAACAGCGGGAATGAAATATCAACACAAAAACAAGTATAAGCAGGTGCACCTCAATAGAGATTGCATGCTCCGCAATATCCACGATTTTTGCTCTGAAGGTGTCAACAAGCCACATGATCTGTAAATTCGTTGGATCAATAATGGTCTATGATTTCAGGGAAAAAAGAAAAGAAAAAGAGGAAAATGGAAATTTTCTAAAAATTAGAAGCGATCAGGGAACTGATTATACTCTCAGTTCCCTAGAGGCAAGGAAAACTACTTCTGCTCGGTATTCTGGATGAGCATTCACTTTTACTAGCATCAGTTCACGCTCTACCTGTGGTTCACTTGAGATATCTTCAACCTACTTGACAAGTTAAAGTCATGATCTAGGGAAGGGAAAAGGCGATAATGCATAACTCATGAGCATACAGATGGAGAGCAAAAAACCCAGTTATAAGTAGTCCTCAGAAGTTCATCAAGTTCAGAAGATATATTGCATTGGAAAAGCATATCTACGAGAGTGATAAGATGTTAACGTGGTTAAAGCAAGAAACAGAACCAACAAAGTTTTCTACTTCTGACCTGTTAAGCATATCCAGAAAAAGTATAGCAACAGGGACACACCATATTTCACCAAGAACACGTTGAATGCAAAAATTGATAAATACCATCTTCAAGAATGTGAGGTTGGTAACTTCTGCCAAAAAAATCATGACTTTACAATATAATTGTATGGAATAGTATTACCTTTAGAACGTTAACGAGCTTCTAGAGTTGCTCAATGACTTGCTGAAGTACCCTTTCAGTTCCACAGACAACTATGGTGAAGAGTGCCTTGTCCCTGTTTAAACCGACTGCAAGACTCTCAATATTGTATCCTCTCCTAGCAAAGACTCCTGCAATCCTGTTAATCATTCCTCTCTCTCTCTCGTCCCCAACAAATACCGAAATCGTGTGCTTCTTCACCCTATTTTTATGAACAAAGAAAATTTTAATAATTGTTGATAAGAGGCCGTTCAATTCAGATATATCATATTGAGAACCTAAGCATATGGGTATATCTACAAAATTATGCACAGAGGCAACTAAGACGAGCAAGTAAAAATTTAAAACAACTGAGGATCAGAGATTGGATTCAACCACATCCAATATAAACGTGGAATGTGAAAACTCAACCTCGATATGCAGTCAACAATGGCAGAATAGTGTTCATTGGTTCAGCCAGGAAAAAACCACAAACCACCACAACCAAACAACTGTCCTTCCAGTTAAAACCGATTAATGCCAACCATAAATTGCATTGAATCAGCTAATTTCATCTGAGATGTGAAATTGAATCCAATTATGAAACAGAATAAACAATCGTCGAAGATTTCGGAGCTCTAACAAGGAACGAATAACAAAATCAACCAGAAGCGAACGCCAACACAAACAGCGGACAAAATGACTGTACTTTAATTTTTGAGTTGTAGAAGAAGGCGCGGAGAAAGATGCATCGGAGATCTTCTCATCGACACTTCGAACAGAGAGCGACATTCCGTTACACTGGGCATCGCTACTGTTCGTAGACTGAATGAGGGGATACAAAATCTTCGTCGGGAACGACAGAAGCGTTGAAGATCCGTGGGCGAGGGAAGATTCGTCATACGAAGACCTCAAGCCGCGAAGAGATGATGGTGCGGTGCTGAAGCAGTCGAAGTGGCCGCCATTGGAGAGACGATGTAAGGAGTTGTTTTTTGCGTTCCAAATAATATGATAATATAATACATCTCTCTTTGCAGTAATATAATTCACATTTGGGTCACAAACTAATTTTAAGAAGTTTAGGTTACATTTCATAATTATATAAAACTTAAAGGGCCCCGTCGAAATGAGTCTGGGTCCCATGCGCACAGTCACTATTTTCTAAAGTTCAGAGGATGATTGAAAACGAAAGTCAAACCAAAGTCTTCGGAAACATACAAAAATTCCACAGCTCAACGCGATTCGAGGGATTTCATATTCGGTCGCTGAATTCCTTCGCACGCCAAATATGTCAAAGATTCTCCAGATCAAGATTTCCTCCAATCTCCCCAGAAAAATGTGATCTCCTCGTTAGATTTCCAGAACAAGAAGACGTTAATCAAAGGTCGCGCTAATGGCGAATCTCGCGGTGCAGCTGAAGCGCGGGATTTCGAGGCAATTCTCCACGGGGTCGCTGCGTCGGACTCTGAGCCGTCAGTTCACGCGCCAGACGTCGCACAACCCTCGCCGGAACAACATGCGCTTCAGCTTCGGCCGACAGTCGTCCATGGACCCGATCCAACGGAGCCCCGGCGGCTCCGGTTCCGCGGCCCAGCAGCTCGCCGTTCCCGACAACCTCGACGCCACGATGCAGCTACTCTTCATGGCTTGCCGCGGCGACGTCGCCGGCGTCGAGGATCTGCTCGACGAAGGGATCGACGTCAACAGCATCGATCTCGACGGCCGTACAGCTCTCCACATCGCCGCCTGCGAGGGCCACGTCGACGTTGCCAAGCTCCTCGTTAGCCGTAAGGCCAACATCGATGCCCGTGATCGATGGGGAAGCACGGTCTGTTTTCACTGAATTGCTTGATATATATGTTTCATGTTATGACATGATCACTTGATTAAGGTTTTGGTTGTGGAATTGCTTCAGACATAATACGTGTCTTCAGTTTAGTGTTAAGTTTTGTGGTGAGATGTGTTCTTTGGCTGTGGATTAGGCAGCTGTGGATGCCAAGTACTATGGTAACGTAGAAGTATACAACATCTTGAAGTCCCGTGGTGCGAAAGTTCCGGTATACTTTCACGGATCCGTCTCTGTTTTCTCTTTTATTGCATTGAAACTCAGGTCTTGGATGAGGTTTCATGGTTTGGATTTATATAATCAATGTCACTATGTTTGGTTAATGTTTACACATAAGAAGTTTCATATACTTACGATTTCTCCTTTATTTTAGAGAACCAGGAAGACACCAATGGTTGTCTCAAATTCCCGTGATGTTCCTGAATATGAGCTAAATCCACTAGAGCTTCAAGTTCGAAAGGCTGATGGTATCTCAAAGGCAAGAACTTCATTCTTTCATCTTTCTTGTGATGATCTTCCTTGGGATTTGTGCTGCTCAACACATTGTTTGCTTGTTTGCATCTATCGTTACACTGCTTATGGCGTAGTAGTGTATAATTTCTGTTCTAATCGTGCTGTATCCGATTCTTGAGTTTTTTTTTTTTCTCTCGTGTTTCAAATAAACTCTCTACCCTTATGAACTTGTGGTTGTGGTTGCTAGTTTCCTCTCATTCACTGTTTCGATTTTTTTCTTTTTACAGAAACTTCACTTATCATTTGTTATTTGTCCACACCTGATATTTTGTGCTGAGTTTTTAACTAAGATGGCAGGTTTCTGCTTACAGGGAACATATCAAGTGGCTAAGTGGAATGGGACTAAGGTATCTGTGAAGATACTTGACAAATTGTTCTACACAGATCCTGACAGCATGTACGTCCCTTTTTGCTCTTCACTGTGTTTTTTCTGAGTTAGCAATATGTCAGGAACGTCTTCAAACTTCTTCTTGCAACGATCCTGACAGCATGTATACCCGCATGCAAGGCCTGGTGATTTAGGGTTTTAGGATCTAATTCTTATTGCCATGAGCACTAAATTGAGGTCGTTTCATTTGTTGACTTCTAAAAATTACTTCATTTCACTTTGCTGTTTTCCACAGAAACGCCTTCAAACACGAGCTTACTATACTTGAGAAGGTCCGGCATCCTAATGTCGTCCAATTTGTTGGAGCTGTTACTCAAAATGTCCCCATGATGATAGTGTCTGAGTACCATCCTAAAGTAAGTTCGTCCTTCATTCTCGCCCTAGGAAGATTGTATCAGGTAGCGTCATGTTTTATTTACATATTAGGTGTTTCTTCATTAATAAGTAAGCGCATATCTGATGTGCAACGTCACATTGTCATCTGTAGATTAATAATATAGACCTGATGTTGGTATGCTTTTGGCGGCAGGCAATAACTTTGTTGTGTGTTGGTAACATCTAGGGTGACTTGGGGAGTTATCTTCAGAAGAAAGGACGTCTCTCTCCATCCAAAGTCCTAAGATTTGCCCTTGACATTGCCAGGCATGTACACTTTTTGTTTCCTTTTCCAGTTTTCCCAACAACTATGTTCCAGGCCCAAGTCTCTTGATATGAAATACAATTGAATTTGAAATCTGGCGGATAACGAGTATTCTGATGTTTTCCTTAGCTCCTTCACTGGTCTTTGTTGTTTCAAATGCTTGACCTATCATCTGCCTCTTGTTCTCAGGGGAATGAATTATCTTCACGAGTGTAAACCAGATCCAATAATCCATTGTGACCTGAAACCCAAGTAAGATAACTAGATGAAGTAGGTTAGGTGTGTTTTGATTGCAGATTACCTGTTGTGTCTCATTCATCGATTCCTGTTATCTAATATTTGAAATTTTTGTAAGGTGCCAGAAATATTATGCTCGATAACGGAGGGCACTTGAAGGTAGCAGGATTTGGGTTGACAAGGTTTGCGAAGTTATCGTCTGCAGAGTCTCTAAGTAAGTTTCTAAATGCATAATTTCATATCATTGATGCCAAAGCGACTTCCTAAGGAGTGCAATCAATCATTGAACTGTGGGCATGACGTACACTTAACATCTAGATTACTGAGAAGCTGAAGTTTTAAGTATAAAAACCGATTACGTTAAAATTGCCTGTACGAGTGATTTCCAAGAGGCAGTGCTGCAACAGTTTAAGCAGTTGACATTTCGTTTGTTATTCACAGGTTACTATCTGGCACCTGAAGTTTACAAAGATGAAGCCTTTGACAGAAGTGTTGATTCATACTCTTTCGGTGTTATATTATACGAGGTAACTTTTTATTCAGCCTTTGTGTCAAACATCTGCGGTTACGCTGCCATGCATATCTTGATGGCTGTATCTGAGATGGGCTTAATTCACTGCTTTAGAGGCTTTCTAGTGTAATTGAAACGAGTAAGAATAAGGTTTCCATTCTGCTTATATTATGAATAATCGTGATTTCTCCCATTGGATGATTTTCTAGCTTCCACGCTTTTAAGCTAATTCTATCACATCGTATCCGTGGCAATGTGTTATAGTGTCTTTCCTTAGATTAAATATATTTTTTGTAATTCTTCAGATGATTGAAGGAGTACAACCTTTCCATCCAAATTCTCGAGAAGAGGCAGCGAAACTAATGTGTTTGGAAGGAAAACGACCGTCTTTTAAGACCAAGTCGAAAAGCTGTCCCACAGAATTGAGAGAGTGAGTTTCATATGCTTATTATCAACTTTATAAACATATACAAGGCAGTGAAATCGCTTCAAGGTCTCTGTTATGGTAGTAATTTGCGCAGGCCTCTGTTCTAGTAGAGGTGGTTGTAGCAGTTCCTTTTGTTAAATTCGTATTATCCATTCTTGTTTCCATTGTATGTCATCTCGTCTCGGTCAGATTCTTAGTTACAGTCGCCCTAGCAACAGCGTGTGTATTTCTTTCTTGTCACTTGTGCGTTTTAAACGCACTTCTTGTGGGATAAGGAGGGGCTTGTAACAATTTAATTTGCGTTTGCAGCTTGATCGAGGAATGTTGGGATCTAGGAGCGGTTGTTAGGCCTACGTTTTCGGAGATAATTGTTCGTCTGGACAAGATCTACGCCACTTGCTCGAAGCAGGGATGGTGGAAAGACACTTTCAAGTTCCCCTGGTAAGGATTTCTATTAAGTCTTTCATTTTCAAGAAGGCAGAAGGATGTTCATGGGAAATTTTTGGAACATATCAAGAACGTTGTTAGAGAGAATAGGAATGGTCCCTTCACCAGAAGAAGCTTGAGAAAACATGAGTTAGCTCTTCTATAATAATATCGAATCCCGGCTTTCTCTCTCGTTTTTCCGCTGATTCTAAGTTCTAACGACGAAGAACTCGTTGAACGGTTTTTTTTTTTTTTTTTTTTTTTTTTTTTTTTTTTTTTTTTTTTTTTTTTTGGTTTTTTTTTTTTTTTTTTTTTTTTTTTTTTGCAGGAAGTAGAGGAGATGGATGCAGATGTAGGTGTATGTGATTCCACAAAAAGTAAAAGAAATGGTTAGGAAGTTGGACAACTCTGAAAGCTGTTTACACGGAAAGAAAAGAAACAATTGAGTTGGTAAGCTCTTGTCTTTGTACAATGTAAATGTAATACCACAAAATACTGTAAACCTTTTGTACACTACAGTCTATCTTAGATTATTTGTATATGATTTTATCAGTTTTAATTTTAAATAGAAACAACCTAAATTTAATTTTACACTGTTCTGTTTAACACAATTTTATGTATAATTAGAATCGAATTACTTGACCAATCCATACTAATCGGATGAGTTTTTATATAATCACATATATTTTGGATATATATTTTTATAACGTTATATAAAAATAATAATAATTGTGACTCCCAATTTCTAAAAAATGAGAAAATATGAATTGTTTCCAACCAGAATATGCAGCACGTGGATTTTTTCATTGGCTTTTAAATCATGATGTTTTATATATTTTCGTACCATAAATGATAAAATGAGATCTGATGCTTTTGTCGCGTGATACCAAAAGGAACACTACAAAAAAAAAATGTCTTCATCACCACCACCACCTTGGCATGGGGACCAAACACAGACACATTTCTTCACATCTGGTCTGAAACAGACCGGCCATTTCTTCTTGTGGGTTGTCATAGTGAATTGGATTCCTCAGGTACAGGTTCTTGCACACGATTCAGTCGGTTGTTTCGTGACACATTGCGGATGGAATTCAACGATAGAGGCATTGAGCTTGGGAGTCCCAATGGACTAATCAGCCCACGAATGCAAAGTTCGTAGAGGATGTCTGGAAGGTCGGGGTTCGGGTCAAGACCGAGAAAGATGGGTTCGTGACCAAGGAAGAGATTGTGAGGTGCGTTGGAGAAGTTATGGAAGGTGAAAACGCCAAAGAGATCAGAAGAAATGCATATAGATGGAAACAGTTTGCAAGGGAAGCTGTGATCTGAAGGAGAGAGCTCTGATAAGAACATTGACGAGATTGTTGCCAGATTTTGTCAAATGAAACAAAAATAGGAGAAAGAATGTGTGTGTGTATATATATATATAGAATTTTGTGTAATGATATGTTTTATTCATAATCAAAATGACATATAAATATATGAGATTTTTACACTGAATAAACAAACTAAATATAATGATAAATATTTCTAAATATATATTTTCCGGATTTGATAAGATCTCCATTATATGATATAACTTGTAATATTATTCAAGATCCGATATATCTCAACAATATATATATATATGTCTGATTCAGATATAGAAATATGACAAAGAACTGAATGTTCTACGAGATTATAACATTCTACATCATTTCACTTCATTTGGCAAAATTTATCAACTAGAACGTCGATATTCCTATCAGAACTTCCTCCTTCAGAAACAGCTTCCCTTGCGAAATCTTTCCACTTATCCACACTTCTTCTGATCTCTTGACCCTTCACACCTTCCATGATTTCACCGACGCATCTCTCAATCTCTTCCCTCCTCACGAACCCATCCCTGTCAGCCTTCACCCGAACTCCGACCTTCCACACATCCTCTATGAACTTCGCGTTCGTGGGCTGATCAGTCCAGTGCGGCATCCCAATCATCGGCACTCCTAAGCTCATAGCCTCGAGAGTCGAGTTCCACCCACAATGTGTCACGAAACAACCGACGGATTTGTGGGCAAGAACTTGTAGCTGAGGGCTCCAAGTCACTACTAACCCTTTCTCCGAAACCTCCTGTAGATAGTTTCTTGGAAGCTTGTCTGTCTCTGTTTCTCTTACCACCCACAAGAAAGAGTGGCCTGTCTGTTTCAGACCAGCCGCCAGTTCATGCATATGCTCGTCTTTTAGAACCACTAAGCTTCCGAACGAGACGTAAACCACTGAATTTGGTTCCTTCGTGTCTAACCAGGTGAGACACTCGTCGACTTTAGGGTTGAACAAGCTGAGTCCGTAGTCCTTATCGCCTGGTAATCGCTTGTCCAAGTACAATGACGGAACAGTCGGTCCTATGTTCTTCACAGGCCAGAGATTCTCCTCCATCCATTTCATCACCTGACAGAAAGAGATCAGATCAAATCAGAAAATGTATACACATACACATAATGAATCTCTGGGTGTGTGTGTGTATATATAGTGATGTAGCTCTCATACCTTTTCCTCCAACTTATCGAACGTGTTACACAACACAAGATCGGCTTTTTCGATGTTGGAGAGCTGATTAAGCACAACCTCCAGGAGAGACGGGTAGGAGCCTGACTCGCAGAGAAAAGACGGCAAATCGCTCGGACTCAGCAGAGGAAGAGACGGAAACGATGCTAAAGTAGGGTGATCATCTCTTCTAGATGGCACACAGAACGAACCCTTCCGGACATGGTAGTACACGACAGTCACAAACCAAGGTTGAGTGAAAAGGACAGCTCCGTACAAGCCATTACTCTTTGCAATATCCAACACCCAGGGGATAGAGGAATCATAAACGAGAGATTTGGGAGGAAATTCGGAGGATTTGAGCTCATCTATGAGCAGCGGAAGATGGTTCGAGATGCTGCGTTCGACTCTGTCCATGTATTCGTCCAGATCTCGGAGAGGCTCTTCCCCTTCTCGGAACCCGTTCCAGATTGTTACGACAGTGATGTCGTGTTGTGTTCTGTAAGGCTTTGAGGGCTTGTCCGAGACAATTACGAGAGTGACCTTAACGCTTTTTGAAGCTAAGCGTTTGCAGAGCTGGAGCATTGGCGTTATGTGGCCTTGGGCTGGATATGGTAGAGCAAGAACATGAGCTCCCTCCATTGTTTTTTTTTTTTTTGTTTTGGTTTTTGTAGGGTAAGTGTTGGTATTTCTGAATCTTTGGAAATGTATTTATATGTAAAGTTGTGAAATTTTCAGATATGGCGGAAAGGAAATTGGATTTGATGGCACTTCCCCAGTCTTGAGTTTTGACTGGTAAGCGTTTCTTGGGCCACACGTAAGGAAGTTTCTTGGGCCACACGTAAGGAAGTTTCTTGGGCCCCAAGGTAGACTGACGGTGACGTTAGTCCTCATGCACAGTAGCCACACCACGTGACGTTAAAAAAATCATAACCATACGTATAAAAAATCATGTGAATATCCTACGGTATTATTCTACACCAAATAAAAAAAAAATAAAAATGCGATGACGACCTTAAGAAGGCGAAGAGAGACGTAATGTATTTCCCTTGCAATCAAAATAAAAAATTCAATAAATAATATATTATAATATATATGTTATATATATATATATATAGCAGACCAAACAGCCGAACTGAATTTAGAAAAATTATAATCGAAGACGCATCTGAATACATTATCTTCAGAAAACTAGTCAAATCCAAATACCGTCGGATATATAATAATATGTTTTTCTTTTATAATCCAAAAATTCATTGAGCATTCGATCAAATTTCAATTCATAGAATACCAAAAAATTCATATGAATATCCATCTCTAAATAAATATTCAAATATGGATTTAAAAACAAAATTTGTCCTATTTTTTTTATCGATTGAGTCATTTAATTTTGGGTTCATAATTTATTTTTGTTCACAAAGACGTGTTTGTTATCGACTCGTCTTCTTATTATCCCTCAAATTTGAAATTTGGTACTCTATTTGATATAAATACAAATACATTCTTCGTAAAATATAAAAACTAATATAAATATGATTTCTAGTTTTACGACAAAAGTTATTTTCAAGAATGAAAGTTATCTCCTCTTGGTGCTGTTGGTTACCCAAACTAATGGCATTGAAATACGTACTCACTACTATATCTAAGATTAATCTCAATTATCTAAATTATTTTATATAATTTTAATAAAAAAATGTCGATATCATAAAGCTATAGAAATTTATTATATTTTATTATGGATAATCCGTCTTCGTTGGCACGTACGATTACTTTTTTAAATTATATTCATATAATAATTGAAGAATTTATTTTTATGAAATGAATCATAAGATTACAAAGAAACAATGAAAGACAGGAAATTTGGAGCCTTTGAAAACGATCCTTCTTTCGGTGACAGACAATGACAACCGTCCTTTGCCTCCCCTCTTTGTCGTCGACAGCCGTCCACGCACTATTATTCCACGTGTCGACCTCTCATTCGTCTGTTGTCTAATTACCTCACTTTGGCTAGTCTGGTATAAAATTTTGGACCCTCTAAATTTTTGTGATTTTCCCGTCACTAGGAATCCGTGACAAATTTGGTTCTTATTAGAAAAAGAATCACGGTAAAGAAATTGAATGAAATTAATAAATATTTTCATATTAGGTATATGAAAAATTCAATGTAAAAAATTATAATATAGTCTCATGAAAAATATATAAAATTTTACCAGACTACGAGATAAACACATAAATTTTATAAAACTCTAATTAAGTACATAAAACTTTTTAGAACTCCCAAATGAAAACAGAAGCTTTTGAGATTTGTGATTGAATCATAGGATATAACAAATTTCATAAGTTTGTGATAATTTTTTTATATAGAAAATGGATTATATAATTACTATAAACTGCAGATATAAAATGGTAGGCGGTGTGTCTTGTGGCTCATAACAAATATAAGTGGAAAATGATATCAGCAAAACCCATTCATCATCTTTATTCTTCCTTGTCTATTCAACACATGCCATTTTTCTACCGTTCATTCGATTGCAGATTTACCATTTAATTAATTATTAATTATATCCACATTTATATAATTCTCGAGTAGGGAATTAATTAATAATTATTATTATTAAAAAAGAAAAGACTCGTGGTCTTCTTCTCCGCTTCATCTTAAAACGACGGCGTTTTCTGTCCCTTTCTCTCCACTCTCACTCGCATGGGTTCTTATTTTTTGTATGCACATGTCCTTAGCTCTCCACATTGCAACGACGCCACTCAGGTCCTTCTCCCCTTCAATCTTTTTTTCCCCTTTCCCATTTTTATGGTGAAATTGAAAATGGGTCATTCCGAGGCATTTAGCTGAGAAGAAATTTTGCTTCTTTTGTTTTGAACTTCTGGGTTTCTTCGATATCTCGAGGTGTGAATTTCACGCTTCTTCTATTTAATATGCCGAAAGAAACGATTTTTAGGGGAAGATTGGGTAATCAATCTTGGGTTTTCTCTTCCCGGGTAATAAAAGATTCGATTTTCTCAAAGATTCTGTTTTATTAACACTGATCAGTGATCTTTTCTCATTGTAGTTCCCGAATCCTTTTGGCTCGCTGCTTTAGCTTCTCTGGGTATTGATTTATTGGATTTTCTCTATTATTTTACGTCGAGAATCTTCCATTGTGTTCAATTTCTCAAAAGTTCATGTTTCTTTAAGAATTGCTTTCTGGGTTTTTTTCTCCGTTGGGTTCTCGGCTGTCCATCTTCTTCTGTGTCTCCCCCCCCCCAGTTTATGATCTTTGATGATCTCTGTATATACGGCTAAATTGTCGTTACCGTTGATGTTGATGCCTTATTATGATATTTAATAAGAGGAACCGTCCTTGACAAATAAGAAAATTGGGGATATTTTCGTATCTCTTAATCTGTGATAGTCTCACATTCGTTTCTTTTATGTTCTGTTTATGGAGGTTCTTGGCTGATTTTTGTACCTTGTAACTGCAAGTTTTTTATCGTTCTTGATGAAGATTCTTGAGGGTTTAAGCTCATTCTTGTGTTCAATAAATCGGGGTTACTGTTTCATCACCTTGAACCAAAAGGATCCTAGGCAAGTCACCGAACTGGTTGCAGAAAGTTTGCAAAAGTAGGATCCTTTTCTTCTTTCGCACTCGTTTCCTTCGTTTTCTGAATCTGTTTTTCCCCGGGAAGTAATCAAGACCTCGATCCTTGGTTGCGTGGTATCGCTTTTGAAGTTTACATCAAGAAAGTTGACCTTCCTTCGACTGAGATTGAAGTTTAGTTCTGTCCGGAAAGAATTTCTCTTCTTCAGTGTCCAAATTTGTCTTGATCTTTGTGAAGTTTAAGAAATTGGTTCATTGCCTCATTGAATTCTCTCGCTCTGTTCTTTCCTCTATGTGCAGAACCGTTTTTTTCTCTTTTGCAAGTCGATGGCTTCTTCAGAAGGCGATGTACTTGTGCTGTCTTCTCATGGCGATTCATTTACCCGAGTCTTCGATATAGGCTTAGAAGAAGAAGAAGAAGGGTTTACAGCCTCTCCCGGCGATTTGCCATTCCGAGAATCCTCTACTTCAGCTGTGTCAAGTAACAAGAATATTCCTAAACCTCCCCCTCTCCCTCGTTTAACCTATAAGAGATGTCAGCCTTCTCGAAATCTCTCGGGCCTATCGCGTTTTGTGCCCAGAGAAACGGTAGAAACTTGGGACAAGCTTTTCAGGGAAGGAATCGGGGCAGATGTGTACGTCGTTACAGATGGCGATTCGCGTATTCCAGCCCATTCGAGTGTCCTGGTTAGTTCTGTTAATTGCTACCATCTGCATGGGGAAGTTTTATTTAGCATGAGGGATGATTTCTGTGTACATATGCAGGCTGCATCGTCGCCTGTTCTGAGAAATCTTCTGAATCAATCAAGGCCGAAGAACGGGACGAGACATCTCAAAATCCCCGGTGTCCTTTACGAGGCTGTCTACGTTTTCATTCGTTTTCTGCACTCTTCCCGGTACGTTGCCAATGCTTTTACGTGAAAATGGCTTCGCCCGTTCAAATCTTTCTTTCATCGTGTCTCACCCGTGAGGAAAATCTCTTGATTCTATGAAACTGCAGCTACGAGGAGGAAGAAATGAAGAAGCTTGTGCTCCATTTGCTGGTTTTGTCTCACTGCTACTCGGTCCCATCTCTTAAAAGAATCTGTGCACGTGTTCTTGAGGAAGGATGGATCAACAAGGAGAACGTAATCGACGTGCTTCAACTGGCAAGAAAATGCGACGTCCCTCGAGTTTGCTACAAATGCGTGTCGATGGTCATTAGGGACTTCAAATCTGTGTCGTCGACCGAGGGATGGAAGGTAATGAGGCGATGTAATCCTCTCCTCGAGCAGGAACTCGTCGAAGCTGTCGTGGAGGCAGACACTGTGAGTCTTTGTCTGTCTGTCCACCCCTTTCTTGTGATCTTCCCTCATGTTTCTTATGGACACACCCATTACTGACACGGGTATTCGTCAGCGGAAGCAAGAGAGAGCGAGAAAACGGGAAGAGAGGAAAGTGTATCTGCAACTGTACGAGGCCATGGAAGCGCTTCTGCATATATGCAGAGAAGGGTGCGGAACGATAGGGCCACGTGGCATGGCGCCGAGAGGGAACGGCGTCCCGTGCAGGTTTCCGGCGTGCAAAGCGCTCGAAGCTTCGCTCCGACATTTCAGTGGATGCAAGTCTAGGGTTCCGGGTGGGTGCCATCACTGCAAGCGGACATGGCAGCTTCTTCAACTCCACTCTTGTCTTTGCGAGGATCCTGACTCGTGCATGGTCCCCCTCTGCAGGTAAAGTGATTCAGTTCTTTTCCGTTCATCACGTTCAGACGATGATGATGATGATGATGATGATGACATGGCGTTTCTTGCAGACATTTCAAGGAGAAAATGCACAGCAAGAGAGATGAAACGAGATGGAGGCTTCTGGTGAATAACGTTATCGCTGCCAAGAACGCTCTCGGGCCCTTCTCCTCGTCTCGTTCCGTACTGTACAGAAGGCTCGTCTAAAAAAAAAGGGCTTTTCACTTTGTAAAAAATTATATATTTCCACAGTGAATAAAAATCTGTTTTCGTGTATTTGTTTTGTACGAAAATTAAATATTAAAAAAAAAGATTCGAACTTAATAATAAGATTTTACCTAATTCATGTCAGGACGCGAGGAGTGAGCCAGCAGACAAAAGACCGAAAGCGCGTGGGACCCACGGAAACTGATTCCCCTTGTACCCTTGGACTTTTGCGATCGCACGGTCTCTGCCTTCACTCCATGCGTTTCCCTAAACGCGCTTCTTCGAAACGCCACGTATCAGCTCAATTCCCACGTGGACGCATTGCTCGCGCGCGTAGAATTCACGCGTCCCCCCCCCCGGAGGACCAGCATCCGTAGTAACACCATGCGTGTGTGTATTACATTAAATATGTATATATATATACATGCACTCGGCTTTATTGTTTTTATTTTTTTTTTTGTCAAAGAATTGTTTTTATTTTTTATGACATTTTTTCTTTTGTTTGGAGAAAGTATATATATATTGAAGAAATCATATTTTCTCACAAGTGAGGTGACACAGAGATACGTTAGAAAGTGAGACAAATGGACTGACTTTTGGTGCACCTAAGGTTAGGGTAGACATCATCACACTGCATCAAACCGTGGCAGAAAGTTTGAAAATTTCAAAGAAAACAAAAGCAACGAAAAAAAAAAGGTTGACAAAAGGGGCAGACAGCAGAATTGGTCAAATATGTGTTGAAAAAAAAAAAGATGTAAGTTTCAAAAACGTCACTTTCACATTATTAGTTTATTTAATTTATTATACAAGCATGTTGAAATTAATAGCGACCTCTACCTGGGACTCGTATTCATGGGTTGGATATTAGCTGTCAAATTATCACTATACATTTATTTATTTATATATATATATATATATATATATATATATATTTGTGCGTACGCATGTATAGAATCCGAATAGAATTGGTTTTTGTATGTAATTAATTCTTGAAAGTAAATGAATAGAGAGAGAGTGTGTACAATGAGAAATGAATGAACATTTACTTCACCGGGAAAGAAACAAAAAACAAAAACGAAGAAAAGGAAAAGAGTTATAAAAGAGGAGGTCCCTCCCCCTCCGATTTTTGCCTGCTTCAGATTTCTTTGGTACATCTCTCTCTCTTTCATGCCGAGATTTCTTCTTCTCAACACGACGACGCCGTTTTAGGCGACCTAAGCTCTGCAAAAGCTCCAAGACGAGCTTCGACACCGAAAAGTTGAAAACTTTCCGAACGCTGACTGAGAATATAACTGACGAATTTCAGAGAAATGAGTCCTCTTTAGGTTTTTTTTTTCTTCTCCTATTTCTCTGTGTTTGGACCAAGAACAGTCGAAGAGTGAAAGCGTTTCTGGGTTCATCATTTTCTCGGTCGATAAAAACCAAAGCAAAAAAAAAACTTTTTTTTTTCGGTTTGGACGAAGAAAAATCGAGACTTTTTGAAGTTCTGAGTGGTGGGTCTTGGGGAACTGTAAAGCTTTTTGACTGTTTCTGGCAAATGCTGAGACGATTCTCTCTGTAAGTTTTCTCTCTCTCTCTCTCTGTGTATATATATATATATATATATCTTCATCTGCTCTGTTTTCCTTTTGATAGTAGCCCTCATTTGCTCTGTTTCCCTGAAAGCTTCTCTTTTCATTTGCCTTAATCATGCTAATTTCGGTTGTTTAGTGGCTAATCGTTTAGCTTACTTAGTAAGTGAATCGCTTCTCTGTTCTTTTTCCTCCTTTCTCATAATGGGTTGTAAGTTGTAATAATTCGTCTGCTTGTCTTCATGGATATGTTTGCTCGCAGCTTATTTTATGGAATTTCCTGAATTAACTCACTCACTTGTATATTTATAAAGTTTACATCTTTGATAAACTTGCAAGTTTCGGGGGTTCTACTGATTTTATGCATGTACATATATATATATATATGTTATATTGTCTGGACATGAGGTTTAGGCCCTTAGGGTGTTTAATTTAAGGGAGGGATGATATCATACTTAATCTTGAGCTGATAATGAGCTAATAACTTAAAATAATACTTGTTGTGATGTGAAATGAAGGGCTAACCTCTGACCATGATCCTGACAACGCTTTGACCAGTAATATCCTAATCCATGCTCTGTCTTCTGATGCACGGGTTTGTCCAAAATTAGATTTGATTCCATTATAATACTCCTTTACAATCTTTATACAAACGATAGTATCATCGAACGTTCAATTCTGAAAAAAAAAAAGTTATTCTTGTATGTGAAACTTGTGTATAGAGACGCGGAGCAAGTTGTTGGGTTGTCTGGTCTGGTGTGTGAACGGAACATGTTTCCTCTGCAACTTGCTTTGTAAGAGACGTGAAGTGTTCTTCAATCCTGAGGAGTTAGTGTATATAATACTATAACTGCGTCGTTTCATTTTGACAAGTGATTGATTTGGAAATCTGGTGTCTGGTGTCTCACCAGCTGGCTGAGTCCATGGCTTCTTCTGGCTTGTGAAGTGATTGATGACCTTGATGTTGTATCTATGATTTCGATTCTGTGTTAGTTTTCTTTGTGAAAAGGGATGGAAATCTCTAGAGATTCAGGAATGATGATGGAAGATAAACGGTCTCTCTACTCTCTCGAAGAAAGCAGTATCAGTTCTCTGTCACCGAAACGGCACAAGTCCAGTATCTCTTTCTCCTCCAAGGTTCTTCATCATCCTTTCTGTTTCGAAACGTTTTTACTGTGTTCCTGCAACAATGGATGTTCATTAGAAGCTTTAACTCAAATGGTGGTTTTTCAGTATATGGTTGAAATGGCAATACAAAAATCCGAATTCTTATTCCGGAACATAGAATGGTAATGTTTTCTTGGGCTCATGGCTAACAGGAGAGGAAGGACAAGGTCGGAGAACGAATTTCAGCTCTTCAGCAGCTGGTTTCCCCTTATGGAAAGGTGTGTTTTTGGTAAAAACATATCCTTTTGAAACAATAGAATTGATATAGCGGTTATCTTCTCTGATCTTCTTCGATTCTAACTGCAGACAGATACAGCATCAGTTCTTCTGGAGGCTATGCAGTATATACAGTTTCTTCACGAACAAGTCAAGGTCTGTTAGTTACCTTTATCTAGTGCAAGATCAATGCTAAAAAGCTCAAGCCTTTCTTTTCGCCCGTTTTCTTGATTCTGTGTCTCGTTTATACAGGTGCTAAGTGCTCCATATCTGCAGATGAATCCCGCAATTAAGGAGCAGGTAATCACGATCTCGATCCCGCTAATTCTGGGTTGCAGTCTCTCAGTCAGTCATGTTAGTTTCTTAGCTCTGTTCCAAAGCTCTGTTATTGGGACTGATCTGTGCTTCTCCATGGCTGTCTTTGAAACTAGGAGGGGGAGTTTGAGCATTACGGACTGAGAAACAGAGGCTTGTGTCTTGTCCCGATCTCGTACACGTTAGGAGTTGCTCAAAGCAACGGGGCCGATATTTGGGCGCCTGTCAAGACTCCTCCTTCTCCAGCTTTCGGCGTTAGATCTCACTCACCCTTCCAATGATTGATTTCCCGCCATGACCTCAAATTCCGAAGATCTTTGTCGAAGTTATCTTTCAACGGTGCATTTGTAACATATAAATGGAGATTCGAAGATTGGTTTCAGAACAGCTAATGGTTTTTCTCAAGGGCAATGGCTGTTCTGTTTCTCTGTCTGCCTAATTGCTTTGATGGGTGGGTGCTTCTTGATGCATCTCTTCCCCACTGCTTGGACTTGTATACTATTCGTCTAAATGAAGTTCTTCACTCTAAATTTCTAATGCTAAATCAAACTTTTCATGGAGATATTGTTAAAAAGTCTCTTTCTTTGCGCCCATTTTCAACGTCACTTTTTCAAAACCAACCAGTTAGTTTCATCATTGAAGATGATCATTATGGTCGGCACAACCATGTTGAAAATTCATCATTGATCGAACTAAAGTGAATGTGTTCTTTTGACGAAAATGTCACAAGGGGAATTCCTTCTTGGACCAAGAACGGTAGTCTCCTGACCAGTGAACCCATACAAGGACCATTTTGCATTACGACAAGGCATGACATGAATGATAGGTTCTGTTCACAAGAAGCAGCAAAGCATGTCATTTCATAATATCTTTCATAGGATCACAGATGAAGTACCAACCATGGAAATCGAATAGCAAAGGTTCACGACCTGCAAAGGGGATTGCATTGTTCGGGATCTAGTAGAAAAGAGAAACTGATCTCACCATATATTAGCTGTTTGATCGAATCAAGTTTCGTGTTCATAAATGTGACATGGAAGAACATCTTTCTCCGTCATTTCATACGAGGGGCGGCACTAGCTTGCTGAAGTAGGCGGCTTGACCTTCTCTCGAATGAACTGCAGTATATGCTCACGTTTCCAGTTGTCAATCCTGCGTAGAAAGCAAATAAAGAAACAAACGCCAGTCGCCAGTCATTACAGAGATGAAGCTCATCTATGAAACCTTAGTTGAAGTGCTGAAAATATGTAGAAGTTATATCATTAGCCCTTTTTGGCTACAAGTGCATTTTCCTCCAGAGAACCCACTTCTATCAAATTACGATGTAGGCAAAGAAATTTCAGGAATCATAAGATCTCAGAGGATGATATTAAGTTTACACATCTATTTACCAGATTGACGTTTACATATCAGATTTTTCAGCATGACAATCTTAAATGAACTCTAAACCAAACTCTCTTAAATAACTCTAAGAACTCTATTCTGGCATCAATCCAGCACAAAGGAGTTTATCATGGAGAGTAAGCAACTTACCTAATTGTTTCCTTGTGCTGACCATCTTCATCCAGCATGATCAACTTGGGTGGTGAGTTGAAAATATACTGAACTATCACGCTAGGGAACTTTTCTTTCTCTTCTTCGATAAAGGCAACGATTTCAGGATAGAAGACCAACTTTCTCATACAGACCTCAAGTATAGCACCCGAGTATGTAATCTGCGTTCGCAAAACAAATTTGAAAAACAACAAATTACTCCTCTTTCAGATTGTATGTAATAGCATCTTCGAACATCCAAAAGGTGGTTTCTCTCCCTACTCGAATAGGTTTTACTTGGAATAATTTTGTTTGGGCACCACTGGAACAAAATTTACCCAGACACAATTTCAAGTACATAAAAGTCCATGCATATTAACTGTACCTTGCTCATGGAATCTTCGGAGTCATCGGTGCAACATTTCAAGCAATCAGACACCAACTCTGCAAACAGAATGCTGATATCAGATACCGACCTTGTATTGTAAACAGACTTAAACCCAGATCATAATGTATAATACCAACCCAAGTCATCAGGTCATATGCATCTACATCTTTTTTTCGATTTTAACCGGAAAATATTAGGTATGATACATATAAAAGTGGCTGGGAGTCTCTTGCTTCAACTCACTCCTTGGAGATTGAAGAAGAACTCAAATTGCGGCATTTTCCATAAGCTTTGATCAAACTTTGTTCACTAAAAATGCAGTCTTTGCATGCGACTTGAAAGAAAACTTTTAATGAGATAAGAACTCCTTTGGATTTGCGAAGAGGGTAGCCATTTCTTAAGAACGAAGGATGAAAACATGTTTTACGGCACTGAGTCCTAACACTAAAACATTGAACAAAAAAACATGAATAAGAATAAATATTAAATAATGTCCCAATACTTTCTTCATTTGTTTGTTCATCGCCTTCTTCCGAGAAAAATACATATCCTTTTATTGGTGTATCCCTTCTATGTTCCTCAATTCAGTCAGACTCTTATCTTAGATTATTTCAATTACCAAGTTCATACAGCAAAGTCCGTGGATTTAATCCAACAACGTTGATCCAAAATCCAAAACCATGACTTTTTGCAAATCATGAATCCAGATATAGGTTAAGGACCTAAAAACTCAAGAATCAGACCAAATCTCAGGCGAAAATCAAACAATCAACGAAAATCCACAAGAACCGAGGATCATGGAAGGTGAAATTAATCGAAAGAACGAACCTTCGTCCTTCACATACTCAGCGAGTGTATGGCAATCGGAGCAGAGAGCGAGACCACTGAATCCCAGATCCTCGCATTCCTTCGTGCTTAGCTGCTCTTTAGCTGAGATCACCGTCTTCGTCATCACCATTGTCGCCGACAACACAACCATCATCGTCAATAGCGCTCGAGCCATCTCTCTTCTTTCTCTCCTCTCCCTCTCTCAGGGGTCTCAGTCTCTCTCTCCCTCTCTCTCGAATTGTGCTAGTAATAATCGGAACCGGTCAAGTCCGGTTACAGTGGCGAAATTGTAATATTGTGGGTCGGGTAAGATAAACCGGGAAGTCATAATTTGACCCGAGAGAGTTGTACCGGCTGCTTTTAAGGATCCGAACCGAAGAGCAGATAAACCCTAAAACCCTGAAATCAAAGATTACGCGCATCTGGAGAGAGAGAGAGAGAGAGAGAGAGATGGATCACATAGCAGCGATGGAGGAGCAAATCGTGTCGGAGAGGCTTAGAAGAAAACTCGAGGAAGTGAATGCGGCTGCGCAGTCTCAGCTCTCTCCTGTACAAGATCATATCAATTTCACTCTTCAGGTACTTTCTCCAATTCTGAATTCTACACACATATGTATATGCGCGTGTGCTTGTATATCAGCCCTAGTTGACAAACTTACGGTGTGTATGCTGCATAGATACGCCTTTTCATTACAACATGTACTTTCTTTCTTAGGTTATTGTAACGAACGTTTTAACACACTTTGAAAATGGTATTAAGAACCTCAAATTGTTTTGAACTCTGAAGATTAACTTAATATGACAGTCAGGGAAAAGGATTAGGGATGAGAGGCATTGTTATGTTTCATATCCTCTGGAAGGATTTTAGACTGCAATACAGCTGCAAAGGATAATCTTTTTTCAAAAACCATTTTTTTTTCAAGATATAATTTATCCTCTAAGCCGTCACTGAGAGGTCTGTCAGGTTTCTAGCAGTGTTTTGTCTTGAGTTTTATCCCTGAAACTGTAGCTCAAGATTTTGAAGGTGTGTGAAAAGTGGGTGAATATACTCTGTATGTCTTCAACGTACTGGTGTGATGATCTAACAAATGATTGATCTCGAAAATGCAGCAAGCTTATTTCAGATGTGCATATGAGTGCTTTGACAGGAGAAGGAAGCAAGAAGAGATAAGTAATTGCGTCGAGCACTGCAGTGTTCCCGTTGTCAATGCTCAACAACATTTCGAGAACGAAATGGCCAAGTTTCAGGTGGGTTTTTTTGCTTGCATACAAAAAATGGAATTTCGAGTACAAGCCCGCGTTTGGCACCATTCTTATATGTATCAGAGCTCATATGATGAAAGTGAAAACTCTGGGATATTTCTGGTGGCAGCTGTGATAAGTAATTTTGGATTGCTAGGAGATGGTACAATAGCAAACCCCTTTTTCCTTGTACATGAGCCTTAAACACAAGGAGCATCATATGCATAAATCCAGGTATTGACGTGTACCGAATTCTGCTCTATTACTGATGCAGGAAAGGATGAACAGATCACTAATGGTATGTCAAGACAAGTTCGAGGCCACAAAGCTCCAGAAGATAAGGACCGATGCCGTGAGCGAAATGGAGGCCTGCGTGCACCAATCCATCGACGAGAACCTCAAAACGCTTCCGCACCTTGTCCAGCGGATGAAAACCGCTTTCTCCATCGGCGAGTAATATCATGCTGCGGTACCATTTTTCTCAGTTATCGGCCTACGAATGGGAGGTACTCCATTGCATACCGGAAAAGAGTGTGTACTGATTGAATTGAATAATTCAGACATAAGACCTCAAACCAAAAGCTTTCTGCTTTATTGATGCAAACGATCTTTGACAATGTGGAATACCCATTATCAAAGTGTACACCGTACATGGACCGACATATTAAGCATTTTCGGCCTTAACGACTGAAGTTTTGGGCTTGAGATAAACGCCGATGCCCTGAAGACCGGTGCTGTTGTACGATCCATACAAACCACCAAACTGATTTGACTTTCCGAGTTCGAAACTGAATCTTTTAGAACTTGTTTCACCGTACGGTCCGTAGTGCTTCAAGTTGGTGGTGAATGTCAGAGCCCTGATGGCAGGATGGTCATATCCACCCTCCGCAACCGCACCGCTTATTCCGGTCATGTACTCTCTGGGATGGTCCAACTCTATCTGCATCTCAATTTGCCACGTGTAATCCCAAGGACTGCTTGTATATATATACAAGGGATGATAGTCTTAAAGAGTATGAAAACGCTTACAGTGCTCAACCGTACGCAACTCCGATCACATTTGTCCCATGATGCACCATACGGGTTTGATAGCACAAGTTTCCCATTTTTGATGTATTGGAATTGGATCGTTCGTATCCCTTTCCCGTCGGCGGTTATAAATATCTGAGAGAGATGACCACATTGTCTATCGTCCCAACTATCATACGTTCGTCCACAGCTGGAAAATGTCCCTACGGGGCCACATTTGATCATCCTGCCCTCTATATCCCCAGATGTGATAACCTGGACATCCGAATACGTATTTCGCAGATTCGAGATATTTGGAAAGAAAAAAAACTACATCGATTATATGTAACATATATATGTACCTGATGCTTGACGATATCGCGAAGTGCAAGTGTGGATTCTGCAGAAGAGTATCACTTACTTATATCGAGTGATTTTGCCGAAAGAAAGCAGACGAGAATTAGTCGAACTTTGGGGGATGAACTTGTTAGTGTCCACCGGAATTCCTGTCTTTAATCGCAATAATCGTAACGTGCATGCATGGCCTCAGATGTATCGGCACACATGCATCTGTACGTACGTTACGTACTATCAGATCGGAGAAAAGAAGAGGAAAGGGAGAAGACCGGCGGTGAAAATGAAAACTCATTCACGTATCTGTGTGTTTATACACTCACTGCAACGAATTTAAAATCTGTAACAACCACAAGACAATCGTAACAAGAAATTTGAATTTGAAAATAATTGAAAAGTGAATATATGCACGTAACAACAATGCAGTGATAATCGTGATACGTACACTGATTTATCATATTAAGATTGGATCCAAGAAAAATAACAATGGTCGGACTGTATAAACGTCTTAGGTCTTAAGCAGACATAACACATAGTTCTGACTTATTTACTTTCAACCAAAGACAGGATATAAATCTAAACAGAAGCGACATCTTCTTCAAGTCTTTTCCACCTTAACACTTGAGGCTTTGGGCCTGAGATAAACACCGATGCCATGAAGACCGTACTTGTTGTACGACCCGTAGAAACCGCCAAACTGACGAGACTTTCCCAGCTCAAACCTGAAGGGTTTGACGGGATCAACTCGGGAAATGGAACAAGACGTTCGACCAAATGGTCCGTACTCCTTCAAATTGGTGGTGAATCCGAGAGTCTTGATGGTCGGAGAGGCGGAGCCGATGTACGTGCTCACTCTGCCGTTGATTCCGGTGAGGTACTCGTTCGGATGGTCCAACTCGATCTGATCAAACCCGAATCGGCACGTGTGATTTCTAAGGATTAATTGTATATATAATGAATGTGCATAATGCATAATGGGGAAAGATATCAACACTTACAGTGTGGTTCGACAAAAAATAACCTCCGCTATGGTACTGGTCCCACGTCGCACCATATGGACTCGTTAGCACATGTTTTCCATCTTCAATGTATTGGAATTGGATCATATGTATGCCTATATCGTCCGCTGTTAAATATATGTGAGAGATTTCGCCACGACCGTTATAATCCCAATGATCATATGTCTGTCCATTGCTGGAGAATATCCCTACGGGACCAAATTTGATCATCCTGTTCGCACAATCCCATATGCTAATGAATACGTATTTCATAACTGAAGAAAACGACATTGCTTATGTATAACATATACATGTATATGTATACCTGATGCTTGATGATTCGCACTTATCCTTTCTTTCACAATTTCAAGAGAAATATATCTGAGAAGCGTACGTGCAATTGGGTTCTGCAGAAGAGAATCATTTATATTAATATTGGGGGGATGAACTTGAAATAGTGATCTTTATTTGCAATAAATCAATGTACTGTGTAACTTGAATGCAATGCATATCTTATTTCGATATACGCATGCATGCATTTATATACGTGACCAGTGCATTGATTTATCATACCCCATTACATGCATGGAAAAGTACGTAAACCAGGATTAGATAACTAATTAAGGAAATAACCGAAGCCTTTTTCCTTGAGAACAATGGACGGATCAACCTTAACTTTGGGCCGTGCAAACGTTAAATAAACACGGATCGAACTGCCGAACTGAGGAGATTTCCTGACTTGTATGTAGACTCAAAAATGAACCAGAAATTGAACCGAGAGAGAGACGAAGACAATGGAACACATAGAGTGCGTACTGATTGAATTGAATAATTCAGATATAAGACCTCAACCAAAATGCTTTATTGATGCAAACATGATTAGCGATCCTTGACAATGTGGAATACCCATTACCGAAGAGTACATCATGCATGGACCGACATATTAAGCATTTTCGACCTTAACGACAGAAGTTTTGGGCTCGAGATAAATGCCGATGCCCTGAAGACCATTGCCGTTGTACGATCCATACAAACTAGGGGTGGGCACGGGTCGGATACCGGGGAAAATCGAGAGATTTGGATTTGGATCCGGGAGGCTCGGGTATTTAAATATAAGATTTGTATCCGGAATTTGGTATTTACGAGTATCCGGGGTACGGGTATCCGGAATAATGGTCGGGTATTCGCGGATATCCGGATCCAGATTTTTTTTAAGAAAAACAACAATATTCAAATATAAAATTTTCAAAAAATGAAGATATATTTATAAAAATTGATGAATTATGATAAAATATACGAGACAAAAGAAATAATAAGAGATAAATAATAATAAATTTAATTTTTTTGAATTAATTTTAAAAAATATGAAATTATTTAATCTAGAATAATTATATTTTATAAAAATGTTATATAAATATAAAATATAATTATTTATAATCATAATAGTCGGGTACCCGCGGGTATACGGTTTTAAAAATTCTATTACCCGGATTTGGATCTGGATTCACGGGTATTGAAAAATCAGGATTTGGATTCGGATTTGAAAATTATGAGTACCCTAAAATCGGGTATCCATGAGACGAGTATCCGACGGATACCCGATTTTCGGGTATTTGTGCCCAGCCCTAATACAAACCACCAAACTAATTAGACCTTCCGAGCTCGAAACTGAATCTTTCTGAACTTGTTTCACCGTACGGTCCGTACTGCTTCAAGTTGGTGGTGAATGTGAGAGCCCTTATGGCAGGATAGTCGTATCCACCCTCCTCAGCCACACCGCCTATTCCAGTCAGATACTCTCTGGGATGGTCCAACTCTATCCGCATCTCAATTTGCCACGTGTAATTCCGCGGACTGCATTTGCATATATACGAGGGATAATGGTATAAAAGAATATGAAAACGCTTACAGTGCTCAACCGTAGGCAACTTCGGTCGCAGTTGTCCCATAACGCACCATAGGGTTTAGAAAGCGCGAGTTTCCCATTTTCGATGTACTGGAACTGGATCGTCCGTATGCCTCTGCGGTCGGGCGGTTACAAATATCTGAGAGAGCTGACCACGCTGGCAATCATCCCAATTGTCATACCTTCGTCCACAGCTGGAAAATATCCCCACGGGGCCGCATTTGATCATCCTGCTCTAGTCCGTACATCCCCAGAATGTTATGAAACAGGAATAATAACCAAAGAAAGCTGCATGGATTCGAGATATTTTGTAATCGAGACTTTTTGACGATTTGCCCCTTTCCTTTTCTTTCGCGACATCGAGAGGGTGATCGGCGGATGAACTTGTGAGATTAAAGAGCGATCTTTAATTGCAATAATAATTGGAATCCGTAACCATGCATGATCTCATCAGTACGCTGTGTACTATCAGATCTGAAAGGCGAAAAAAAATCTGATATTTTCTCAGTCACGTATCCGTGTGTTTATATACACACACAGCAAATCTCTGTAACGATCGCAGCAAGAAATTTGAATTTGAAAATAGATTGAAAAGCGAATATGCGCGCGTATCAACAACGCAGCAACAGTCCCGGTACGTACATTCATTTTACCATACCACATTAGAAGTACGTAAACCAAGATTAGAGATCCAAGGAAATAGCCGAAGCCGTCTCTCCTCGAGAACAATGGTCGGACTGTATAAATAAACGTCTTAGCTAGGTCTTAATGCATCGTCCGACATATTTACTTTTAACCAACGATGGGGTAGCAGGAATATACAAATCCAAACCACATGGTGCTATCTTCACATCTTTTCGCCTTAACCCGTGGACACCATCAAAGTGATCGAAACTGAACTCGAGTGGTTTAAAGCTTCCGCGGCCAGTGGAAGGACCTGAATTCGATTGAGAGGTACACCATTGCATGCCGGAGAAGAGTGTGTACTGATTGAACGAATAATTCAGACATATATAAAACCTCAACCAAAAGCTTTTTTTTTTTTACTTTATTGATGCAAACATAATTCACGATCTTTAATTATCAAAGAGTGCATCACACATGGACCGACATATTAAGCATTTTCTGTCTTAATGCTTAAAGTTTTGGGTTTGACATAAACACCGATGCCCTGAAGACCGTAGCAGTTGTACGAGCCATAGAAACCACCAAACTGATTAGACTTTCCAAGATCGATCCTGAAACTGTATGAACTGAATGCTTCACCGTATGGTCCGTACTGCTTCAAGTTTGTGGTGAATGTCAGAGCCCTAATGGTAGGAATAGGATAGTCCGATGAGACACCCGCAACTACACCGCTTAACCCAATCAGATACTCTTTAGGGCGGTCCAACTCTATCTGCATCTCAAATCGCCACGTGTAATTTTCAACGACTGTATGTATATATATAATAAAAGTGCATAAACAGGTGGAAATACTGACAGTGTTCAGGCTTACGCAACTTCTCCAATCACATTTGTCCCATGACGCACCATACGGTTCTGAAAGCACAAGTTTACCATTTTCGATGTATTGGAACTGGATCGTTCGTATCCCTTTGCTATCCGAGGTTACAAATATCTGAGAGAGCTGGCCACGCTGGCTGTCATCCCAATATTCGTACTTTCGTCCATAGCTGGAAAATGTCCCTACGGGGCCACATTGGATCATCCTGCTCTGTACGTATATCCACAAATGTTATGAAATGGTAATCGGTGTTGTTAAACAGCCGGAAATGGCTTTTTTTAGACATGTAAACTACGTGGATTCGAGATATTTTGTACCTGACTGGTACTAATTTGACGATTTGCCCTTTCCTTTCTTCCACCAAATGGAGACGATGTTTGGGTTTTGCAGAAGAGAATGGCTTATATAGAGTGACGTTTATCGAAAGAATGCACGAACTGATTGTTAGTGTCCACCGGAATTCCTGCCTATGAATTTAAAGAGTGATCTTTAATTGCAATAATAATTGGAATCCGTAACCTCGCATGCAAGAACTTGTTATTGTTTTATATACACACACAGCTAGCTGTTAGTGGTGCCTCCAACAATTAGTGGGAGACAAAGCCAAGTGGCAAGTTTTTTATTTAGAAAAACTTGAACCATAAAAGATGGTGATATTCAGTCACAACCACAAGCTAATCCCTCCATTCTCCCTTTGGCAGAAGAGACTTTATATATATATGATATATTCGAAATACTGCAGACGAGGATCATTTAATTCTGGGGGATCGATGAACTTGTTAGTGTCCACTGGAATTCCTCTGCCTTGTTGAATTAAAAGATTGGTACTCTGTATTTGCAATAATGTGTAAGTTGCATGCAATGCATGTTCTTAGTTGCGATACGCATGCATTTACACGTACATACATTGATTAATCATACCACATTACATGAATGGCTATACGTAAACCGTACTCACCTTCATCGGTTATGAATTTGTTAATGGCTCGGTCGTACATTCATCACTGACTCCGGTTACTTATTCGTCCGGATAATTCAGTTCGATCCGTCCATTAACACTAGTATTCCAAGATTGCAGATATCGTATGATGCGAAACACAAACTCAAAAAGACTCTTAAACCCTGAATCAGGAAAGCTAGAAAAAAGATTCCAATCTTCAGCTTCTTATACAAGTCGGCCACATGCATATATATAAAGATGATACTCATCCCTTAATTACTCGAGTAATTCTGGTATCATCACTAGTATATCCGCATATGAGTTAGACGTCTTCATTGCACTGGTTGAACGGTTCAGACATAAGATCTCCACCAAAAGCTTTATGTTACTTGTTGATGCACAACAGAACTATATATTAACGCGCGGTTTTTCACAATGTGTTCCTTCATACGCGACACATCTACTGAATTGGTGGGACAGTAGGAATAGATAAATCTGTAGATGTCTTCAAGGCTTTTCCTCCTTAACGATGGTAGATTTGGGCTTGAGATAAACACCGATGCGGTGAAGACCGTAGGCGTTGTACGACCCGTAGAAACCGCCAAACTGGCGAGACTTTCCGAGGTCAAACCTGAACTCTTCGCACGGGAGAGAATGCGGTCGACCAAAGGGACCGTACTCCTTCAAGTTGGTGGTGAATGCGAGAGCTATTATGTTTGGATACCTTCTGGCGCCTGAGACCATAGCTCTGCCGCTGACTCCGATGAGATACTCTTTAGGATGGTCCAACTCTATCTGCAGCTAATCGGCACGTCCCATCTCGAATGATATTATTACGCAACAGGAGGAAGACTGAAATGCTGTAATAATGGGGGGAAAAGATCCATGTACACTTACAGTGTGGCACGATAATGCATTAGGGCACGGTGATGTACCACTTGCTTGGTAGTATTGGTTGGACGAGTCACCACCATACGGGTTGGATAGCACAAGTTTTCCATCTTCAATGTATTGGAATCGGATCGTTCGTATCCCTGACATATCCGCGAATACAAATATCTGAGAGAGCTCGGCACGACTGCTATCATCCCAATGACTACACTCTCGTCCGTCCATGCATGAAATCCCTACCGGACCAAATTTCATCATCCTGCGTATACAAATCCCAAATGTTATATATATATATATATATATATATATATATATATATCAAATAAGTCTTAGATTCTTCAACATCTCTGAAGAAAACATTATATGACGTACCTTATACTTGATGATCCTCCCTTGGTCTTTTATTTCACAATTTCAACTGAGGAGTGCGCGCGTTTGTTTGGATTTATCAGGAGAGAATCACCTGTAGACGATGAGCATTTAATTCGGGTGGATGAACATGTTACAGTGTCCACCGGAATTCCCGCATTTCGATTTAAAGAGTGATTCAATTATCATTGGGACCCGTTAATGATCTTATGTCGATACATGAACATGCATTAACGTATCGTATTACCACGTCACATGCATGGAAAATACGTAAAACGAGAACCAAACAAATTTCTTGGACAGCATTTTTAAGGCTCTTGAGTTCTGTTGAGCCACCTCAACGAGTCATCGAATTGCATGTGTTTTTTTAATATTTATTTTTCATAATACTTAATTTAATTTGATCAGACTCCGACTATACATTCGTTCGGACAATTCAGTTCTATATGCGATATATACTCGAATTGGAAGGTCGAGAGATCATATATATATATATATATAACGGAATACAAACATTAATTATTTTTGTTGTGGTAATTAAGAGACAAGTAATGCTGGAACATGCAAATCAAAGAATACATGGCACATTGGTCGACATATATATATTTAATAAAGCAAACTATCGGATATCAGGAACATATAAATCTAAACAAACGCGATATCTTTCTTCAAGCCTTTTCCACCTTAACCCCTAAAGTTTTGGGTTTGAGATAAACACCGATGCGGTGAAGACCGTGGGCGCTGTACGAGCCGTAGAAACCACCGAACTGGCGAGACTTTCCCAGCTCAAACCTGAAGCTGACCGTCTTGACCGGTTGACCGTATGGTCCGTACTCCTTCAAGTTGGTCGTGAATCTGATAGCCTTTATGGTCGGATAGCCGACTCTAGCGTCCATCTCGGCCAAGCCGCTGATTTCAGTGAGATACTCTCTCGGATGTTCCAACTCGACCTGCTGATGAAATCGGCTCGAGGATTGTATCATATTATAGAAGTGCGTAACAACGTGGAGAACTGAATCGTATGAATAGAAAAATTACAGTGTGGCACAACAATTTGCTACGTCCGAAACCAGATTGTGGGCCGGACGCCAAACCGTATGGTCTCGATAGCTCTAATTTTCCATTTTCATCAATGTATTGGAATTGGATCGTTCGTATCCCTCCGTCGTCTGCGGTTACGAATATCTGAGAGATTTCGCTGCGACCCCTATCATCCCAATGTTCACAAGCTCGTTCATCAGCGTAAAGTCTCCCCACGGGAGGGAATTTGATCATCCTGTGTGCATAATCATCCCATATGTTATAGGATAGCTCAATATACGTATACTTGGTAGATTCTTCCAGATCTTTGAAGGAAACAGCATGAGTGTACATTACGTGTTTATTTACCTGATACCGGATTTGCCCTTTTCGTTTCTTTCTCAATTTCGAGAGGATTTTGCAGACGATATAGTCGTTTATACAGCGATATTATTATTGTTATATATCAAAAGTCGACATTTAACTTGGGGGATGAACTTGTTAGTGCCCACCGTGAATTCCTGCCTCGTTGAGTTAAGTGATATTTATTTGCAATAATCATGGGAATGTACGACTTGAATGCAAATGCATGATCTTAGTTCCATGCACACACGTACCTGCATTGATTTATCATACCGAGTTCCATGCATGGAAACACGAAAATCAAGATTTTACAGAATCAAGGATCCAAGGAAATAACCGAAGCCTGCTCCTCAACAACAGTGGCCGGATCGACCTTATGGTTCTTGGACTGTACAGACGCTTTCGGTTTCAAGTAGACGCCGATCGAATGCAGACCGTGTGTCGTGTCGTACGTCCCGTGGAAACCCCCGAACTGAGGAGATTTCCCGAGCTTGAACGAGAATCTTACGCCGCTCGACATGCCGATCGCTCGCCCCAACGGACCGTACTCTGCTTCATTGGTTGTGAACTTGATAGCTCTGATCCGAGGATTTCTATGACCGTACGACGTGAACTGCTCGGTCGTATATTCGCCACTGATTCCGGTTATATATTCGTCCGGATAGTTCAGCTCGATCTGCGTTATTCGTATTCAAACATCGAGAGATCATCCATATTAAACCAAACGCAGATTCAAGAATCCAAGCTCTGAATCAAGAAAAGGGGAACATTAAAAGAAGATTCGGATTACACTTACGGTTTCGAAAATGTTTCCCGCATGAGAAGATTGGCCGTAGATGTTGGATAAAACGAGTTTACCGTCTTCGAAGAACTGGAACTGGATCGAAGTTATCCCCATGTCTCCTCCCGACAAGATTATCTGACAGATTTCAGTTCGACCGGCATCGTCCCATTGAACAATCGAGGCGACGCTGGGATCGCTCTTCCCAACCGGACCCACTTTTATCATCCTGTTTCCATCCAAACACATCTGTATATACGTATGTATGATAAATCTGCTACCTGAGAATGTGTGATCCTTCGCCTGGGCGTGCTGCTCTCTCTCTCTCTTTGGAAATTTTTATTCAAGTTATATTAATTATATTTAAATTAGAATTAGAGAGAGGGATGTATTATTGATATATATATGTCTACGGGATTAAGACAGTAGAATCATATTCCTTTCTTCGAAATATTAATTTGATTTTTAACCATTGTAATATTCTTTGCTTAACTTTTCCTATATGGTCACAATCTGTTATTCCTTTGCTTTTATTTATTTATTCTCTTGATTTCTTTTCTAGTTAAATTATACAAAATGATTTGGGCACTTGAAAGCCCATTATGTCGGCCCAATTCGAATTACCACGGGATCTTTTATTTTCGAGCATCTCCTCCGTCCGTCTCCTGCTCTCCGGCAGTCCGGCGGCAAACAGTTCCCGACCGAGTCAACTCGCTAGATCCATCACTTTGTCTCCGCTCTTATTTTCTTCCTTTACCTTCTGGTTTCTCTGTCCTTCGTCCAAAGCCCTAGAACCCGCCAATAGGTTTCTCTGTCTCTCTCTCTCTCTCTCCCGTTCCTGATTTTTCTTCCTCGTCGGATCAATCAATGAATTCTTTTTTTTTTTAGTTTCTGTGTAGATTGGATCTTCTTGTGGAGTTTCCATGGCTGGGGTTTTACAGAAGTTCTTGATTGCATCTATTTTCATGTGGGTTCTGCCCGTTGGGATACTATATGGATTCAACAACGACTTGTTTCCGGGTAAGGTCAAATTTTTGCCTATTTCATGATCAGGATGTCTGGATTTGATTCGTGAGATGTTTGGCTTGTACCTTTGCTTCCGCGGATGATTTTTTAGCTCAATCATCTGCTTAAAGTGGAGATCTTTGATGCAGTACAAGTATGGTGTGGCTAATTAAGTTGGATTTCGTGTTGATACGTTTAACTATCAGTATATCTCGACATCAAAGATGTAGGACTAGTGACATTTGCCATTACTAGTGAATGCAGGAAGAGTGTAGAGGCTGTACTTGCAGAATTTTGAATCACTAGCAGTAATGCTGCTTATATGCTGAATGTTAGGCCATTGCTTAGGTTAGTCTGTAGCTCAGCTTTTGCTTCGTGCCCTGGTTTCATCGATATGCCGGTTTCTCCAAACAGAGGCTGCAGCTAGCTCGGAGGGTTGAACATATATATTAGACATGGTAGTATGGTACCCAAAGATGCTTCTATGTATGAACTGATGGTAGGCTTGTTGTTATTACTAGTGAGTCTGCTATTGAGCTTTTAGTTTTATCATGGTTGGATTGGAACTGGAAGGCCTGGAGGTGAACCCTTTCTCGTTTGAAACCATTTCTGATACGCTTAATCTGACAAATCCTTTGGTGGGTTTTGAGAAAACCTGTCTGATAGAATCCTGTGCTTTTTTTTTTTTGGCTTTAGATTTGCAGTGACTTCTTTTAAGCATCTCATTTTAGGTTTGCATTTAGGTTGTGGGTGTTTACTCTAGATCTCCTGAACTAAGATGATTGAGGAGTTCTTAGTTCAAGACTAAAGTTTTAGGACAGAGATGATTTGCTAGAAAATCAGATGGCAGTAGTATGTTAAATGATAATGCCCTGCTATCTGCTGTTTCTTTATCTTCAAAACCCGCTATTTAGTCTTTCCAAAGAACCTGATGTGACGATCTCTGCGGTTGCTATATTGAAAAACCCTTTGAATCTTGGTTTCTGTTATCACCAGTTCGGGTTAGGTGACTGAGGGAAATTTAGCTGAGATCATGAGCTACATCTTTTCGTTTTTTAAGGAAACCTCCTGTACTGATACATATTCAAATCTTTGGCAGGTGTGACGACATTGTCTCCACATTCGTTAACACTCCTGAGCGGATTTCTCGCAGTGGTATCAGTAAATATAGTGATTGTGTTCTACATCTGTATGGCCATGAAGGAACCCGTGGATAAGCACAAGCCAGACGCCGCGTTTCTTGCGGAGGCAAAAGATAGCGTGAACAAATTGACATCGGGAACCACCAGTACCGACCCTGCGCTCAAGAAACAAGAATGACAGCCGCCCAGTTCGTTTTCAAGATCCGAACATCGCCGGAGAATCCAAAGGAACGAGATTTTTGTCAGAACGAGGAACGCTTATGGTGCATTCAGTCTCGAGTTCGGCCTCTGGCTTTGTATTTGTTTTCGGTATCTTGGGTGTGCTTGATGAACAGAGACAGAGCTTAAGATCTGTGTCAAGTCAGTTTCATAATCGTTATGGAATTACATTCATCTTATGACTACAACTCCTTTTTTTTTTTCCTTTCTTTCTTTCTTTTATATATAAATAACGTATATCTTACAAAGTGCCAAAAACAGACAGAAGTCCTCTTTTTTTTTTTTTTTTTTTTCTTTTCTTTTTTGTCAGCGAATTTCTCCTCTTTTATTTGACTATAAATAAATATGTTATATTATCACATTCTGAAAACTATAGGTCTTCCCTGTTTCAGCCGATGATCAAAATATTCTCCTCCCGACAATCCAGCCTACGACAACCTGTGTAGATTGAGAGAGATCGGTTGCGAATTTGTCGGCCGGAGGTTTTTCATCGCGTGTCCTGTCCTGTCGCGGTGAAACATTCGACCCGAATCCACTGGTGTCTCTCGTCGCAACCAGAAAACGAGTCGCAGAAAGAAAAATCAACGGAAACCGAAATCCACCATGTGGATTTCGACATTGAAGAGAGTGAGGAGGACGATCATGGTTCTGGGGATCGCCAACCTCGTCGTGGTTGTCTCCGGTGCTGTTCTGGCTCTGGTGGCTTCCCCGGATTGCGGCCGCAGAGACCTCTTTCCTTTGTTCGCCGTCTGTTTCCTCGCCGGTGTTAAACTCGCCGCCATGGTTAAGATGGGCACTGCTCAGGAACTCATGGCAAAGTCTATTATGGATTCTCCGACGGAGATTAACCACGAAAGAAGGGTATTTGCCTAAGTTTTAAGCTTCATGTTTCATTGTCCCCATTGGTGAATTTGTGTTTTAGGGTTCTTTTGTGGGATTTGGAACACGTATGCGACTTGGGTTTGTGTCTGAAACCTTGTTTCTCTCTTGGGCTTGAGTAGCTCTACTTTTGGGGTTCCAGAAGATTCCATCTTGTAGTTGAAATTGCAGTCGTGGCTTAGTGTAATAGAATGTCTTAAAAACGAGAGGTCTAACCCTCATGGTGAAACATGATTAATTCTGCGATATACATGTTTCAGCTAATTTGGTTAGTGTTTTGAGGCTCTCTTACTTGAGATTTGGTTTGTGCATAGTGTTGGAGAAGTTTTCTTCTCCATGTCCTAGCTGGTGAAAGTCCTGAGATAGATGTTGAAGCAGGAGATTCTATATACTGGTCATGATTTGGATTTTGACTGGCGTTATGTGACGAACTTGTGATAAGTGCGAGTTTACAACAGAGCATGAAATGACACAGTTTCCTTTCTTACAATGCAGTTAAAGTATAAGACATGGCTCTGGTGGACCCGGTTTGCAATGGTAATTACTGTATTGCAATTTATTGGTGCAACTTACCTTATGTTCCATGTGGCCAAATTTGTTTCCCATGGTGGAATGCCAAGGAATTGCGTTTTAGGTAAATCAAACACGTTTTATTTTTACTTTCAGTGACTAAACTGGCATGTACTTGGGCAGTTCGATTCTATTTGTGTATAAATTTATTCTAGTATGTAGTTCTCACGTGCATATTTATCTTCCCTCCCTGTCGAACAGTCACCAAAATGTTTGTTATCATGTATGTTGAAAACTCTTCAATGCTTTTCAGTTCATTCATCCTGTGCAGACCATCACTTAAAATTATTTGTTGTTGATTATCCATTGCCATTCAGTCGGTGATCTGGCTTACTACTCAAATCTGACTCACCTTTCATGTTATATTTCTGTGGGCCATTGGTATCGATTCCTAATGCTGGTTTGTTCAGATTTTGTGCATGAGGATGCAGGCTCTCCTCATATCATCTATGCTGTGGGATTCTATTGATCAAAACATATCGCACTGTTTTACATTGATCTTGCAACTTGGTTGTGACTTGACAAAAAATCAGTTTCCAAGATTCTGTTCTGCTTAAGTGTGCGCTGCCAGACAATTCATACAAATACTCATATCTAAGCTCCACCGTCTTGTACTCTCTAGTCTTTTCTTCTACTTTTTTCATGCTAAAGCATGTCTTTTGTATCTCCTTTATGCAGGATTAACTTCAGACAGTCTCGAGTGGGAGAAAACTTTGCAGGTTGCTTTCGTCATTGCAGTTTGCTTCGTTGCTCTGGCACAATGCTTTATAGGATCAGACATATTACAATGGAGGTCCTTCTACACAACCCAAGATGATGCCTGGAAAGCTCACTACCAAGAGGTATTTGACCATGGAATTCGTGAAGTTTTGTGTTGTCTCGGACGTGCCAAATACATGTAAGTTTTATCGATTCTTAGCAATCTGGTGGATGGATATTCCCTTCATCTTGATTTTGAAAAGTTTGTTTTTCAACGGTAGCAAGTCGATTTCTAAGTAAAAATCTTATCAACCCCTTGATTGACTTTTGCAGGAGTGTAATGGAGGAAGATGAAGTGTATTCAGTAGCAAGACTATTGGGTGATCTTGTTGCATACCGTGCATCAGGCACTGGTCATTTGGAATTTTTGGCAGGTTATTTTCGATTCTGGAACTTATAATAGGCCTGTTGCTGAGTAATGGTGTTTGTTTGCCCAATTTACAACTTCTAGCGAGTATGACAGTACAAAACATATCAAATTTCACTATTATCAGGAGACAAAGTGGCATGATTTCTATATGGAAGAAGAGTAGAGTCGTATAGATATTTGGTTTGCAAAGCCAATTGCATTGCTGGCTTATTGCAGTTGGTATTCAAAACCATTTTTTGCAGCTGGAAACTGTTTTGGCATCAATTATTAATTAAAGTTCTCTAGAGCAAGATGCTAATGTTATTCATGAATATCTAAAGAGTGGTTTTGGCTGATATAAGGGTTGCGGCTAATCTGAGTCTCTAACACTTTGTAAAGATTTATCTATTCAGGTCTTGCTCTGCTGCAGAGTAATAGCCAGTTTTCTAAATCATATGAAGGCTTCATGGAGGCACCGATGGATCGGCTTCAAGAGGCTGCTAGCTTCCATAGATTTGCCGAAGCTGCTTACACTGTATGTGAACAAGACATAAGTTCAAAACTGTTTTTCGTCAGTGGTTACATGGATATTTCTTATTTGTGTATGTGGCTTTGTGCAGGGGCCACTACTTGATATCGGGAGAAATCCTGCCTTATTTTTATGCACATGGATTTGTAGGCAAGGGATTTTAACTCCCTGGAGCCGTAAATGGTATTTTACATCTGGTTAGCTCTTTGGGTGAAACCTTTTTTTTTTTTTTGTGATGTTTGGCCTTCCCATGGATTTCTCGTGTCTTCCGGAAACGTTGATACAAATGAATTTGCACGACGATGATGCGAGAATTTTCTTAACATTTTTCTCTAGGCGACCTAAACTTGATGGTGATAACTGGTGGCGAGGTCATGCAGCTGCCTTCTTGAAGTTCATTAGCTACCCATCTCACGTTCTTCGGCGTGGTCGAATTTGTAGGGTAATTTTGTTCAACCCTCTTATCTTAGATCTATTACCATGAACAGGAACAAGGGATGATGCCATATCAGTTTTCGGTGCAACAATTATACATAAGAAGACATGAGCACTCAACTCATTGGCTAGTTGGTTATTTACAGGAAATGATGTAGTTTTGCATTGAAGTTATTTGATCTTATGAGTTATTTGATCTTGTTCCTATCACCAAACAAGAAGACATTCTGATGCCTTCAAGTTCATTTATTGTTTAATTAATTTCTCATGGCAGGAGAAGTGTAAAGCAACGTACTTTGTCGTAGTCCTACATTACCTTAGATGTGTTGTGATTGCTGTTCGAGGAACTGAGACGGCTGAAGACCTCATAACTGATGGACTAGGCCGTGCATGTCCACTTACTTCTGAAGATTTAGATGGGCTAATAAAGTCAGGCTTCTTCCCATCTCTTCTCATTCTCTCTCATATGTTTAATTAATGATCATGGTTGTAGATTTTGAACTAATCTGAACTGCTCATCATTTCGTAAGTTACCAAATCACTGCTTGATGTCACTTATTTTATGCATCTGCTGATGAAATCAGCTTTTAGATGGCGGATATCCTGATGTCGTGCATGCTCTCTCTTTTGTCTGATTTGTTCTATGATCTTACTGTTCTGTCTCGGCTAGGAACACTGATAATTTTTCTTTCTGCCGGTGCTTTTTTCCTTTCTCGCAGTGATTTTCCTAATCATGGGTATCAGAGTATGAACTCTTCTTTTACACACTACGGGCATTCGGGGATAGTTGAAGCTGCTAGAGATCTTTTCATGCAAATTGAAGGATATCCCGAATTCGGAGGTAATCACACTATGCCTTTTATATCTCTTATAGTCCTTAGATGCCCTCACTGTTGCTATTTTTTCAAGCACATCAGGAAATGTTAAGGGCATTGATTTTCTCCTCAAGGTCTATATATAATTAGTTCTCTTCTATTTGTAGAAGCATGCAAGTTCTATTCTAGGTGTTTCGACATCTTTGTCTGACCAATGGAAGTGAAAATGCAGAGTCCAGATCTGTCGGGTTCCTGTCCTCACTACTTGGTGCTGGTTGCGAGTGTGAAGGCTACCACATTCGCATCGTGGGACATTCTTTGGGAGGTGCTATCTCTTCATTGCTGGGAATAAGGGTACGTCTTTAAATAATACGAGGTTACCTAGTTTGCTCTTGCTCTCGCCTTGTCTTTCCACATGTCCACAGTAAAGAACCGTGCTTCTAATACTGTGGATGACAGAGTTTGATTCTTTACCTTATGTTTCCCTTTTGTTCTTAATTGTATACAGCTGCGTAGAAGATTCCCTAACCTACATGTATATGCCTTTGGGCCCCTCCCCTCTGTAGATTCAAGTGTAGCTGATACTTGTTCAGATTTTGTGACAAGGTAAGTTTTGAATCGAACTGAAGAAACACTGATGTTCAGAGTAATTCATTCCATTTAGTTTTCCCTTCCCTTCGGTAATCCCTAATCTGAAGCTTTTCGATGGTTTCAACAGCATTGTTCTTGATAATGAATTTTCATCACGTCTTTCGGTTGGATCAATCCTTCGGCTTCAAGCAGCATCCATCAAAGCATTGGCACAAGACCCAAAAGCTGATACAGCCTTGATTTTCAGACTGGCTCGTCGGTTTCTCTATGTGAGCAATCACCAAAGAGACGGTGCCAAAGAAACGACATCCGGAGGATCTTCTGCAAGATTGTCAGAAGAATCAGATCACCGTCTATTCCAAGGTCATTACTACTTTTATCCCATCCAATAGTCTTTGTTCTGTTATCAAAGGTCATTACTACTTTTATCCCATCCAATAGTCTTTGTTCTGTTCTTTTGTCTGAAAAAATAAACATCTAGAGGAGCACAACTTGTACGATATCTCCATATAAACCCATAAGTTGTCCTTAGTCCTTGCATGGCATTATTATTAACCATGGCTGATAACCCGATACGGCTAAAGTTGCAACCTTTTGGTGCGGACTTCAGGCTGTTGTATCTGGAAAGTGTCAGCACTGGTTTGAGGGTAATATCCAGTAATGGGATCCTGAAATCTGAGATTTTAAATGTTATTTATTTCCAAATTCTAGGGTTGGATGATTGCATTGTTAAACTGGGGAGATGTTTTGGTAGTTTTTTCCCTTTGTCATCTGGAAAGATAGCTGCTAAATGAGATGGATTGCTTTTGTCTACATTCATTTATGTTTCAGTAGAGAGCCTGAAACAAGATCAAGTTTACCCGATCTGGGAAGAATCTGAGCCTGAAACGCAGCAGAAGGCGGATGAGATGCAAGATGACGAGTTCACCAATCCATTCCACAATACAGCTTCAGAGGATCCTGTGTCAGAGTTCATGGAAACTGTCCCGAGTTCTGAGGGCACCTCGGCCGATGACCCGCCTGAGATGTTCCTTCCGGGCTTAGTGATTCATTTTGTGCCTGAAAGAGACAAAATGAACATGCCGATCTGGCGAGGATGGGGCATCTGTGATGTTGCGAGTGATGGTTACAAAGCATATGTTGCAGACAGAGAGAGCTTTAAGGACATTGTTGTTTCCCAATCAATGTTCCTTGATCATCTTCCTTGGAGGTACCACACTTTCTATCTCTATATATATACACAGAAAATTCCGACTAAATCCTCTGAACCCCGAGTTCCGAAATGTTTCTCAGATGCAGGCACGCGATCCAGAAGGTTCTGGAATCTCGGAATCTCCAAGATGTGAATATGACAGCAGACAGAACTCAGATCGTATGATCTTCTCTCTCCTGACCTCCTCCTCCGATGATGTTTTTCTGGAGTTCTTCTCCGTCACATTGACAGTTCACAGCCATTGATGAAGCGAACGAGAGACTAACTGATGTCAACGAACACAACTGTATTGGTCGTATGTTATACGTCAGACCATAACGTATCTGGAAAAAAAAAAAAAGAAAGAAGATTTGATATACACGTTGCTACCAATTTGAATTTCGTAATAGTGTCAGATGCTTAGATCCATATAATTTGTCTCTGTCATGAATATATCTTTTGATTATGCTCTAGTTCAATCTGTATTTTTTAATAATAAATGTATATATCTATAACGGTTGAAAAATATATACATTGATAATATAAGATTAAGAAGCAATTTTCTTAATCGGTTCGATCCGGTTAGGTTCGGTTTATTCACCGAAGATCACGTGAGGCGCAATGGACTCTCATAGTCAGAGTCAGACTTTTTTGCCCATAAAAGTTTAAAGCATCTTTACTCTTCCGAAATTCAACTCTCCTCTCTCTCTCTCTCTCTCTCTCTCTCGCGATAGAAGCCATGTACCAATCATCTCCGTCCACGTCATCATCGCAGAAATCATCGCTTCCGGGAGGCGGTCTGATCCGGTACGGATCGGCTCCGGGATCGCTACTGAACTCCGCCGTCGACGCCGTCATCGGGCAGCCGGAGAACTTCCTCGGCCATTTCTTCTCCGGCGATTCTTCCTCCCTCAGGTCGGAGTCAACCTGCGGAGTCAGCTCATCCGACGGTCGGAAAGACCTCGGCAAAGATCTTCTCGACAGATCCTACGGCCTCGAAGAGATCTCACAGCACAGGAGTTCGGATAACGCTAACTCCGGACCTTACTCTCTCGCCCGTCAACGGAGCTCTCCCGCCGATTTCTTCAGTTACCTCACCTCTGACAAAAACGGTGCGTTTTCGCTTTTCCGATATTTTCCCCTAAATTTTTGGAATACTTATTCATGATTCGGTGTTTTGCACATTAATCGTATTCATGACAAACATAAATACGTATAAATACGTACGCCTTTGTGAGGGGTAATTTCGGTTAATGAAAACTAGAATGATCCGTACATTTAATATTAACACCTTGTAAGTTTGTAACTAGACATAAATAAATGTCCCCCGAATAATCATATTAATGTGTGGCCATTCTTGGTAATTTTGGCTTGATAGTATATCCTTGGACGGTTAAATGGCGAAAATGCCCTTAAGCGGAATACATTGAACCACGTGGATTAATGAAAGACATGTGGCTCGGTTCCCTGGGGAATTTCTTCGAGGAATCCTATAATGCAAGTTGCATGGTTTTTTATGTAAAGCATGGCTTCTTTAAGTTCGTGTCTGAAATGGACTGTCTGCTGACGTGTCCGAGTTTGATTGGCTCACTATTGATATTGAGCATCTTAAAAAAAGAGGGGGAAAAAGGGATGGATCTGTCTTTTTCTACTATATTATATTATATATATATATATTCGTGTCTCGTTCTTATCTTCTGCTGGATTATACAACCTAACCGGGATCGGTTTGAGCCGAACCGTAAAACCCTGGAAATCCATTTTATACCAAGATACATGAAATTTTAGTTCATCCCTCGGATTTCTATTTCGATGTCACTGTGTCCATATGTTTTATACTCACATTGGTTCGTGTCATTTGGTTTAACGGTTATAGTATAATATTTGATCAACCATATGCAATATTTTGAAATATCTCATTGCGTGCGTATTTAAGGTTTTTCCGTGAGTCAACTCAGTCAAGGGACGGGAGAGTACAGTGGAGGAGGGCGAACGAGGCTGAAAACACAGCTGAGCTTCACGGGTCATCATGACTCACTGGGTCGGATCTCGGAGGTCAACGAGTCGGCAATCGACGACACCTCCGACCACTCCTTCGCTACGGATTCGTGGGACGATGCTTCCGGCGGCTCAATCGGATTCACCATGACCCGACCCGCTAAACGACCCAGAGACACGGACCCTTCTCCCTTTTCGCAGGTAACACCATCTTTTGTTTCCACATTCGATCTGTTGTTTCATTAAGCATTGTATATACTTATAACTCTACGCCCACGTGAGTTACAGTTTAGTATATCGGATACATCGCATAGCTACATGGAAAACTTCATGCAACTCCCAGAAGATTCAGTGCCATGCAAAATCCGGGCCAAGCGCGGTTGCGCAACTCACCCCAGAAGCATCGCTGAGCGGGTCAGTTTTTTCTCTGTGTAAACCCTAATGACGTGTCTTCGGACGTATATAATCAACATAAAGCTTGGAAATATGCCCATCTATTTCGTGTATATATATATATATATATATATATATATGTGTGTGTGTGTATCATGGTGTATGCATGTATGCATAATGGATACAACATGTATGAGCCAGGAGAGGAGAACGAGGATAAGCGGGAAACTGAAGAAGCTTCAAGAACTTGTTCCCAACATGGATAAGGTAGGCTCTCTCTAGATCTCTCTCTCTCTCTCTCTCTATATATATATATGCATGTATGTAATTAACTTAATAGGAAGCAAAAAAGAAATATGATTTTCACATAGACAGAATCTTTTGTTGCCAATGTTTGAGTGTGATTCTTTTGACAGCAAACGAGTTACGCGGACATGTTGGATTTGGCGGTTGAACACATCAAAGGACTTCAACAGCAACTCGATGTACGTACAATCATATGTTTTTACCACTACCATATATATTTTTAGGGTTTATCTCTGCGGTTAATTAATACTTGTGTGCACATTTAATTGGTTCTTATATAAGCAAGAAACGGGAATTAAGATATATTGAAATGTCAGAACTTTGAAAAATGTATGAATTGAAGATATTTGTTATGGATCTCCAAAATGCAGAAACTCCAGAAAGAACAAGGAGACTGCACATGTGGATGCGGGGAGAGACCGGACGAGGGATGTGGACTCTAGACCGATCAAGATTCGTAACTGTAATTAACGGTTTGATTTCATCAGATTACATTAATGCCTAATTTTCTCTTTTAATCTGTTTTGTTTGGACAATATTTTCCATGTTTTGATGGAAAAAAAAAAACAAAAAGATGGATTAGCTATTTTTTGCATGGATAATGTTTCTTTCTCGAATGAATGACATTTTTAGTTAATCTTTAAGCCAAATTTTTGTTGGCAGTTATTCCAATAAAATGTGACGGATAATGTTGCTTTCTTTCCAGATTTTTGATGGCATTTGATTTGTCGGTAGATCGGTTTCTTTATATAATTATAGAGTATGAAAAATGGATTTTAATGCTGAAAATATGTTAATATAATATAGATCGAATTTAATGACCGAGATATAGCTGTCAACGTTTGAATTATTCGGTTCAAACTTCAAACTAAAACGGTTTTAATTAAAAAATAAAATCTAAAACGTTTTTAGTAAAAATAAAATCTAAAGCAAAAGTGTCAATTTTTGTAGTGCATTAAATACGACTCCCTTTAAGAGGAAAAAAAGGGCATTTGAAAGAGACCAAATACATACAAGTGGCTGTGGTCAAAATAAATTTTTGGTTACAAAATTCAGTTTATGGAAATTACAACATAACGAAATGATGTTTCACTTTTGTCATTTCGTCGGATTAATTTATTGTAACGGAGTGATATTTCTCTCTCTCAAAAGACAGAGATTACGTGACAAAATATGGTCCTATGCAAATAACGAATATAATTATAAATATATACATTAAATATACAATTCGACCGATCCAAAGAAGAAAAAAAATTGTCGACAGATTTTTCGGCACATTATTCAAAAACCACCAAGGGAAAAAAAAAGAGAGATGATATATGAGCCCACTTCATGCGCAGTATGTCTTTTGCCAGCTCGCTCTTCGTCCGCCTCTCTCTCTCTCTAAAACCAGTCTCGCTTTCTCTCTCTCTAGAGACCAGAAGAAAGGCGAGGAAGAAGAAGGGGATAGAGAGAGAGAGACGAGCGATGTCGTCGGACGATGAAGGAGGAGAAGAGTACCTCTTCAAGATAGTGATCATCGGCGACTCTGCGGTGGGGAAATCGAACCTCCTCTCACGGTACGCGCGAAACGAGTTCAATGCCCACTCGAAGGCGACGATCGGGGTCGAGTTCCAGACTCAGAGCATGGAGATCGAAGGCAAGGAGGTGAAGGCTCAGATTTGGGACACGGCGGGACAGGAGCGTTTCCGAGCCGTCACCTCCGCCTACTACCGCGATGGTCCTATGCAAATAACGAATATAATTATAAATATATACATTAAATATACAATTCGACCGATCCAAAGAAGAAAAAAAATTGTCGACAGATTTTTCGGCACATTATTCAAAAACCACCAAGGGAAAAAAAAAGAGAGATGATATATGAGCCCACTTCATGCGCAGTATGTCTTTTGCCAGCTCGCTCTTCGTCCGCCTCTCTCTCTCTCTAAAACCAGTCTCGCTTTCTCTCTCTCTAGAGACCAGAAGAAAGGCGAGGAAGAAGAAGGGGATAGAGAGAGAGAGACGAGCGATGTCGTCGGACGATGAAGGAGGAGAAGAGTACCTCTTCAAGATAGTGATCATCGGCGACTCTGCGGTGGGGAAATCGAACCTCCTCTCACGGTACGCGCGAAACGAGTTCAATGCCCACTCGAAGGCGACGATCGGGGTCGAGTTCCAGACTCAGAGCATGGAGATCGAAGGCAAGGAGGTGAAGGCTCAGATTTGGGACACGGCGGGACAGGAGCGTTTCCGAGCCGTCACCTCCGCCTACTACCGCGGCGCCGTCGGAGCCCTCGTCGTCTACGACATCGCCCGCCGCACCACCTTCGAGAGCGTCGGTCGCTGGCTCGATGAGCTCAAGAGTGAGTAGTCTCTCCTTCCTTCCATCTTATTCTCCTGATTCTGTTTTTGGATGATTTCGACGGTTTTTATTGGGTTTGAGTTGGGAGTAAATTTGTTTGAGTGATTGGTGCATCTTTGTGTCCGGATTTTGTTGATCGCTGGTGATCGATTGGCACAAGTTCATCCTCAATCTGATGATGGCGTAGGGATTTAGTTAGGCCGCGTAGTTGACTGAAGATTGGAAAAAAATGAAGCTCTTTTGGTAGAATCATGGATTTGGTGGGTTCGACTAGGATTCAGATGGTTTTGGCCGTATGAACCGTTAGATCTGAATTCTGAAGGTCTAATGACGATTTCATCGCTCGGGTCGAAATTGAAATTGACCGATGAACTAGGAAGACTGCTCATTTGATGCCCAAGAATCTTTTTAAGCCTAAAAATAGTAACTTTGGGGCATAGATTCGGTCTCAGGTATCTTTCCATGTAGGTCGGGGTCTCCTAATGTTCTCCAGTTCTTTGGTTCGCCCATGTTCTTCTGGCACTGTTAATTGTTTTCCCTTTGCTGAATTCAGATAGCAGAGCTTTTTGAATCTTAATTCCTCTTTAGATAGAAGCCCGAGAATATTTTGAACGTATTAGATATATGAAAAGGTGGTAACGGGGAGGACATGGTTATACCATTTCTGTTAGTGTTGGCTAACTTGATGGTACTCAACTGGTCCATTTGGTTCAGACCTGCTCCTCCATTGTTTCGTCCTCTCTCTTATTAGCCACCTGATTTTGTGATTATGAAGAACAGATTGGGAAATGGGAATTAGCAGTCATCATTAGTAGTGCAGTTAACAGAGTTTATGGCCACAGAGAAATCTGTTTATACCATCAATAGTGCAGGTAGCAGACTTTGATGAGTGAGGCTCAATAGGCATAGATCTAGAAAAGGGCCCTGTTTAGTGTTTACATAAGTAGCCGATCTACTCGTAGAGGTTTCTGAGTCTTGGATCCACAAGTAGAAGTTTGCTCCTAAATAAGGATGAGGTTTTTTTGAAGGGTTGATCATATGCCTCATATTCATCATGTCCTCTTTCAAGTTCTGATTGCTTGCAAATGTATTCGGAACCCCAATGCCTAACTTCTTCTTGCCAACCTTCGTCCATCTATTAGTACATGCTTCATATATCCCATTGAAGTTTCCGGAACTTATAAAGCCGTGAGTGTTGCATATTTTTTTTTTTAAATTTTCAGCCCATTCGGATACAACGGTGGCGAGGATGCTGGTGGGAAACAAATGCGACCTGGAAAACATAAGAGCGGTGAGTGTGGAGGAAGGCAAAGCATTAGCAGAGTCGGAAGGACTCTTCTTCATGGAGACGTCGGCTCTCGATTCAACGAACGTCAAGACAGCGTTCGAGATGGTCATCCGAGAGATCTACAACAATGTCAGCCGCAAGCAACTCAACTCAGACACATACAAAGCCGAACTGACAGTGAACCGTGTAAGTCTCGTTAAGAACGACAACGAAGTCTCCAAACAAGGCTTTGGTTTCTCTTGCTGTTCCCGTTGATTTCTCTCTTATTTTTTTGCTGCATTTGTGATTTTTTTCCCATAAGTTTTTGTTCCTTTTTGTTGTTGTTGTACGCTCATAGAAAAGCCAAGTTCATAATTGTAATTTCGGGTGAAGTCACTTTGTGTTATGGAAACAGGAATGATACATTCACCATCTTCTGAATCTGTAACCCCAAATTTTATTTATTTTTTATTTTTTGCGTCTGAAGAAACAAAAGTAGTAAGGTTACGAAAAATAAATGAAGTACTTTCCTCACCAATAATCCATTTTTATGAAAAAGAATAGTTTTACAACACGAAATGATCTTTACCCGTGAGATCATAATCCAAGTAAATGTCCTACGTTTACACTTCGCCAAGTCACAAAAAAAGTGCACCAAGACAAAAAAGAAAGAAAGAGGGAACCCATCCTCCAAAACTGTTCATGAATCCGACCATAAAAAACCCTACAAACATTTATGTGTACAACCCCCCACCCAATGAGAAGCTAAAATCCAATAGCGTGAAGAAAGGAAACTGAAAGAGAAGTCCCGAAAAAAAAAAGACAACACACAAAGAATGGTCGGAAGTACATCTTCCGACCATAAAGAGACTCGTAAGCCTCGGCAGACAGCAAACCTTGAACCGTCAACCACACGGTTTAGAAGTCCACACTCTGCTTGTTTGAAGAACCTCTTAACGTTTTGAAATTCCCCCGTTCCTATAGTCACGAAAGAATTTGCTTGAGGTAGACCCATTAACCCAGTTCGATTCAAGCTTAGAATCATGGAACAGTTGCAGCAGCAGCAGCAGACTTCTGTTGTTTCTCCTTTTCGATCTCCACCCTTCTCTGCTCTGCATGCTGGGCTATGCCATTCGCCAGTGCCTGATAATGGAAGTCTAGTGATTGGTTAAGTTTCTGGAACCTTTCCGCATCTGATGCTTGGATGACTGCATAATGGGCAAAGTTACAATTAGCCTTTACACAGGGAAAGTACACAAGGGAAATCGAGGATACGGACATCTGAAGTAGTCATGGTTGATGATAGATTTAACTATACCTCTGATTGTGTCCACAAATAAGATAAAGGGATCCACCTCATCGATGGGTGACTGGAACTCCTCATCATCACTATAATCATCGTCATAATCAGAGTCGTCCTCATCATCTTCATCATCATTGTGGCGGAAGGCCTTTGTCTGTTAGTCAGACAGAAGCATAATACAATCACCTCCAGGCTGAAAAAACACCTTGGGTAATGGAAGTAAATGATGAAACCAGACAAACCTGGGCGGCTAACTTCTGCAGTTTAATGTTGTCTGCTTCATCTCCATCCTCGACATCATCCATCCCCATCTCACCATCAGACCCATCACCATCATCTTCATCGTCGGTCTGGAATCCATTCATATCATCCTCATAATCAGCCGCTGCATCCTTTGCAGCTTCTGCAGTAAAAATGGGTGAGGAAATACGCTGTAAACAGGAGCCTGGTAGACGTAGGGGAAACATAAGCGTAAGTAGGACATACCGACAAGTTGATCCTTGTATGCAACAAGAAGGTCAAGGGTTGCTTTGAACACACGCTGCAGAGCTTCATCTGGTAACTGACCAGCAGGGAGAGCAAGCAAAGAAATCAAAGCCAAGCAGCAGACCTTTTTATCATGCTCCCTGGTATAAAAAGAGCAAACCTATCTATCAGTTCATTGCAATGAAAAATCTAAAAGTTAATGACATGTTAAAGCAACACAAACAAGAAGAGAGACTGAAATATAAATATCAGCAATACTACCTTTTGAAGTTCGCTGGTAGGCCACTCTTTTTCTTTTGTTGCAACATCTGGAACCAGAGATCAAAGATTTTTGAAGCCACTCCCATGTTATGCAATATACCAAGTGTCAAAGCTGGATTGTAATAAAGTGCATTCGCAATCTACAAAAGACAACATCGAGTAGGAATGTCAGTGGTTCCTCAGTCAAGTAAATGCTGGAAGGTCTTCAGCACCTCATAATAATCGAACCGATGCAACAAAAGCCAACTCAGTCCCTTCTTTTGGCATATTATTTATACACAAGACATTCAAAAACATATAACTAACAGATCACCTCTAGAATATAAACTTCAAATCAAATATGTACTTTGATATCAAGCAACAGAAGTCCAAGAAGTCTACAGATTTCTTACCACTTGTACAAGAAGACATTTTAAGTATGGCTTCTCAGCTCTTTGCAATCGATCAATTGTTATTCGCAGATATGGTTCAACCCAATGATCCACCTGCCCTTTGCAATTCTGGAAAACAACTTCGATAAGTTTTGGGGCAGGCTCAATATCACTGTCTTCGATGTTCTTGTCAGTCATAAGCTGTAGAAACACAATGGTGAAGCATAAATTTGTCAGAGGAAAGGGCATGGATAACAACGGTAACAAGAGCAATATTAAGTAAACAAGCATGCAAGAAATGAACTAATAAGTACAGTGTCCATAACTCGAAAAACTTAAGGTGATGCTTAAGTACAATGCATCCATGAAAAAGAAGGGAGAAAAGGTTCGTTGTTACGCCGAGTACACAAGAGATTCCCTCAGCTTAACATGATGTATTCGAGGCCCAAAATTTCTCCAACTAAAGCTATGCATAAAAAATCAACTAATTATGTTCAATAACAAAAGAAGATTCTACCCTCCAGCATGCGTTGTACAGGTATCCATCCATGATCTTACAGGTCATTGCAAAAATTTATAAGCATAGATCATGTATATGTAGTGCTAATACTTCAAAAGGACATACTCACAGTTGAAAGAACTTTATATAGACTTTGCTGATAATCAGGCTCCTTGCAAGTCAGAAAATGAGCAGTTCCCCTCGATATAAAGTTGTCCATCGGAACCAAAAGATCTACATTTCCAATGGATGATTTAATGACAATAGTGACAAGAATGTGCTAAAGAGATTATTCTTAACTAGAAACCTTTGCTAGAATAAAAAAGACAATTGCAGTGACAATCAGTCATACTTGGAAAGAAATCAATTGCCCAGTCGACCAATGCCTCCACCATCAATGGCCAGAGAGTCCACATTTCCAAGGAAATGCTAGGTGAATAAAAGGTCATATATGAAGCAATTTCCAAAACTTCTTCAAACACCTCTGCCAAACCAAAATTGGATGAAATTTAATCCGTTCAGTCCTCACTAATAATAGATGGAAAATAACAAATGGGTCACAAGACAAGTTGTTTCAGGAGAAATAAGAAAGTTATTGCACAACTTAACCAGATCATAGGTAAAAAAAGTATGCAATTCTAAAAAAAACAAAGGTACATTGACAAGATGATATGTCAAGTAAATTAAATAAGAGGCACCGTATGACTGGCAGACTAGCAGGGAAGTACATAAATAAGACACGATCCATAAACTAGAGATCAGGGCTAAATGAAAGATTATTGAGATCTGAGCATTCGATATACATTTCTCTCTGTGTGTACCTTTGCTGAAAAAGAAGACAGGGTAACCTTGATTGAGAAAATATGATGCAGGATGATATGCAGGGAAAACTTAGCAGACTCTTATTTCATAGATACTCAGCTAATAAAAACTTAAGAAACAGATTTGGCCATGAAAAAAAGAATAAACATAAGCTTCACCAAAAAGGGATCGCTGACAAAAACAAATAGAGCTCAGGAAGACCAAAGACTTTAGCACATCGACACAAACAAAGCCCTTCAAAGTGATAAATTTACCTTGGCCATCACTTGTCAGCATTCTACGCATTATAGGAAGCAACGTTGGTTCTACCTCAACAAAAAGCTGAGGAAGACTGCTAACTGATTCTAAAATTGTACTTATGGCACGCAAACAGCCGACGGCAGCTAAAGCTCCTGAGTCATCAGATTCATCATTGGCTTCTGACGTGTTTAAACACTTCCAAAATGCATTAGCCTGAACAAAGAGGAGAAAAGAGGGATGAGTTCTTATGGAAAACACAACTTTTATTATACAAGAAAACCATGCATGACTTATGGTAGAAGCATTGTTCTCACCAGGCTTGAACATAACCCGAAAGCATAAGGAGCCATCTCTTCCCCAAACTTATCAACGATCGTTTCCAAGGTAAAAACAAGGTCTTCATTTTCAACCTCATTCATAAGTTTGAAAAACTCTGGAGACAACAAGATTGTAATTATATTACGGAATGCTTTATTCTACCGACCACAAAGCTGCCATAAAAATATAACTCAGAGAACTATGAAAATAACCTACCATCAAGTAATTGGGGGAGGATAGGGCGTATCTCATTCAAATCTGCAGATTTAATCAGAGAACTTCAATCAATCACCACAAGCACAATTAAGACATACAGCGCAACAGTCATGAATACTCAATGCACAATATAAAAATGCAAAGCGCATACAAATGTATGAAAGAAAAATCACGCACCCTTGCATGCCTCAACAAATGAGCGCAAAGCAAAAACTGAATCAACACGAACGGGAAGGTCGGGATCTCGCAATCCCATGATAACACTATGCAACGCTTTACGGAAATTGTTTTGATCTGAAAAGCTGATGTGGGCATACTGGCCTGCAACCCATGCAGCCTACATTTATAAAACCAATGGTCAACACGCCGAAGGAGTTCCAGAAGAAATTATACAAAAGATGAACAAAGAATAAGAAGGATATACTAAAGTGTCACAAAATGATATACATTGCAGTATATGCCCATGTATATCAAGAATTTGACATAACTATCAATGCAAAGCTTGTCAAAATAAATTGTGGCATATGGGAAATTCATAGAAAACCGAAACAGGAATCCAAACTGGGATCAATAAAAACACCTTCTGTGGTCCCATAATACAATTTAAAACAAAGAAAACATGAATACCTTCGCTCTAAGATGTCCCACAGGACTGCTGAATTCAGGAAAAATATGTTGAACCAGCATACGCTCTAGTTCAGATTTATAGGGCTCAATCTGTTTCAATTTGTCACAAAGAGCTCCAACAGCAAGTAGCGCACCATCCTTTTGACGATAAGGTTTATATTCTGCTGGAGCTTCATCATAACTGGTAACAGTTGAAGATAAAGAAATATGTTCAATAAAGAGAGACCACAAATATGTCAAGATGTACCAACCAGATGAGTTCAAACACAATACCTCCTGAAGATCCCAACAATAAACTGAACTAACTTTGGAAGATTGTCTTTCCCACGTTTTCGAACCAACTCATTTACAAAGTCCATGGATGCTGTACGCGGACTGTACAAGTCTTCGATGATATCTGGATCACAACAAAAGACATTAAGCATGCAGATATACTCGGGGATATTCCGAGAAATGAAGAAAGTTGATATTATTTCATACTTACCATAACCTTTTCTCACATATTCATGTGGGTCTTCATCCCAAAGCTTCTGGTCGGAGTCGTTAAAGCACATTAGAGGAAAAACAATCTCAAACAGCAGAACATCCAATCGAGGCTGCAGCAAATTGTACATACTATTCTTCGAGATACTGCAGGTAATATGAATTATAGTTTAAAATTCAAGTATTTCCCATCGGCAAGAACTTCAGAACATGTCAAATGCTATCAGAGAATGAAGATAGATTTGCAAATATTTCATCATTTAAGTTCGCCAATGTTATCTCAAATGTTTTAAGGCAATGAATTAGCTTCAGTAAAGATAACACCCCAATTTGCCAACCACACCCCTATTTATTCACATCGCACAAGGATATGAGATGAGTTAATCTGTCTTGCATAAGAGAAATGCTTCATAAGATTAGAAGACATTTAAACTCAGCATCAATGCAGCATTAGTCTCGATGAAAAACCATAAAGGCACAGAAATGGTAGATTCTATCTAGCTAACGTTCTTCACATAATATTATCAATGTATTTTTTTGTTAAGAGGTAATTCTACTAATTAACCATGTACAAGAGTGTTTTTTCACATGTAAACGTGTATTTACATCAAAGGGCGGTTGACAACCCATTACCTAATCATCCTCAAAGATAATCATTTAAAAAGCCATAAAGTGCAGCTAAATATATATACATAAGGTTAGAAGACATTAAAACCCAACAAGAATGCAGCATTAGACTTTGATGAAATATCAGAAAAGCATATAAATGGTAGATTCTATCTAGCTAAAGTTCTGAGCATGATATAGTCAATTTAAAAGCCTTAAAAAGCTAACTATATATGCTACAAGTACATTACACATACACTCGAGGGAGACCAAATGCACAATTCCACCCATGGGCATGACATTCATACAAACACAACAACAAATTATGCTTTGCAGGAACACCTAGCAAAATGGTAAAATTACCTCCAACCACTTGATGAAAGAAAAGAAAAAGGGTACAAATAAAAGTCTGTAAAACCGAGGAAAATTCTGCATTAACAGAGAAAGCATATAGAATATGCCAATGGATATCAATGCCTGCGTAATTATGTATTTGACATTAATGCACCAGAGGCTGTAACACGAACCTGTTGCTTAGGTACTGAAGGATAAGATTGGTAACTCTGTCAGGAAGGTAACCTCCAACACGAATAGTATTAAGCAAATTTAAATGACATTCCAAAATTCTGCCTGCATAATTCTTTTGAAACATTTGTGCGAAGACTTTGTTTTCCGGACTTTGAAGTTTTAGATCTCCAAACCTATCAGAGGTAGTATCCATAAGAAATCAGTCAAACTTTCCTGCCACTTCTATTAAAAATATAATTTCACAGACATACCGGCTATAGAGCCTGTTTAAGATGTGCACAGTCCATTTCTTGACCTTCCACCAGCCCCATGATTTTCTTAGCTCAGGATCCAAAGGCTGGCCTTCATCCGGAACAGGACGCTCCAAAACACTTATGAACAGAACCATCCAAGCATTGAACACGTTTGGATCAAATAATTGTCTTGGGAGCTCTAGCTGCCAGCAGAAAATATAAAAAGGATACATATGATGAACTTCCATAAAAATAAACATAGATAAACAAGCTTAGAAATGCCATAAGTTATCATGGAAAAATTTCTCAGCATTAGATCCCAGAAAGGGCCACTGAGCAGGAAAATGTTGCTTCAGGAAATTACTACACAACTCCATACGCCATATCATTTTATTTGACAAAACGAACACCGCATAAAACACTCAACACACATGTATAAAGTCGTAAAGAAGATACAGCGTGTAAAATCTGCAGAGATGGGTATCAGTAACTCATTTCAATGGGGGACTTACATAGATGCATGACCAAAATATTTTGCATATCAGCTTCATAAATTCTGCTATCTCCAATGAAGGATTGGCTAACTGGACAAGCCCATTAAAAATAGTCAGAAGGTGAGGAAATGTCTCCTCCACAATGCGGTAAACTGGTGTCCTCTCCTCATCTGATTTGAACCTAGAATGATAAAGTTCATGAAACACAATCAAGGTAAAGGACTACATACGTCCAAAGAAAAAGATGTGCCCAACGAATGGAATTTTAAGAAGACAAGATTGTCACTTCTCCACTTCTTTTTCACATTGTCACTAACATATTAAATAAAGCTGCTTTTGGAAAAGGAGCTCCAACCCATTATCCACATCACTCAACCTAGGATCTGTTCAATTCACATTCTGGTTTTTCAAAAGAAGGAAATTTGTGAAAACTCTTCAAGAACAAGATGAAGAAGAAGGTTTTCTAAAAGGCTTTTACAAATATAGTCTCTTTTAAAGTGTCAAGTGCATTCTACATCGCATCTCTTTTTCCATTCAAAATATTTTCTTCTCTTATTTGTTACATGTTTGTGTGTTTGCCACATTATGTTTTGAGTCAGTGGAATACCATAATAGTAGATTATACCCCACCCAGACGAAAAAGAACCTAAACAGGTAGGCATATCTATAGTATCACTAAGCTCATAGATTCATATGCACTAGCATGAGTATAACAAATGAAACAGATTGGACTTACTCATATTTCCTAGAGAGTATCCGCAAAACATACAAAGCTCCATAGATTTGCTGATTTTGCAGGTTGTGTTTCACCCAATCCAGAAGATGTGGCCATTGTTCTGGGTAGTCAGCATAAATGATGGTCTTGAGGCACTCTCCAAGTTGTGATCTGCATCAGACATTTAGGAAAAGAAAAAGAGTGATAAAATTGTTGTTTGGAATTATAGAAAAATTTGACAAGGAAACAAGGAAAAATTGCAACTTCTGAAAATAACTCCCACTATCATCTACACAAAAAAAGTCGCATATGACGATGCATGGCATCAATGTAAGCTTGCTTCAAGTCAATTTCATGTAAGAAGTTTGGGACATCTGCTTAAATAGAATAAGTGAGTGAATGTGTTATGTACACATAATTCTATTCATGCTTTTGAACATACATGGATAATTCCACACAATCGCATGCTTAGCATCAGGCCAGGTCAATGCACATATAGAAAATAAAACTTCGGTAACGATAAACCAAAACGTATTGGTACTTGAATGATACGTATGAAACATGTCAGACAACTTACCTGAGCAAGGGGGGAACTTGGGTGACATAGACAAGGATGTTGTCCCTCACCAAATCTTTGTCACTAGGCAAAATTTTCTGCTGCTCACCTGCAACACCAAAATTGCAATATAACTTCTCTGACACCGTCTCTAAGAGCTTTTTGATGTTGAGTCTAAGCAGAGCGCTGCAATTATTACCAGAATCTTCAGGAGCCCAGTTCTTAGCAATGAAATTTTTGAAGTTAATACTAGCAATTTGACGCACTGCCATGTCACAATTGCCATCCACAGCGATCTGCAATAGCCTCACTAGATGTTGCTGCGTGTACTGTAACTGCAAAAACAAACAAGAACAAGAAAGATTGCCTTCTTAAATTTTATCAAATAAAGTTTTGACCCACAAATGATCAAAGCTATAAGATCCATCCTTTGAAAAATCAGAAAATCAAAATACGGATACTACCAACTCAAGAGATGAAAGACAGAATTCAAGAACAGTGAATCCAATTAAGGTCGCTTCCATTTCCAAATCATAGTCAACTAATACAGTAGACTAGAGAACCAACTCAAAAAATCCCCACCCATAAACCACACACACGAACTACAACAGACCACTGTCAGGGACTGATCAACCGCACCAAGAACAACAATTTCCTAGAGCAGCAACAAGAGACCAAGAAACCAGACAAAAAATACGAACCTGATTAAGGCTCTGCTCAGCGGCCTTGCGCTCATCGGGATTAGGGCTGAGAGCGGCGGCTCGAAGGATCACGGCGAGATTAGGCAGATCCATTCCCAGTAAGTTCGAACACTCGGACAAAATCTGGATAAGGCAAGAGAAGATCGAAGAGATAGAATCGAGTTTTCGCGCCTAAAACCCTAGAGAGAGCTCAATTGAGTCAGGAGATTCAGAAGAGCTTACCTAGGGTTTTAGAGCGAAAGAGAGAGGGAGAGAGCGAGAGAGGGAGGAGGAGGAAGAAGAAGGGGAAGATAGTTGGCGAGGGAGGAGAGAGAGAAGTGACAGAGAGTATTTAAATCGCTAGGGTTGTTTGTTTGGTTAACTAAATCACAAATTTGATTCTGTCGGATTCCTTCTCCAAATCGGGTCTTGTCGTGTGAATTCGGATCAAACCCGACCCGGGTACAGAGAGGGAAAAAAAAGAGCGATATACATATAAGTACATACGTATATGTGTATGTATATGCGTGGGGAGGTATATAAATGGTTGTGACAGCAGATCTGGGAGAGTCTCAATCTGTTTACGCGGCGGGAAACGGACGATTTTGGGGGAAAGCGATTTCCTCCCTCCAAAAGGATCTGTCTTTCGCTCACTCCCCAGCAGGAAAACCCTAATCCCCCAAATCTTCACACCCCACAGAAAAACCCTAAATTCCCTTCTGGGTACAGTGGAGTGATAGGAAGCAAAGCCCTTTTCGCGGCTCTCCTCCGATGATCTCCATGGCGTGTGTCCCAAAGCCCGTGGAGGAAGAGACCCAGATCGAAATCGATGTCCACGACCACGCTGATTCTCCAATTCGCTACGCGTCTCTCGAGCGCGTGTACTCGGTTTCCTCCTCGTCATTGTGCTGTCTCAGCGCGGCCGGTTCGCACAGTGTGATGTTTAAGAAGGTCAAGGCCCAGAAGGTCCCCATGATCGACCCTTTTAGTGGGGACGGAGAAGACGCTGGTGGTCCGTGTGGGTTCAAGTTGCAGCCGCGGCGGTGGCCAGAGATTATCCGCGTCTACTCTCGCCGTAAGCGGCCGCGGCGGCAGAGTTTCATGGAGTCCGTGTTGACGCGTAAGGAGGGAGTGGACAGTAAGGGCGTGGTTGTGAAGACTGAGAATGTGGAGTTCGATGAAAATTGTTGTTTTGAGGAGAAGCAACAGAAGAAAAGGAGGATCGGTAATGGGGAGCTGGTAAAATTGGGTGTGGATTCGAGTATTTTAAGCAGCTCCATCGGTCCGCGTTTGAGGGATTGTAGGAATAACAATGCGTATACTGGGAAGAAGGAAAATGAGTCATTGAAGAAGAAGCGAGGCTCTGCCAAGAATCTTGACAATTTGTTTCCTTCTGCTTCAGCTAAGAGATGGGTCAGGTTGGGGTTCCTTGCCCTTCTCGATTTTTAAAAGTTGAAGGATTTTTCCGAATCCCATGATCTGTTGAAAGAATAATCTGAAATAGTTATGCTTCTACAAGAAAAAGGTGTGGGTTTTTTTTTCACTTGTTGATGTCCACTTGATGTGCCGGCTGTTGTTATGTTCTATGCTTTTGATGATTTTCTTCATTCATGTTTTTGATCTGCAATGTTTATACTGTTAGACAGTATCTTTGTTCATTTTTCTCACGTGATGCAAAAATGTTGGCTTAGCAGGTTGAGTTATGATGGCGCTGATCCTATAAGTTTCGTTGGGCTGCAATGCAAGGCAAGGATCTATTTAGACAATCGTGAGTTTTAGCAATTTCATTTGTTTTGTGGACTAAGAGCTGTTAACATTCACTCGTTATGTAATCCACAGGTATTTTGGCCATTGGATGCTGATTGGTATGCAGGTTCTATTGTTGGATACAATCTAGAGACAAATCGTCATCGTGTAAGAGTTGTTTCTGTCTACTGCACCTTCGTCGTGTTATTGACTTCTGAACTTGGGTGAATTTTCTATGCGTTTGAATTTATAGTGCTCTCTTTTTTACTATATTTAAAACATTCTACAGGTTAAATATGAAGATAATGATGAGGAGGCTTTGGCTCTTGATCGTGAGAAGATCAAATTTTTCCTTTCTCGTGAAGAGATGGAAGGGTTGAACCTGAAGCTTGGTACTAATGATGTGGCTGTTGATGGCCGTGACTATGATGAGATGGTTGTACTGGCTGCTACTTTAGAAGAGTCCCAAGACTTTGAGCCTGGAGACATCATATGGGCGAAACTAACTGGTTTACACTAAACTCAATTTTTTCTACGTGTTTGTTTAACTTCTAGGAGTCTTTAAGTGTATACCACACCCTTGTTTTCGGTTATAAACAAATCTATGTTGTTGGTAATTATTTATTATTATCAACGTATTTTGGACCCAGCTGCTATTAGGATGAGCATGTAGTGCTTGACTTTCAACCATTCTGCTTCCAGAGAACACCTTTGAAAAAACTAGCTTCACTAATATTTCTCTCTTTTACCTTTCTGTGTAGGCCATGCTATGTGGCCTGCCATCATTGTGGATGAATCTGTTATTGGAAAGCGGAAGGGTCTGAACAAGGTATCTGGAGGGAGATCAGTCCTTGTACAATTTTTTGGCACACATGATTTTGCTAGGTCAGTTCTTAGAATTTTCAAATCTCTTAGATTTTTTTAATTGACCACTGCTCAATATAGCAACCAAGCTAATGCTAACAATAAGTTTCTGGTGATATAGGATAAGAGTAAAGCAAGTAATCTCATTTCTTAAAGGGCTTCTCTCATCTTTTCACCTGAAGTGCAAACAACCTCGGTTTGAACAGGGCATGGAGGAAGCAAAAATGTCAGTCCCTCTTGCTTTGCCCTTACATCTTGCTTCTTGGTTTCCAGATATTTGAGAAATAGTTGTCTGTAACAATCAGGCTGAAAATTTTCCTCATGTTTCTTCGCTCATGGACTTGCTACTGCTATAATTGCTGCAATTTGCCTTGATAAGGTATTTGAGTGAACATAAGCTTCCGGCTAGGATGCTCCAACTACGAAATGAAGCTGATACTGATGATTCTGAAAGCACAAATAGTGCAGAAGAGGACAGTTCAGGCTCAGGGGAAGATTGCATAAACAATGGAGAAGTCTGGTTGAGACCTGGGAGACTTGGAGATTACCTGCATATAATAGACGATTTGCGAATAGTAAATCTTGGTAATGTTTGAAGCTTATATGTTACAAGTGTTCTGAGTTCCATGTATTACAGGAATGGACCCTTCCTCATCATGTATAGGCATATGGCCTTGTCTTACAGGAAAGATTGTCACGGACTCTAAGTTTTTCAAAGACGATAAACATATTTGGCCTGAAGGTTATACAGCTATGAGGAAGTTTGTATCGTTAAAAGGTTAATTGTGAAGTTATATCTTTCTTTTCCATATTATTTAGGCACTTCCATTTTTTGTTGATTGAACTTATTTCATCAATATGGTAGGGTGTCTTCCTTTTGGTTTTGGCAGATTCTAGCATTTCTGCCTTATACAAGATGGAAGTGCTTAGAGATGCCGAGTCAAAGACACGCCCTCTCTTTAGAGTGACCGCTGATAGCGGTGAACAGGTCAGTTATTTAGTGAAGTGCTGAGATCAGGAAGAAAATTCATGACATTTTGATTGTCTTTTTTTTTTTTGCAAGGTTTCTGTAAACATGTGTTATCTTATATATGTTAGATGAAGACCGTAGCTCTGGCTAATGTTATTATTTTTTTAACAGTTCAAAGGATCCAGTCCATCTTCCTGCTGGAATAAAATATATAATAGGATAAGAAAGATTCAGAGTGCTACTGATGGTCCTAATGTTTTGGGGGAAGGGACGCATGGATCTGGTACTGACATGTTTGGCTTCTCCAACCCAGAAGTCAATAAACTTATACAGGTATTTTGTCCGTGATTCTTAGAATATATCCACTGTTGTAACTTGTAAATTTGTTTCTCTATCTGGTCATTCAGCACAATCATCTTTCTTATCGGTCTGACTGGAGTCTAGATTCAGTAGTTTCTTCATTTTACTCATTTTCTGTTGAACTTGCAAATTCTGTAGCTCTCTGCTTCTTATTTAACCTCTAAATATAAAAATCAATAAACCGAAGTGGGTGTTTTGTCGATTAAGGTGTACACTTTATAACAATGCTCGTAAGATGTTCAATCTATGTAGATTAATTCTTTTTCTGCAACCCTTGTTCCTAAGATTCTTAATTCATTGTGTATAACATAGCAAGGGATGAAGTTTGTTCGGTAGTGTTCTTTCCTAAAACATTTAATATAATCGGAAATGCTCACTAATTCAAGGATTCAGATTCTTGAATATTGTGAGGATATACGGATTCGAATTGTGAGCTTGCTTTGGAGGAACTATCCTTTATTGCCAATTGCGTCAAATCTGCTGTAAGGAGATCTCTCTTCTGATTGATATGACTGATTTTGTGGAACCCTAATTAACCATATTCAGCAATAGCTTTAAGAAATAATGTTTCTTGAAATGAATCAATGATTTTTTTTATTGATATACCTCTCGGTATACTTTTGCTGTGTTCTAAATGTTTCCAATTCTTAAATATTGCTTTGTTGGCTTCTAGCGATTGTGTCTTTATATGCACTATGCCCTATAATAAGCTGCTATCAAACTGACAGGGATTATTAAAATCCAGACCATTGTCCAAGTTTGCTTCATGCAAGCATAGCTCTGGAAGGTATCAAGATCTTCCTGTGGGTTACCGACCTGTTCGTGTGGACTGGAAAGATCTCGATAAGTGCAATGTTTGCCACATGGATGAGGTTAGAGATTTTTTTTGTGGCATTACTTCGTAGGCTTGTGTAATGAATTATGCGTTTATTTATACTTTTGATTTGGATTTTCTTGTATGTAGGAGTATGAGAACAATTTGTTCCTGCAATGTGATAAATGTAGAATGATGGTAATGCTCCCTTGTTCTGCTTTTCTACAAACATATCTTTCACAATGTATACTCTGTTGTGGCTGACATACTTTCTTTCTAGATATTCCCTTCAGTTCACAAGTTTCAAGCTTCTAAAATGTAGGTTCATGCTAAATGCTACGGGGAGCTAGAACCCCGTGATGGTGTGCTGTGGTTATGCAACTTGTGTCGTCCTGAGGCTCCTAATCCTCCTCCACCCTGTTGTCTTTGTCCTGTAGTAGGTAATTTGACCAACCATTTAGGTATGGGTCTCTGTTATACTTCTATCAGTGAATAACTGAATTGCTTTCAGGGGGTGCTATGAAGCCGACGACTGATGGGCGTTGGGCTCATCTGGCTTGTGCTATATGGATCCCAGGTTATAAATCATTTGATAAAATTTTCTACATAAATTTGCTTCCTACGAATGATTAAAGAGGCCATTTGCCATTCTTATCCAAGATGTATTAGTAATTCTTAAGTTCTGTCCAGAAACATGCTTATCTGATGTCAAGAAGATGGAACCGATTGATGGGCTGAGTAGAGTCAGTAAGGTTTGTACTTTGTCTCCCTTACCTCAATTTTCTCTGATAGAGGAAAAAATGCCTTTTTAGAGTGTCTGAATAATCTTGTCCTTCGGAGACCACATGCTGTTTGATTAGGTGACACGTCTCTTTTTGAACATTTGATAACAGGATCGTTGGAAGCTGTTGTGCAGCATCTGTGGGGTATCTTATGGAGCATGTATCCAGGTAAAAATTCTTTGATGACAAGAGAGAGCTATTGATTTTGTTGTATTCGGTGTTTGTGTTTTATCCACAAAATGATGTTTCTGATTCTAGTTAAGCTGCCAAATCACATGATGTCTAAGTTACTGGCTGTTTCCTCTGCCATAGTCCCCAATTTTGTTTGCTATTTTGCTCACGCAGTTAATTTTTTTTCTAGTAAATAGAATCAGGTCTTATTTATGTGGAAACTTTACTGATTCTGGCATTTTGGCGATTGTGCAAGCCGAATGTGTTAGTGTGAATTTTACACTGTGGAATGCTACAGCTGAGTTGGTTTATTGTTTAAAAATGACTACATTTCAGTGTTCAAACAATACTTGTCGTGTGGCTTATCATCCTCTCTGCGCCAGAGCTGCTGGTCTCTGTGTTGAGGTACTTTCACATCATTAGGCAAAATGTTATGCATCATATTCATAGATATACTCCTGCACTCAGACATAATAATCCACACAAGAGGTGGCACTATATAATGGCGTCCTTATGCTCTCTCCTCCACGCCCAATATAGCTTGAAGATGAGGAAAGGCATTATCTTCTATCTATGGAGGATGATGAACCTGATCAGTGCATCCGCCTACTTTCATTCTGCAAGAGGCACCGGCAAGCATCAAATGACCATTTAGAACCAGAGGACAGGATGAGACCAATTTCTCAAATAGCTTCTGAGTATGTTCCACCTCCCAATCCATCTGGTTGTGCTCGCACTGGTATGTGGTTGCATCGTCCTTTATCTGCTATTCATTGTATTTTAGTTTACTCATTAAAATTTTTGGATGGAATGTCTTTAAGCTTGATTCTTTTGACACATGTTCTCCTCCTCCTCCTCCTCCTCCTCCTGGCAGACATTTTACAATTTTATGCACACAAATCTTGTCTCATGCTCCTCAAGGCAAACATTTTACACTTCTATGCAGAAGAATCTTATCTCATGCATTCGACAGTTTTCACTTCTGAGTATATCCCTTATAGGCTTGCTGGTGCCTCTCATTTTGAGGTGATCACACATTTTTCCTTCATTGTTTGCAGAGCCTTATAATTATTTCGGAAGAAGAGGGCGGAAGGAACCTGAAGCCCTTGCTGCTGCATCTTCAAAGCGTTTATTTGTTGAGAATCAACCGTATATTGTTAGTGGCCACTGTCTACATGAATTTTCTACCTACAAAGATATTCATGGATCAAAGTTGTCTCAGATGAATATTCCAAGCAGCATTCTTTCCATGGCCGAGAAATATACGTACATGAAAGAAACCTACAGGAAGAGATTGGCATTTGGTAAGCATCATTTTTTATGTACATTTGGATCCTTAGCCATATCTAACAATGAGACTAAATTTATGGAATGTGTGTGAGAAGATAAGAAAAGTGGTTGCTTTTTATTTTCATTGACAGTAAGACATCATGCATTTCTGTGATGGGTCTCTGAAATTAATGATCCTTTTTCCTGATTGCTAAATTAGAGAACTTGTTATGTGCAAATTCCAAGTTAAATCCATCTTCTATCATGCTAGGGAGGAACAAGGAAAAAATGGTGTTTGAGTAAAATTTGGCATCATTGATTATTCTCCTATTAAGATGTTCAATAAATTGATAGTTTTGGGACTTAATCACATGCTTTTTGCCTATTATGTGGAATATGTTTGTATCCTATAATATATCACAATTTAATCAATGATGTTCCAGCAGATGTGTTAATTTTGTGTCTGTTCTTGGCATCTCTTAGAAATATTTGATGTCAAATATTTTTCTTGAAATCCACTTTTCCTTCCAGGCAAATCAGGAATTCATGGTTTTGGCATCTTTGCAAAGCTACCACACAGGGCAGGAGATATGGTTCGCTAACCTAACTTGAGCTGTTTGCTTTTCAATGCAAAGTGTTAGTCACTTAGTGTATTGTGATTCTGTTGCAGGTGATTGAATACACTGGAGAACTTGTTAGGCCTTCCATAGCAGACAAGAGAGAGCATCTTATATACAATTCATTAGTGGTGCGTAGTTTCTTTCATTTTTATGAATAGCATTGACAGTATTTTAATAGTTTAGTCGACTATTCATTTTTCCTTTTGTGCATTGAACTCTCTATTGACATCCTAGTATGTAGTAACTTTCATTTGGATCTATAATCCTTTGAACTTCTGTTCTCCAGTTTTCCTCTGATATATTTGCTCATGGATATTGAAGTATTAAGAGATTAGTCTCAGCAAATTGAGGAATCTGTATTTTCCAGGGTGCTGGGACGTACATGTTTAGAATTGATGACGAGAGAGTTGTAGATGCAACAAGGGCGGGAAGTATTGCGCACTTGATTAATCACTCTTGTGAGGTATGGTTTCATCAATTCCTTGTTATTTTCTTGTATTCGATTTCGTTAAGCGTCTGCAAAACTCAGTAGTGTGACCTGGTTCTTATGGAATTCCTTTTGTGCAGCCAAATTGCTATTCGAGAGTAATTAGTGTTAATGGAGATGAGCATATTATCATATTTGCTAAGAGGGACATCGAAAGATGGGAGGAGCTGACCTATGATTATAGGTTTGGTTCAAGTCTACTATCTCTTGTGCCATTGATTTTTCTCTGAACATATCTTGACCTTTGACCTCCGACCTTTGCCCCGACAGGTTCTTTTCAGTGGATGAACACCTTTCGTGCTACTGCGGCTTCCCGGGGTGTCGGGGTGTTGTTAATGACACGGAAGCTGAGGAACAACTAGCAAAGATTCATGCTCCTCGCTGTGAACTTATAGACTGGAACGAGGAGTAAGAGGTATAGACACCGTAATTCTATTTGTGTTTACATTTATACAACATACATATAAATACTGTTGTGTGGGAAGTTCAGTTAAGTTCACTGGTTCTCAAGACAGAGCTCAAGCACAAGAGCTCCTAGTCTTTGGAAGCATCTGGTCTTTTGTCACTAGATTTTAGCTTGACTTTTAAACTCTTAGTATTTTTGTGCTTCTTATGAATTGATATTTTTGCTTATTGATAAACATTTTGAATTCATGCAGAACTTCGCATCTGCCATGTCCATGCGAGGATATTCCAAAGGATGCTACAAAAACGTATCGACCCGCTCTGCCAATTTGTGGAGATTATGATTGATATTAGCTCTTGAAGATGCCTATAAGTTTCTCTCAAACCTTTCAATTTTCTTGATATTCCGGCGGCAAACGAACTACTTCCTCTTCCTGAGATGCCCTCTGTTCTGTTTCTATATCTAGTTAGTTTCTGTCACAAAGCCATTTTTGTACAGATGATATTTAACTAGACCGCAAAAAAAACCCGTTTTTTAAATGTAAAGCCACACTACAAAAATTCTGGAGGAACAGCTGCGTTCTCTCTTCTTCAGACTCATGCCTTAGCAAGCTTTTTTTTTTTTTGGTAAAATAATATTCTACCAAGCTCTGATCCCTTTTTTGTGTGTGTTGAGTTCATTGGAATGGCGAACGAATCAGATCTTCATTGATTTTAGCTTCACTTGCGATCAGAGTCAATGTGGTAGGGGTCACGGACATGGAGATTACACACTGTTTTCTTCAGGCTCTGACAGAGAACATGTGAAGGGGCTCTGCTCTTTGTGTAGCTTTTCCAGGGGGACCTTTATGGTTCTTTTTCGCATGTGACTATTTGTAGTTCCCCACCCACATTGTCCATACACTCGAAGACACACTCACATGTATGTGTGTATATATATGTATGTGTATATGTTATTCTGAAAGTATGTCTCTGTGTTTAAGTCTGATGATATCAACGGATGCTTGAAATGCAAAAATCTCTCAAGCTCCTTCTTTGGAGTTGTCTAGCTCTCCTGGCTCTTCAAAGGGGTAAGTGTGAATACCAAGCCAAACACATTCGAATGAAAAAAAATCAAACTATAAAACCCTCAATTCAATGTGTTGGTGTGTGTGTGTGTGTGTATTATGAACAGGAATGGGGGCAAAATGTGGAGGGAAAAGCAATGCACCAACGGTGAGGCAGAGACAAGAGATAGGAGGAGGAGGAGGAGGAACAAAGTTCAGAGTGGAGATTAGGAACAACTGTCCAACGTGTCCGGTCATAAACCTTCACCTGAGATGCAAAGGCTTCACTCAGTCGGCAGTGGATCCTTCCGTCCTCCGTCTCGTATCATCCTCCTCCAGAGGAGACTGTGTCGCCAACGACGGCTTGCCCTTAGGCCCCTTCCAGGCCTTCTCTTTCTCCTACACTCACTCTCTTCCCTTCCCTCTCTTTCCTTCTTCTTGGTCTTTCCAGTGCGAATGAATGACCACTCCTCCTAATGTGATGCTTTGTGGACTGCCCTTTTATGATATGGTGTATTTACATTCTTCAGTTTTTTGGTTTCCTCTTTTATTTCTATGATAAGTGATGTGAATGTGACGTTTCAACGTGTCAAAAGGACCAGTTGATTTGATTAAAATGATAGTCAGCGGCGTTACGACGTAATTGCATGCCTTTCGTTTCGATTTAAGCTTAATGGAGTGTATATATATATATGAATATATGTACAAGATAGGCGTCAACTGAGTTTCTAGAGGAGGAGAAGGGTGATGATGAGAACAAGTAACAACATTACAAGGAACGATGTATCTAAGGGAGATGCAGAAGAGAGATAGTGTGAACCTACTAGATGCACCGTTCCTGATCCTTCATCCTTTACTTGTATGCTTGATGAGCCTGCACTCACCAAAAAAAAAAACATTAACATATCTTTCTCCATTCAATCTTTTACTCCCAAAGTATTCAATCCCCAGAGGGAAATGCTCCATCAATCCGTCCAGATCGGTCATCACATATTGGCTAAAATCGTATCGATCCACATTTGTAATGGGTTTACATGCAATCTGTAGCTATACAATATTCAACATTTTTAAGGATTTCCCCTACACTGCGTTTCAAAGAGAATAAGCTATAAGCCGTGATCACTTACAGTTATACTCAGTCCACCCGATGACCTGATTTTCGAGATCATAGAGAACGAGCTTGTTCGAAAGCACTAAATCTGCAAAGGAATAAAAAAACAGTTTGAGGATCGAATTGAATCAAACAGGTAACTATGAATCTGGATAACCAACATTATAGTGGATAACAAGAGAAACAAGACAAGCTTATAAAGAAATGGACTGATGGTAGGCTGAAGCAGAAGGTCCACACATCCATACATACTGCTACTGAATAGAAGGAAATGGTTGGTGGAAGCAGTAAGCACGACCAACCAGTTGGAAGGTTTAAAATATTTGTTACATTACCTCCCAAAAGAGTCAGGTTTCTCCTATCTCGGGATTGCATTCCGCTATTTTGCCAACCAATGCACCAAGAACCTTCCTGTGAAAGCTCAGTGTTACGGCACCGTTAGGAAATCTATAACAAGATTGAAAACGGAAAGCTGGTAGCACATAGGGATCATGAGAGTGAAAACAAATACTTACATGAGGAAATAGATAGTCATGGGGGTAAACTCTCAGAATAACTGAATTCTCGAAATGGAATGTGACATTTGGAAATACATCATCAACTCTGCAGAGAAATTGAAATGTAGTTTGCATAAGAAAACCATTGAATGGTTCAGCAACTGCAGAATTTATAAACATGATAAGGTTGATGCGATGACATCAGAAATGAGGAAACACACGCACGTAAACTCTAATAATGTCACAAATTTCCATGGGAGATGCATCCGAAAATTTGAAAATACAAGTGATATAAGAAATTGAACATTCCTCTTCAATATGTTACTTACCTTCCAGAGTACTGAAAGCATTTATAATTGTCATGCATTATATTAACTTTCAAACCAGGCTCCTGCGAGATTATCTGACAGAAAGATGCACAATTATTAGTGTAGAATAGCCAGTTAAAATTTTGAGAAAAATTGAAACTTTCCATGTAGCCTACCTTCTTCACAAGTGGTTCATAGATTATCTCCGGGAGATAGGCCAGTGTGGTACCACTGTCAATTATGGCTCCTTTTCTGTCTCCTACTTGAAATAAATCTGCTGGCACATTTAGGAATTCCTGACCAACTTGAACTGCTGTCATATTGACATTGTAATGCGGTCTACAATACAAGAAAAAAAAACATTACATTAACAGAAAAGGTTTCTAGTGTGAATATAATAATTGATGCAGAAGAACTGCTGCCAGAAAAGAACATGCGTGAGTGCAGCATCTGTTATGTTTATCAAGATGATGATTAAGTAGATATCGGGAACCAGCAGAAGCAAACTACACAATACTTTTCCTCCAAACCGGAAATGCCAAATATTAGTATTTTTCAAACAATAACACAGGCAATTCCCACGTGTTGTCAAGGTCATTCTATCTTAAAAATCACGAGCACAAGAGACAGTCCCGTTAGATGAAGTCCTAAGTACAACTACAATAGGAATAACGTGGCTATGATGTTCATATCCTCATATGCCTTCCTAAAATTGACTCCCAAAATTAAAAGCAAACAACATGCCATTTTCAATAGCACCATATGGTTGCAGAAATCCTTGAAAAGAAAAACATATTAAAAAGTAAGAAAAAAAAAAGATCTCGACATACTGATTAGGAACCAGAGGTGTCATGTTTACTTTTGGTTGCACAACATGTCCTATTGCAAAAATACCTCCTCCATTTCTCCCATCTAAGCAATGAGCGAATATCTTTTTCACTCTCCCTGTAGAAGCCAGCTGGGAAATCATGGAAGAATTAGCTTTCCCAAAACCAAGTATTCCATCAAGTGCTTCTTCATTAGATGAATCTAGGTCTCCTGACTGCCTAGCACCACAGCTACAACAAAAAAAATCATAAAACACTATAAACACAGTCAATGATGAATGAGTAAAGTTTCCATGGAAAAGATAAGATAAAATATAATGGAGAATTGTAATACATTTTCACAGTTCTAAAGAAAAATATGAAACAGGAACTAGAAATCATCATATCAAGACCGATTATAGTGCACAAATGGAATGGCTAAATCACAAAGAATGATTTCCAAAGACATAAGTGGACGTGAAAGAAACAAAATTAGCTGTGACAAGAAGAAGAAAATCAAAAGGGAAGCAACCTACCGACCTCTCATGACCACAAGTATACAATCATCGAGATGGGCAAATGTTTATCAATAATGCTAAACCAAGCAAGAAGATCCAAATACTTTGTTTAGTTTCTTAATGTCGCAAAGAACTGACTCACATGGTGCATTTCAACTAAATTTAGGTGTCTTGGATGCACCACTTCCATTAGAATCTTCTTCACACATCTCTTCAACCAATCAAAACTTCTCCTGTTTTTGCCTTTGAAAGCACTTTAAGAATCGTTTGGCAATCAAGTTACAAGCTACACCACATCCCATTTCACAATAGCAGCAATTCGTAAACAGCCAAATATTTAGCAGACAACAGAAATCAATTCTAACCATGTTGCAGCAGTTTGCTAGTTTAAAGAGAGTTAGGAAAGCTAGATAAGAAAAGATGACATACCCAAATATAACACTTCCATTAGCTGTTTTTGTTTGGAGGTCACCAGATACGCTGTCATACTGCACAACATCTTTTACAAAATACCCTGCAGTGGAGCTCCCATCTCCATATATCTCGAGATAAGGACACGACATGTTAGCTTTGCAGCCTGAAAGAGGACCCCCATTTATCTGGTAGCAAAACTCTTCATCACAGGGAACCAATTTTCCAGTGTTTGATTCCTTTATGTTGTAAAGTGTCAGCTCAATCTATTGCAATTAAGAGAAGAAAATAACACTATAAGAAACAGGACAAAGCTATTAGAGGGAATAACTAAAGTCTCCAAACACTAATAATATCAATAAACAAACATAAATAGAGTAGAAAAGAGCCCTACACCAAGAGAGCTTTTTCTTGGGCATTCTTTGCACTGGATGCAATTGACCCACGTTATATCGCTCCCCGTGTCTACTTGAACATAGTAGCTCTTTGCAGGTGTCCCGATTCCAATTTTAGCGTAATAAAGTCTGCAATTTGGTGAAATTAAGCACGTAAAAGTTCAAATACACAATTTCATAATCCCCGTTCAAAATCGGAAACAAGCTATGAAACAGTGATGAGACACTAGTATATCAGTTAAGCTTCACGCTTAATCGAAAAAGAAAAACGAAGAACTCCTACTCAAACGAGTGAAATCAAACAAGTACCAAACCCAAATCAGGGTGAAATCGGAAACTGAGACAAAGGCCTGAGAAGATCAGAAACAAACCCGAGGATATCCGGACGACCGGAGCCACCGAGAGGGAGATCGATGCCGGCGAGAATTCTGAGCTGACGCCGATCGTCGTGCTCCTTCAATGCGAGGAGCGAGCCTTGAAGCCTGGCGTAGCGGTACTTAACGTTGAACACTCCTGGATTGGAAGCGGCTCCGGCAGCAGAGTCGGAGACGACGACAACAACCATCAGAACCGCCGTAAGAAACAACAACAACATGAATCTAGGCGGAGGAGCAGAGATTGGGAAATAGACGATCGATGATATCATTCTCCTTCTCAGGTGACTGATTCCACCGTCGTTTTCGCCTTCGTCTCCGACTCACGGCGGTGGCTGAGGAGGAGGAATTGACGGGAGCCACCGGCCGGCGACGACGACGGAGGGAGAAAACAGAAAAAATAGGAAAATTTGAGAAATTTCCGAGCAGTTTGTTGTTGATCAGTTCGACCAATACGGAAAGACAGATTATATACTTTTTCAATTACTTGCGTGGATTTTCCCTTTTCTAGGTTAATCTTTGTTGGACTTGTTAGGTGGATAGTTTTACATCCGACCCCTGAGTTTACAATCATTTTCTTTTATAACCCAAAATCTTTTCAAAAGATCAATTATAACCTAAATTTGTATATCGCAAAAAAAAAAAGAGAGAGGGGGAGTGCTGTGGGCATTTACGTGGAATCGATTCTTTCCACTTTAGACAATCTATATCAATTCAAGTTTTATGTTAGATTTGATTTGGTTTGGATTTCATCTGATTTCTAATGATAAAATATTTATTTTAAAAAAAATTTATGATTTTCCGGTTATTTTTATATCAAGTTCGAATTCGTATTTTGGGTTATATAAATATCATAATCATTCGCTTATATTGAATTTGATTATGATTATATATTATTTGGTTTTGGTTTTGATGGATTCGGCATATGAATAACCGGAATCAATGCCAACCCCCCATTAGTCAAGGATGTCTAAATTTGATCTCTTTACAAAGTTTGCTCTCGTAGCAAATATAAAATTTTGGATATCTGAATTCACATTTTTCATTATGCATGATATGGTATATTGTGTGTGTGTATATATATATATATATATATATTATAACAGTAACTATACCAAGTTAAGCTATAATATTATGCATTTTGTGATAAAGATCTGCTCATGGTACTTACTATTTGTGCATGTTTATATATGTGTGTATATATACATTCGAATCAATTTGGGATAACCAAACTATCAAACACACGTGCTGTGCATATACACACACATGACACATATGAAATTGGGAGAAATTACTATATGAGTAAACCGACACGTCAAGGCGTCAATAAACATAACCCAATATCGTTCATGGTTCGTTTTGTCCCGATTTACATATCGTTTGCAAAATAATACAATACAACAACAAGTAGGTTTACATACAAAATACAAAGATACATTCTTCAAATCTCTATGACACACAGCCCACCAGATACACCCACAAACGTGGTTCAACTTATTTCACACAGAGACAAACAAGCGAATGAGCACGAATAATGGCGATACAAAAGGATAAGGAGACTCACGTGGAAGAAGAAGAAGGTCCAGTTGAAGGGTTGAAGGCTTGTTGCTCGGCGCAGGTGAGTCCATCGTGCGGACCGGCCTCTTCTCGGCCTATACCCAAGAGGTCGAGGAAGTAGAGGTAGTGAGATACTATGGTGTTCATTGGGTCGATATCGCCTTGGCCGCATGTGTATTCTCCATACAGGACATTCATTGTGGTTCCGAAGGTGGGCCCCCGTTTGGCCAGAGTGTCGTTCTTTGTCGGTTTCCAGTTCCCGACGAAGATGTCATGGGCCGAGGGCTGTGACTTCTTGATCGGTGTCATCCATCTCCAGATGGCGGCTTGGAATGCAATTGTCGCGTTCTGCTCGACGTATTCCGGGTGGTGTAGCAGGTCCACCTTCAGGGCCTCTCCCGCGGCACCGTAGTTGAAGTTCCTTTGAAAATCGAAAAACCAAGGAATTTCCAACCTCTGACTCAGGAAAACACGATCCAAGGGAACCATACTAGCCCTAAAGATTCCATTGATTGACATCCCGTTTCCATCTTAATCAACACTTAATGACAATTTTTTCATTACAAGTAGCGACAATCTGATCAACTATACAGTCAGACGCTCGGGCACCGATTAGTTCGAGCTACCTTCTAAAGCGAGTGTATAAAATGTTCTATGTGAAATGTGGGGAAATAACCTCCGTATATGATACTTTTAGCATGAATATTCAAATGCATAAAACGCCCCAATAGAAGGGAGAAAAAAAAAAGCATACCAGTAGATGGGTAAGGCCCCACGACCGTAGTACTCAGCTCCAGGCGCGCAGGGGTATTTGTATTTCCAAGACTCGTCACAGTAAGACTGGCTTGGGCTCATTTCCCTGTTATAGCAGAGACCCCAAGCTGTCGGTCCTCCAGTTGCAACTCCATAACCACCTACATCATCAAGGAATACTCAAAAGTTACTTATGGAGAGAAACTGTTAGTGGTCCAAGAGAATGGCAGAAACATTATGCATTCAGAGATAAGATAGACCCGTTCCTTTAACAGTAACGGTCAATTTTCTGAACGGGGGATAGGTGTTTTATAAGTGGTTCAAATTAGACATTGTAATAACTCAAGTTGATGGCATTTACAAAAACTAAAATCAGAGTTAAGAAGAAATCAACATGACGTCTTGGCGGCGACGTGGCCAAGGAAGGCAGCAATCTCCATCTGTCCCTTTAGTTTTCCTCCGGTGGTGCCAAAGCCAAGAGGCTCATAGATGGCAGCAGCAGTGATAAAGGACTGGTAGTCCCAGAAACCGACAGCATGAGCTACAGGAGTGTTTCTTTTAGCGAAGAGTTGCTCAAATTGGTAAACCTGGAAATAATCTGATATCGTCTGGTTACAGCAGTAGATCGACCAGTAACTACACTCCCATCCCTGTACACACATCTTCTTCCCCTTCACCTTCTTCACGCGAATCGTCTTCTCCTCCCCATTTGCAACCAAAGCCAAACATGATACAGCCAACAATGCCAGAATAATAATAGCACCACCCCGGAAACTCTCCATAGCTGACTATTACAGAGCAAAATATCAGCTACAAGCTGCGAAAGGAACAGACAAGATGATGCGCTCGTTTTTTAAATTCCCTTGAAGAATAAAGATCATTGACACGAGCAGGAACTGTAAACCAAAATTTCACTTAGCAATGAAAAGATCGTTCCTGAAAAATGATATCGCCACATAAATTTCATCATTTTAGTAGGACTGCATCAAATCATCCACCAGTGGCAAAAGTAAAATCTAAACAAGATACAGAAGTCCGGCAGATCTACGATTAATCAGTTCAGCTAAACCATGAGCTTCAGATCGAAGCACTAGTCATTTCCGCAGCTCAAAATCTTGAAGTCAATCTCAAAAGAACGAAATCGATAAGATAGCGAGCAAAATCGAATCAGTTACTACAGACAATAACCAAAACACGGAACGAGTACAAATTCAGATCGGAGACCATACATTCAGAAGAAATGCACTTCGCTCGCCACCTAAAGGTGTAGAGAAAGCGCGAATACGCCAAAGAGGAGACGATGTATAAGATCAGAGGGAGCATATTAATTAGTAACTACAGCAGTGAGAACTACCACTTCGAAGAGTAGAATCTATGGAGTTTTAAAAACGTGGATTCAGATCACAGATCTTTAGATGATGAAACCGATGATTCAAAAGCGAATCAGACTTCTCGAATCTAGATTCTAGGAATGCACCAACTACAATTTTCTCACTAGTAAAACCACAAAATGATAATCGCAATGGAAACGAGAATCCGACGAACAAAGCTTACCGGTAACGGACTCAACGAATGTGAGGAAGATCTGGAGAGATCGAGAGTCTTGTTTGGCTTCAACGGCACAAAAAACTTGCCGAGAATAATGAGAGATTCTTGAAGAGAAAGAGGGAGAACAAAGGCGGGTGACGGATCAGCGGTCTCTATCAGCCGTGTGATGGGGATGAAATCAACGGTGGAGATTGAGTTTGGCGAGAGGAAGGTGTCGGTATGATAGGACAGGCTGGAACGTGGAGTGGGCCCTACGTGAATGACCGAAGGCGCATCCTTCCACCGACAGCCGCTCAACAAATGAGAATTCTGACGCTTGACTCCCGGTTTACATAATCCGGTTCCGGTTTAAGATTCGGTTTGATTGATTCCGGTTCGCTAGACATTTAACATGTGTACCAGATGAGATTCGGGCCAAACCGAACGGGTTAGGCCCAATGAAATGATGGGCTTTACGTGGCGTCTTTTCAAAGTTTGTAGACGGAGGTCTCTCTCTCTCGTTCTCAACCGTTGACAATGGCGTCAGCTCCCAAGCAGCCTCAACAATATCCCTCTGCTTCCAAACCCCCAAGGCATCCGTCTTCCGCCGCCGCGGAATCCCCAATTCTGAACCCTAGCCCTAACCCTATCCGTAACCCTAACCCTAACCCAAGCATAAGCGTCTCACCGCCGATGGATAATTCACCGATTACGATGGCTCGGGAGGATCAGATCCTCGCACGTTCCTCTCATCTTACCCGAACGGAGCTTCTCCGGCGCCGGTCACACCACCTGAGGCAGCTCTCCAAGTTTTATAGAGATCATTACTGGGCTCTAATGGAGGATCTCAAGGCGCAGTATAGGGAGTACTATTGGAGATTCGGCGTCAGTCCTTTCAAAGACGAACAGAACCAGCCGAATAAGAGACGGAGGCTGGGGCTCGAGGGAGAGAACGGCGATGGTGATGCCGTGGAAGGCAGTGGAGATAACGTCAATAACAATGGTGGCGGTAATGGGGTCACAACTGATCTGTATACAAAGATCAATTCTCGGTGCTCGTATGGGGGTTGTAAGTTGAAGGCCATGGCGCTTACGAACTACTGTCACCTGCATATCGTCAATGATAAGAAGCAGAAGCTCTACAAGGCTTGTGAGTACGTCATCAAAAGGTTTGCTTTCGAACTCCTTTTTTCTCAGTTTTTGATTCCCACAATCTTCATGTTGGTATCTTTGCTATATGTTACTGTGTGGTGGCTTCAGAAATGATGTAATGCTGTGAAAGTTGCTATCTTTGGGCGCTGTTTTTATGCAATGACCAGGAGGAATGAACTTCCTTGCTATGTCTGTCATCGCAAAATTGCAGAAGGGATTTGGAAAAGATCCCGAGCTTTGTTGAATAGTTTTAAGGGAATTGGTAGATGAACCTTACCTTGGAACGCTAACTTTAGTTAGTTATCCTTGGTGGCCATTTATAGGAAAGGAGCTTTTGTGTGAAGTTTTTTGCTGTGATTGCTATGGTGCCTATGTCTGAGCCGTCTCCTTCTGCATCTGTTTTGCAAGCAGTAATAGTCATAGACAAGATTAGGGCATGTTGAAGTTGCCACTGAACCAGGGGATTTGATCCTTGTTACAGTTAGTGTAATTGAGTTGGACTAGGTCAACTGTTCCAGTAATAGTTATAGACGAGATGTCTGCTTGATATGTTTCCGTCTGTCTCATAGAATTTGTTTGCAGAGATTTCTGGTGAATTGTGTGCTATTGAGCCTACGGTAAGTGGAAATTGTATCTCAGTCAGTTTGTGATCTAACACGAAACAACTGTGTTTCACCAATTTGTCTCCTAAACCATCCAAGTTCCCTTGGCATATGGTACCAACCAATCATTTGTCCTAGGCCAGGTTTCACAGGAAGCCTATACCTTAGTGGCGTTCATCGCAGTTAATCAACGAGTAGGGAGAAATTCCAAACCCTAACTCTTAAATCCCCTCTTTCAATGTGCTTTTATATTCTTGTAGCTCTCAGTAGTATCACTTTTTTTTAATAGTTTGCTTTCATGTTTGTCCTCTTCCTAAACAATTCAAGAGTTTTGTTTAACATATCCCTGTTATGCAGCATCTGCCGAAACATCATTGTTCTATTTGCTTTGAAAAGATCTTACTCAGAATACTAGCTTTAGATCATTCGGTTAATTGAACTTGTTCTCAGTCTTTGTTGTTGTATTGTACATTCAGAGCTCAATCAGGACCAATAACGTGTAGCCGGCCAACACTTGCCTCAACTGTTCCATCGCTGTGTAATGTGCATTTCCTGAAAACCCAAAAGCATGTTGCTCGGGCTTTGAAGGATGCCGGTCTAAATGTTTCTTCATCAAGCAAGGCTCCGCCAAAGCTCCATGTCATAGTTCCCGCGTTTGTAAGCCATATTCAAGAAAAGAGAAAAGCCGCGCTGAAGGAGGATAAGCTCGAAACTTTAGTAAAAGAAGAACAAACAAGCTGAAGTCCATCCATGACAGCGCGAGGAAGTAATCCGTCGGGCAAAGTTGTGCAGGAATTCTAAGGTGGATTGGAATTGGATAGTCATGGTTTTGTTCATTCTCTTGTTTCATTGCTTACCTTTCTGACAGGAATCTTTACAGGGTAAATACTGCAAGACTTGAGCTTTGTGATCATCTTGCCCATTGATGAATCATGCAAGCAAACACAACCCCTAGGATATGGGGGTTACAGTACTTAGAGATGTAGTATTACTTTGTTTGTACAGATAGATAGATAGATAGACCTGAGTCTAGAAATGAAGAGCCTTCTCTCTGCTTGTGTTATCCCTAGTTCTGGTCCTATCATGTTTGGAAAACTCTTGTCTTCTGATTCCGATGCATTGACCAGAGATTCATCTGCCTCTTTTCTACCTACACTTGCGATATCTTTTTCCAAATGCCACCCGTATAAATTTATTATAAAATAATTTTGAGGATTATTCAAAGAAATAATATGAAATTAAACATGAAACATACGCTTATGGTATGGAAATCTTCATGGTCCCGACAGAAACCTCGTAGAATGGTCAAAATTGTCGTATTGATGTCCTCGGGCGAAGCAAACATTATAAAAATGCCCTTGTATTCCTTCAAAATTACAAAATTAACGCGATTGTTTAGATATTGGACGTCGGATACCAATTCAATTCGTACGTCGATTAGGGGTGGACATTTTTACCCGACACCCGCGGGTTTTCGGATACCTGTCTCACGGATACCCGGGACTCATTACTCGTGAGATAATCAGACAGAGATCGGGTTTCGTGAGATAAAAAACCCGAGTTTCGGATTCGGGTTCGAGTTTAGATATGTGAAGACGGGTTATCTCGCGGGTACCCGGTATAATAAAAAAATTACAAAAATACCCATAATTATGTAAGACACTTACCAAAATACCCCTCTTCACTAATAACCCTAATTCACTCCAACCCTAATTTCATTTAGTTTTCTATCATTTTTCAGCCTCCCCTCTCTCTCTCTCTGCCGAAAGAGACATCGTTCGCTCTCATCTCCCCCTTGCCCTTGCGAGTCTCCGTCGTGCTCTCTCTCTCTCTCTATCTGCTCGGAATCTGCCGTATTCTCCCTCAATTCCGTCGTCGACTTGTCGCGTTACGTTTTCAGCCGTGATCTCCCTTTCTCTCCGCCTTGTTGCCCTCTGTGTGTGTTTTCAGCATTGCTACTCTCTCTCTCTCGTGTTGCTCTCTCTCTCTCTTTGTGTTTTCAGCCTTGCTCTCCCTTTCTCTCCGCCTTATTGCGCTCTCTCTCTCTCCGTTTGAAAATCAGACATTTATTTCAATATCCTCTTGTACTTGATGTTTTGGATGATGATGTATGGTGGAACCTTATGGAAATGTGATGTATTCTGGGTTGTATTAAGTTATAGTTATATCGTATTACAGATCTGTTACATGTTATGAAATTTAATTATGTTCGGGTTCGGGTTTTACGGGTACCCGGTCTCGTGATCCGGGTATCCGGGTTTCGGGTACCCGAGTTCGGTGAGATAGAGACTGAGACATTCGACCCAAAAATCCGACGAGACCGAGATCGAGATATCTTAAAATGTCTGGGTACCCGCCCGTGCCCACCCCTAACGTCGATTCGTTAGAACTAGGTTTCACAACTCACTCATTCTCAACTCCTCAGTTCATGGTTCTCACTTTCTCAGGCCTGAAACTCGCCTCCCCGTCTCCGATCGGCCAAAGATCTCTCCTCTATATCTGAGTGACAAAGTTAACCAAAGAAGAAGGAAAGAGTTGGTCGAACCTCAGGGACATGGCGAATAGCAAGTACGAGTATGTTAAGTCATTCGAAGAGGAGGATGAAGTTATGCTTCCCAACTTGATGGTCGTCTGCATCGATGGTCGCGATTTTTGTCGGTAAATTTCCTGCCTTTTATTGGTCATTGGGTTTAGGGAAGAAGAGATTCTAGATACACTTTTGGGTTTATTTACAGTTTCCTCGCTCCATGGTATATTGATTTTATCTCTCTATTATGTAATGAGAACTGCGAAGACATGCTTTAGTGGGTTTGTGGATTTCAGAGGTTATGGCATGTTATAGTCATCATCTTCGAATATCCTTAACAAGTTCAGGCTCGATTGATAGTGTCTGTCTTTATATCAGAAGGATATTTCATAAAAGGGTGCGTTAAACATTTTATTATTGATGAAACGGGAAACCTGATTTCAGTTTATAGGATTCTGATGTTATGTATGCTGTTGGATATTACTTCAGTATGTTGTAGCTTCCGCACTTTTTGAGCACATTGTGTTTCATATTGTTTGTGGATGTTGAGCATTGATTTAAGGGTATTATCTTATGGATATATATCCAGATTTTCTCTTCTGTGTTTTACACCTGTTTTTACTTTAAATGGTTGTAGATTTTCTCAAGTCCACGAGTTTGAAAAGCCAAATGATGAAATGGCCCTTAACCTGATGAATTCATGTGCAGCCGCAGTTTTAGAGGAGTATCCTGATATAACCTTGGCATATGGATACAGTGACGAGTATAGGTACCTAGTAGCTTTTCTTGTCTTAGTTTATTAATTTTAATCTTAATTTCTTCCGTTTACTAACATGATGTTTTTATCTTCTCTATAGCTTTGTATTTAAGAAAACATCAAGATTCTACCAAAGACGAGCCAGGTATTAGTTGGATCTAAATTTTGTTGATTTATGTATTCAACAGCAAAAGGGGGTTTGTAGAATACACCGAACCTTTTTCTATTTTGTTGTTTTTAAGTAAGTCCGCATCTACTAAGGAAAAGGTGCATTCTTCTAATATAGAAATACTTGCATACTTCTAAGTGATTCAATTATGATGGTTAGTGATAATATTATATTCTATATTTGTTGTGTTTAGTACCATAGATTATGTAGCACAAAGAGATGAAGAAAATATGTACTTATCGATGAGTATATTTCTTCTGTCTGGTTTCATGAGTAGTTAACTTGCCTGTTCTCATTTAATACGCAGCAAGATACAGTCTTTGGTGGCTTCATTCTTTGTTTCCGTCTATGTAACGAAGTGGAAAGAGTTCTTTCCACAAAAGGAATTGAAGTATGCTCCTTCCTTTTGTTCGAAAGTTATAAGTTGTGCATCAGTCGAGGTTCTTCAAGCTTATCTTGCATGGAGACAGCGTGACTGTAAGACCTGCTGATATCTGAAAAAAAAATTGTTTCAACAAATTCATGATGATTTCCACATTGTGGATATTATGGAAGATTTCACGTATCAGAACTTTGGTTGAAATAAATGCTGTAGCTTTCAATGACTTCCTTTGCTTGGTTGCAGGCCATACTAATAATCAGTACAACACTTGTCTCTGGATGTTAGTCAGAAGCGGGAAAACCAAAAGTGAAGCACACGAGATTTTGAAGGTATCTTGTTTATGTTTTTCTCATGACGAATTGTAATTTTTGTTGCCGTGGAAAATGTTAAGCAGTCAATAGAGTCCTTACTATTAGACGCGATAGTGCTCTATAACCGCCGCCCAGTTTTATACTTACAAGCAAATTTCATTCTTTAATCACACTTCTATCTATCTATCCATAATCATTCAGGGTACTCAGAAACAACAGAAAAATGAGCTTCTTTTTCAGCAATTTGGCATCAACTATAAAATGCTTCCTGAATTGTTTCGCCAAGGTTCATGCCTTTACAAGACTAAGGTAACCTTCCATTATATTATTATCTGAAAAATTAATAACTATGCTTTGCAGCATGTTTATGTCTGTTGTTTAACATGTATACACTTATAATATACATATTCGGAATTTAGACTTTTCAATTGCTAAGTTTAGCTCCGACAAGATTTGTAGGTCCTGCATGTATAGTGAACCAATTGCTGGGCATGTACATTTGTCTCTACTGAATTTTCTCAAATCCGTGTAAAATTGTTCGAATGTAGTAGATGTTCCCTGCAGTTTGTTTAGTTTTCACGTCTTACAGGAATATGTACTATACAAAACTGCTATATCTCACTGAAAACCCGTATCTTTCTCCAATGGTGAATAGTAACATTTTCTCTGGTAGGTGTTCTTCTAGCATATGGTTGTGTGAGATACTTCTACAGGTTTAATTGACAGAAATATTTAAGCTATTCATTTGGGCGGAAATGAGCAATTTTCTTGTTCTGCTATCAATATATATATCAAACTTATTGTAGGTGTTCTTTGTGCAACTTTGATTGTGCTTACATTAAGGTGGAAGAAACTGTGAAGCATGATGAGAACGGAAATCCCATAAAGAGATTGAGGAGAAGAGCCATTTTGGTACATTCAGAAAATATTGCTGGGAAAAGCTTTTGGAATGAGCAGCTCAGCCTTCATAAGGATCTTGGTCATTTCACGGTAGAGGTCAGCAGTATTGAACGAGATTATGTTAGGTCGTTTGAGTTTGAGAACAGATTGCTACCTTTAACTTGGGTGGTGGTTAGGATTGATGGCTGCCATTTTCACAGGTAATATGCTTTATTTTGCTAGATGATGTTTCTTTCATTTTGCAGAAGTTAATGGGATAGGCCAGATATATGCATGGGAGCCTTAGATTCCAATATCAAATCCAAGAAGCTGTCTGTCTGTTTAGTTTGCATAGATCTATTTGTGGTTGTAGTTTCTAGTGCTTCTTAAGAAAAGCATATCAAAGTGGCAATGCCGATATCTATTGTAGAGAAGTGAAGTTTGAATAAGTCATATTGAAATCAATGGAATGTAGTTGGATTGAGCAGGAAAATGAAGTTATCTGATTGATTACCAGTCTATCTATGTCAGCAAATGAAACTCATGGAGCTTGCATTGGTTTTTTATAGATTTTCAGAAGTTCATGAATTTGAGAAGCCCAATGATGAGAAGGCTCTGAAACTTATGAATTCATGTGCAGTGGCTGTTCTCGAGGAGGTTCAAGACATTGTGTTTGCTTATGGTGTCAGTGATGAGTACAGGTATACCCGATTTGTCTCCTCTTTTGTTTTTTCATCACCTTCTAGTCTCAAACTTACATTCTTTATAGTTTATACTAATGGAGTTACTTTTCGGTTGCAGCTTTGTCTTGAAGAAGGACTCCAAGTTCTACAATAGGCATGCCAGGTTTGAAACTAATTCCCGGAATACGTGTCCCTGCTCTTGAGTCTTGACCAATACACCAGATTTGGGACTTATTCTGGAAGTATTATGGTATTGCAGTAAGATAGTTTCTTCCGTTGTATCCTTCTTCACGTCAACATATGTGATAAGATGGAGAGAGTTCTTCCCTCACAAAGAATTGAAGTATCCACCATCCTTTGATGGCCGGGCTGTATGCTATCCATCATATGAAATCCTCCTGGATTATATGGCATGGAGACAAGTTGATTGTGAGTATTAATATCTTAGAAACGATTTGGAGTATTATCGTTGCGGTATCATAGAAATTCTTTACCATTTTCTTTTTGCTTCCTTCCGGATGCAGGCCACATTAATAATCAGTACAATACGTGTTTTTGGATGCTCGTTAAATCTGGAAAAACCAAAACCGAAGCACAAGAGTACTTAAAGGTGCATACAGTATCCGTTGAGCTCGCTCTCTGATCAACGGTTTGCTCCACAGTTCAAACTATCGTATCTCGATATATACAATGACTGTGTTTTTTTACGAATCCTGTCATCTAGTTGGCGGTATATATCGTTAATTTCCGTTTTTGCATTATGCCGTACGAAAGCAGGGTACGCAAACGCGAGAGAAAAACGAGCTGCTAAGGCAGCAATTCGGGATAGAGTACAACTCACTTCCCTTGATCTTCCGCATGGGCTCTTCGGTTTTCCGTTGTAAGGTTAGTCGTGTTTGCCTCCCCATAAAGACGTGGATATCATGTCGTCGTATGATGTTTTTGTCTGAGAAATCATGATACAAATGCAGAAGAACCGTACTCAAAAGCATATATAAATCGACTGAAATCTGGTTCAACTGTGTGCAGAAACAGGAAGCTGTGAAAGAAGAAGATGGAGGAACGTGCAAGAAAGCGGAAGAGGAAGTGGTAACAACGACTGACCACTGCAACATAATCGAACGCTGCTTCTGGGAAGAGCATCCACACATCCTTGCCGCATAGACAGACATGTTATAGTAACACATGTAATGACTTTCATCAATTTTTTTTTTTTTTTTTTTTTTTTTGAACTTCTCAAGGGAAGACTTTTATTCTTTTGAAGAAAGGGGAATCTTTTATTGAAAAACAAAACATAATAATATTATTGATAAAGTTATGGACATCGAGTTTGACAAGCAACCTATTAATGTACTTGTAATAAATGAATGATGTAAGGGAAAACAAAATAGTTGACATATATATATATATTGAAATAGGGCCATTGAATAACCACCAACCAACCAACTCAGTGACATTATTGAACCCAAAACCATATTTTACACTCAGCAAATTCAAATACGTAAAAAAATTCAAATAGGGTCGGCATCACTTTTCCCTTTCTTGTTTTTTACATTAGTATTCACACACCATAATTTTACGATTTGATGCCTAAAAAAATTTCAGAATTCATGTTAATAAAATCTGTAATTGATTTTGATTCCAAATCACACTTATATCACTTAAATGGAAGATCTGAATCTGATCATGTTTCTTTTTATATATATATAATGTGTTTGTTGGTTGGAAAATAAATTATATGTCGTAACGCGGACAGATTGCAGATATATTACCCCCAACAGGCAAACCCAAAAAAAAATATATGCTTAAAATATTTGGCTGTTAATGTCATTCACTAATTACCCAAAAATAAAATAAAAGTGAAAACATAACGCTCGTGTGTGTATGCATGTGTGTGAATAGATTTAAATACGTGGACGGTTCTACCCCCCACACTCACCGCTCTCTGTTTCCTACCGTGACCATAAGATTCCACATTTATAACAGAGGATCCTTTTTTTCATTTTCTTTTCCTATATATATATATAAATATTTAAATATATACATATATACAGTGTGTGTGTATATATATTTATATATATATTTGGACAGAGGAGAGAGAGATCGCTGTATCTGTCAATCTTTGTTTTCTCCGATTCATCTCTTAGAAAATGGCCGAGGCCTCTCCTAAATCCGTCTACGACTTCACCGTCAAGGTACCTCTTTCATATACACACAAAAAAAAAATCTCAGATCTTCTGCATATATGAATGATATTATATATATATTTTTCATTCAAGAAGAGATTTAGTTATTTTCATAAGGGGGCAGCAAGCATATGTATTTTATATCTTGGTTTGTGAATTAAGTGTACAGTTATTTTTTTTCTTTGAGATAACGAAAATATGAAAACCAAAATTCAGGACATCGGAGGTAACGATGTGAGTCTGAGTGATTACAAAGGGAAGGTTCTTCTGGTCGTAAACGTTGCCTCCAAATGGTAAATTCTTTTACATCTTTTTTTTTTAGTGTTACTTTTTAGACACACACACACATATATATATATATATACAAGTAGTAATATATATATATAAACCTTGGATCTAATTGCAGTGGTCTGACTGGTTCTAACTACAAGGAACTGAATGTTCTGTACGACAAGTACAAGGAACAAGGTTAGTGATTTGTCCCTAATTATGACTGCCACTCATTTTGTTAATAGAAATTAGTGAAGAAGAAGAAGTTGAATTGTTAAGAAGAAGAAGAAGATGATGATGATGATGATGATGATGATGATGATGATGATGTGGGGATTAGGGTTGGAGATATTAGCATTTCCATGCAACCAGTTCTTAGGGCAAGAGCCAGGCACCAACGAAGAGATTCAGCAAACTGTCTGCACCAAATTCAAAGCCGAGTTTCCCATCTTCGACAAGGTTTAATCTATTATGTTCATGCATGCATGGTTGCGTATGCACGTACATAGATGTATCAGATATCTCTCACACGTGATGATGACGATGATACACATGGAGGGCAGGTAGATGTGAATGGGAAGAACACAGCGCCACTGTACAAGTTTCTGAAGGCGGAGAAAGGAGGAGTGCTGATAGCCGCTCTCAAGTGGAACTTCACAAAGTTTTTGGTCGACAGAAATGGCAAAGTTGTCGACCGATTCTCTCCCAGGACTCCTCCCCTCGACCTCGAGGTCTCGCCTCCTCCATGTCTCTTTGTCTCTCCATATTTTTTTTAGATAATCCAGAAACGCACCAAATCTGTGACCTTTCCACACGCTTATATTTGAACTCAGATAAGAACATGTTTTGCATGTTCTCGTACCAGTAGACCACCCAAACTTGGATCGATCTCTCCATGTTAATAAGCTCTAACGAGATTTTCTCTTATAACAAGATTCTTTGTTTTGGTTTTTGGCAGAAAGACATTCAGAAACTGCTGGGAGAGGGTTCCTCTTGATCATGGTACGATCCCTTGCATGTTTACTATGTTTTACAAGCATGGATGACGACATAACCTCAAGAATTTCATGTGATTTCTTGCCCATATTCCCAGATCATGATCTTATTCCCGATTTCATCTTCTTGTTTTTTGTTGGGTTTCTTTTTTCAGGTGCCGAGTGGAAATAGATTCGCCGTTTTGCAGGTATCGGTTAGACAGCAGAACGGCCAAAATCACAATGAACCCCTCTGTTGTCATAATTTTTCTTTGTTGCTGCTGCTATATCGTCACATGTCGGATTCCTTTGTAACCATATTTAAGATGGATTTCTAAATTGATTATGCCCTATTCTACAATTGATGGATTCACATCACATGAGATCTACTCGAAGCCGCCACCAAATCCAAAAACAGTTTGGTTGGTCCAAACCTATATTGTAACGTGGACCGACCCAATTATTGAACGTGGAAAAATTAGTAACAAAAGCTTCGGCCGTATTTGCCTGTCTTACACGGCACGTGATACGCAGCTGTCACAACGAACAAAGTGAAGTTTCCAATTCAAAGACGTCTCTTGTAGAATGTTCCTTCCTTGGTGGAAAAGGAACTCAAAGCATCAGACACACAGCTTGGCCGTAATCCAAGCAAAAGTTGTCTGAAACCCCAAGAAGATACCATTGGATGATCATACAATCAAACTCTTTGGTTACTTCTGTCAGTTAAATCAGTTAGCAGACATGTAAGAATCATATCAACACGCTCATCATGGCCAATCTAATGGACCCAGATAGTTAGATTAGTTACCTCGGCCAAACACAGAGGTCCATGACTAGTTGGTGAAGCTCTCTAAGACAGCTCTCACCACTGCATAAGGAAAAGAACACATCTATCAATGTCAGAGAGATCGTCAATGGCACATTTACTCAGAGAATGAGGCAATGGAACTCGAGTTTTATTCATCGAAACATTCGTCCCAATTCATACACATTAGACTACATTCTACACATCCATGGAATTGAATCAGACATCAGATTAGTGTTCGGCTAATCTCAAACCTGCAAATCCTCTATCGGACAGTTTCCTCGACGATTCAACTTCATTGGAGACCTGTTATTGGTGAACCGAAAAAGCAGGTCTTGTCTCGGCTCTGCAATGGCAGAGATTTCATTCCTGCATTGGACTTTCTGGCTCAACCAATTAGGTCGGACATGAGGAATGAGGTTTTGTTCAACTGCACAATTTGACAGTGCAGGCCACAGCTTGTGCCCAGTATTTGAGCCTAGCTTTCACGTCATCGGGATGATCACCTGAACAACACAATCAGACATCAAATCTCCATATCCTTTCAAATCACACGAATCTTGGGTCAGATAACTCTGACATCAAGATTGTGAATTTCGATCCCTGGAAATCATGTGACGTTCTACAACATTACCACAGCCAATTATCCAAATGAAATCCCAGCAAAGCCAAGATCAAGCACCCAATCGATCCGAAAAATTAGCAAAATTTACAGAAGTGCATCTTTCAAGACGAGACATTTACCAGGGCTAGAGATCTTCCAATTAGCAACCGGGCTAGCCGCAGCTAGTGGAGGCGGCCGAGACTCCTCCACCGGGGAATTTTCCGGCGACTTCTGATGGCTTTGCTTCTCACCTAAGAACTTCTGGCTCATGGAGTAGCACAATTCTAGGGCCGGCAAAGTGTTGCAGAGCTCAGGGATCTCGTCGTAGCTGAACCCAAACCCTAGATCCAGACAACCTTTGAGCTCCTCGAGATGGTCATCAGTCAAGCTCTTGGTCCTCCTCAGATCGTCGTCGTCGTCGTCCGCGGCCAAGGCCTCCACGTAACCCTCGAGCAAAACCTGGCTCTTCTTCTTCTCCAGCTTCTTCGCCCTCTCGCCGTCGCTCCGTCGGTTACGACTAGCGATCTCGGCCCAGGTTGTGTCGATTCCCGCCTCTGATGCTTCATCAAACACTAGAACGGGGTTAGCCGCAGCTAGTGGAGGCGGCCGAGACTCCTCCACCGGGGAATTTTCCGGCGACTTCTGATGGCTTTGCTTCTCACCTAAGAACTTCTGGCTCATGGAGTAGCACAATTCTAGGGCCGGCAAAGTGTTGCAGAGCTCAGGGATCTCGTCGTAGCTGAACCCAAACCCTAGATCCAGACAACCTTTGAGCTCCTCGAGATGGTCATCAGTCAAGCTCTTGGTCCTCCTCAGATCGTCGTCGTCGTCGTCCGCGGCCAAGGCCTCCACGTAACCCTCGAGCAAAACCTGGCTCTTCTTCTTCTCCAGCTTCTTCGCCCTCTCGCCGTCGCTCCGTCGGTTACGACTAGCGATCTCGGCCCAGGTTGTGTCGATTCCCGCCTCTGATGCTTCATCAAACACTAGAACACTCTCCGATGCTTCGGTCTCTGGGACCTCTTGGAGAGAGAGCGGCCACGGATCTGATGATTCGCAGCGAAATTGATCCATTTCTGAGGATTTCGTTCTCTCTCTCTGGAAGTTTTGTGTCCTTATCGGAACTGTGAGATAGAGAGGAGAGACGATTTGATTTCTTATAAAAGACGCGAGCATCCCCTATCACCCATATGATGCTGGACGTGATGGTGGTGATGACGATGACCACATGATTATGATGATGATGATGTGTGGACATGGATCTATATTCATTTAATTTTTATGTGGACCATATGTCCAACAGTTGTTAAAGGCAAAAAAAGAAAGAAGAATTGCTCTCTTCCAATCAATTATGTGTATTGTGTTCCATAAATTTGGAAATTTTATAATATATATATATATATAGAAATAATGATGAATTTATATGGTGTAAGTCATAAATGACGTTATTTTTTTTTTTGGAAATGTGATTTGTATCATATATTTTTTTTGTAAATGTGATTTTTTTACAATAACACAGTCAATAAAAGGAGAATAATAAATTAATTACTGTTTGTGTGTGTATGTATACATTTGGGCGAAACAACACGATATTTGTGGTGTATGTATATATGTGTATGTAAATGCCGTATGATATGTTGTAGAAGGCCCATATGCACGCATAAAAGCCCCTCGACCAAATCTTTGTTTCAATTGCTAACGACGAAAAAAGAAATGGCTTGGTCTTCTTTATGTCTCGGAGTCTTCGTTGACGTGGACTTACATGTGGACACGTGGCGCGTTTTCATTGCATATGACTCTACATGTGGCGGTAGATTATTGGAGAGAAAGTCAAACAAATGATTGTCGTTTGAGCTGCATTGTGTGTATATATATGTAAGTAAGAAGTTCTCTCCATTTCAAAAGGAATCATAAAGATTCAAGACTTTGATTGCTTCCGAGTCAAAGCAGTTGACTTTCGATTCTCTCTCTCCCCTTCTGCTTTTCGTTCTTGCGGATTTTGTAAACAAAGATTAGCCATTAATCTCCTCTGTTTTTTGACGCTAATCTCTCTCCGTTGGGTTGATTTCCTCACCGACCATGGATTCCGTGGAAGATCTTTACGAGGACTACGACGAAAACATCTACGACGCGGATCAGGATCACGGGTTCGACGAGGAAGACGACGATGATTTCGCAGATTTTGCCTCGGAACACCAGGTGGGTTTCATTTGGATTCCTTGTTAAATAAGCACAATTGAAGTTCTTTACTAAATACCAAGGATTATGGGCGTTTAGTTGATGAGTTTTCTGTCGTTTTGATCTGAATCTTGGTGTTTATCTGCTCAAGATTTATGATTTCCTGCGATTTTTCTTTTTAAATCTACGCATTGAAATCCTCTGATTCTGATCCTGAATCCGTTGTTTTAGTATCATTGTTCATAGTTTCCCCTTCGAGTTCTTGATTTGAATCAAAGATTGCGTTCCCGTCCACAGTCTGATGCGTCGTCTTTAAATATCCGCACACCTTTCTAGAGAAGGTACGCCATTTTAACGGAAGAAGACATTCGAAAACGTCAGAAAGATGACATTGAAACGGTTTCCACGATCCTCTCCATCTCCAAAATCGAAGCAAGTCTCCTGCTCCGTCACTGTCGATGGTAAGAAAAAAAAAACACGCTATGATGTAAGAAAGTTTGTCGATTTATTGCGAGAACAAACGTATCCGTTGGACACTCGTTCACGCGCTCCGTTTTCAGGAGTGTTACGGAAGTTAACGAGGAATGGCTATCGGACGAAGAACGAGTCCGTAGAGCCGTCGGTCTATTGGATAGAACCATCGTTCCACCTTCTGGTGCCGGAGAAGGAGTACGTTCTTACATTACGAAATCTCGATTTCTGAGGTTGTGTTTTTTTTTTTTGTTGTTGTTGTAAAATGACAAAACGAGTTTTATGTTTTAGCTGAAATGTGGAATCTGTTTCGAGTCTTGCCCTACCGAGAAGCTTTCCTCCGTTTCCTGTGGCCATCTTTTCTGCCCCGAATGCTGGGAAGGTTTGTAGTATTCTTGCATCTGAGATCTTTGTCAGAAGATAGACAAGCAGTTACCTTCTCGAATTTCTTACGGGCTCACTCCTTTCAGGTTACATCAGCACGAGCATCAATGGCGGTCCAGGGTGTTTGATACTGAGATGTCCTCACCCGTCTTGTCCAGCCGCCGTTGGTCAAGATACGATCTCGAGATTTGCATCAGAGGAAGAGAACGAGAAGTATGATCGGTATTTTCTGAGATCATACGTTGAAGACAACAGAAAGGTAATTAATGGTTTTCAAAACTATACGGCTTATCAGAAAGGGAGTAAGATTTTAATGTTATCGTCTCTTTATCTGCTCGTTCTTTATTCAGATGAAGTGGTGCCCTGCCCAGGGATGTAACTACGCAGTTTACCTTGCTTCTGGCTCCAGAAGTTACGATGTTTCCTGTCTATGTCTGAACAGCTTTTGTTGGAACGTAAGTTAAGCTTTCCATAGTTTTTTCGTGTTAAAATTTGTATCGGCTAATCCGTAAACTCGAGTTTCAGTGCACCGAGGAGGCTCACAGTCCCGTGGACTGTGAAACAGTTGAAGATTGGTTGCTAAAGAGAAGCTCTGGATCTGAAAACCTGAACTGGTATGAAGTCTGAACATATGTTTCTGTCTTCTTTTAGTTGAAGATTGGTTGCTAAATGCGTCTGAAAACAGGATAAAGGCCTATACAAAGCCTTGTCCGATGTGTGGGCGGCCAATCGAGAAGAGCTCGGGCTCGAACAAGATGACATGCTCACCGCCTTGTTCATTTGAGTTCTGTTGGTATGTGTGTATATATTTCATCTCTATATACAGCAATTGCAGAAGGAGATGGCTCATAAGACTGAACTTATGTGTAATATACGAAACTTCTTCAGGCTTTGCCTTGAGCCGTGGTTAGATCATGGGGGAAGAAATGGTGGCCTTTATGCTTGTAACGATTATTTCAAAGCCAAGAAAGAGGAGACTGAAAGGATGCGGAAAATGGTGAAAGTTCCACTGGAGGAATACGTGCGTTACCACGAACGTTGGGCGAGCAACCAATCGGTACGCACAACGTTTTGATCTATGCCTTGGTTTTTGTAGGTTTCATACGCTCATTGAACTATGAAGACGTGATATTCTTCGCCGGTTGACATGTTTTGCAGTTGAAGGAAAAGGATATCGCAGATCTAAACCTCGTGGAAACGGTGCATGTAAGAGCCGTTGGTCTTGTTTTCGAGACATCATGCTACTTTCGAATAGTTAGATAGTTCATATTAGCGGCGGCTTGACTTCTCGGTGTTTTTGCCAGCTTCAGATGCTAAGCGACATTCAGTGTGAGCCGAGATTTAAGCTCCAGTTCATCGTAGAGGCATGGCTTCAGGTTAGCAGGGAAAGAGCG